ATTCTAACTGTCCAGATTTTTGGTGCTGTTAACATGCAGAACCTGCAAAAAAATAGGGGAACAGACTTCGAGGCTTCTTTATAATTTGCCGGTACCTGTGTTAGAAGCTCTGCTACGAATTTATGAGCACCTTTATGAGGATTGCAAAACATGAGCACCACGATTGTTGATTTTTGAAGAAGCTGTGTGTTTTCAGTTTTTTCCATTATATCAGAAAAGTCAATTTACGACTGTTCAATTTTGAGGCCTCAATATCTCTGTAGCTAGGGCAGGTACATCAATATTTCTTTTTGCAATGGCAACCTGTATGTGCGTAGAATGCAAGTATAGGAGCATAATTTAGATCACAAGCTTTTTTTATTTAAATACTCATCAAAATAGTAACATGATTGCAACTACATTTGAAAATGGATAGTTCGTTTTGCTGTAAAATACCAAAGAAAGGCCAAAAAAAAACTCTTGCATACTTTTAATATGAAGTCATTAGTCTATGTTGTCATATCTTAATTATCACTTTTAATTAAGCACTGTTTTTCTATGGTGGCCTTAAAAAATAGGGGGTGAACTTAAGTTATCTCAGGAACAAGATGAGTTACAGGAAAAACTAATTAAATATTTGAAATCAGCAGAAAAAACTGCATAACCCTGTGCAGTTTGATCAAGATCACTGAATAAACAAAAAAATGTTTAAGACCAGTCTGCCCCCTTAACAGCAGCTGCTTAATACCCAGTGGCAGAGTGATGTGGTTGTGCTTGCTGCAACCAAAACAAACTATTGCATCCTTTAACGGTGACATGTTGAAAACTGCACCTTATGTCCAGCAACGCTAGATTCTGCATGAACCCCATAATGCACAACAAGGTGCATGAGAAGATGTTTATAACCGGCCCTTATAGTAATGGCAGAGCAATCTGACCTCATTACATTTAGAAGAACAACATTATTTTTTAAAGAGATCTTTTTATCATGACCAAGGCTGAAGCTTAACGCACACTGACAAAGTATTCTCAAACCAAATGTCCATATTCCTTGCTTTGGAACAAATGATTTTCTCCACAGATAGTACTGAACATGACGCAGCAAGTTCACCTTTCATTCTTGAGTTCTCTGGAACCAAAGCCAGTACCAAGCTTGCTGAAGGAAACGAGCTTAAGGTCGATCTCATTTTCGAGGTGGCGCGCTTGTTTCCGTAAATCTGAAAAAAGGAATACAAGAAAACATACACCCAAGGCTTATGCTGGCAGTAATTATGTATCTTATGTTTACCGTGAAGTGCTTAATGCAGCACACAACCAAAACACATGAAAACAAAATTGTGTATATATAAAATTTATATATGAATTATGATGTCAATAATAACGAGCTATGCAGTAGGTTTTAAGAAGGCGAATTCATGAAACGTGCAACAACGCTGTGCGTTAATATGCTCTAAAATGATGTCACGAGTGGAAGTGTCTATTACAGCAGAAGTCACTGGAGTAGTTTTGGACATTTTTTTTCCTTTTTTGTCCTGCTGAAAGTAGGCAACACTGCCATGGCTACATACTATAGTTGGCAGCAGCTTATCTTGTCATTGGTGGGAAAGCTAGGGAGGCGGGGCTTCAGCACATCCGTGTTGCTCGGCAAGTAGCACGGCAGCTTGTGGCTGGTTTCGATGCTGCTCGCTCGCGTCGTTAATGCGTTTAGAATATCATATGCACACGAAAATGTGAACGCGTGAAACATTTCAATGGTTCAACGTACATTTTACAGGCATATTACGACTATATCATTCTAGTAGAATTAAACAGCGAGCTTACGGCCTCACACTGACCTACTACATAATGGGAACCACGTTCACTTAGGAAAACGGTCGTGCTCTAAAATGGTGATGCTGTCCAAGAAATTGAAAGAGAAGGAAGGTATCCTTGCAAAGGGAACAATAAATGTATTTTACCTAAGACTTCCCAGAACTCCTGTATTGCCGTATTCATGAACCGAACTTATCGAGGTAAGGCTACTTACGAAAGGATGAGAAAAATATAAAAAAAGTACAAGGCGAGTTTCAGAAACCTTTCTTATCCTGTCATAAGGGCATCTTATGAAAGGCATCCTTCACTTGCCAAGTATAGGCCCTGGGTGCGGGGGTAGGTGAATCGTCGCTACAAAATGATTGTCTCAATCAGCGATAAATTAGCTTTACTGCAAGAAATAAACATTATGCACAGAAGCAGCCAAACGTAAACAGCAAGGTTTGTTTAGGCACCAGCAGTTTTCGAGGAAATACTTGTTTTTCTTATGGGCACTTTTCTGCAACTCCCATCAACGCAGTGGGGGTGCTCAGGTTTCTTTTGTTATTTGAAAGTCTCGTACGTTTTGACTGTGTTTGGTGGTGTTCTCATGCTTGCTTGAGCGTTTGCTGTATTGTTTCACTTTTTTTTCTGAAATTTCATAAATAGCTTGAGCAATTTTATAGCAGCTTTTTAATGTAGTTGCATTTTTTTGTAACGGTGCACTGAAGTGAACTTCATTGACAAAGTGGCTACGTCCTGACGGATTTTGTGAATAAGTATCAAGACGGACGGCGAGTGCTTTCAGAGAAAACGAAAAACGTGGAAGCAGCTTGCGATAGAATTCAACAGCCGACACACTGTGCATTGCTGAACGGCCAACAGAAGAACTAGAAAAGTGCTAGCGCTACTTCAGGAAGTTTTGCTGGTACGAGAAAAACTGTCTTCGCAACCATAGCAGATATTCACTGTACTGTATACTCTTGACACGATCGGCTACGAGGCACTGACAAGGCCGTCGCTCCCATGTTGAAATGTTGATTGATTGATTGGATTGTGGGGTTTAACTTCCCAAAACCACCAAATGATTATGCCGTAGTGCAGGGCTCCAGAAATTTCGACCACCTGGGGTTCTTTAACGTACACCCAAATCTGAGCACACGGGCCTACAGCATTTCCGCCTCCATCGGAAATGCAGCCGCTGCCGCCGGGATTCGATTTCGCGACCTGCAGGTCAGGCCAGGTTGAAATGTTCCAACTCCATAAAAGCGCGATGCGATGAGCAGCTGCATGAGACAGGGCACAACGAACCCACGACCCCGGATATTTTCCTGTAGAAACAGCACAGCGAGCAGATTCTCCATCGCACTTGTGAAGCGAGAGGGGGCGGTACAAAAAGTCCTGCTTGTCGTAAATCTCAACCAGGTTCCGTCGATTGTTGAGGACTCGCCGCAGTGGTGACGTGTATGCGTATGCTGTACTTCCTCTTTGCGGTCCACATAATAAATAGAATACGCAAAGTTGTCGTCCCCCACCATGTTATTTAAGGAAGCCTGAAGGTAGGTCATAGGCTACCTTAACCGAGCCTTACTTTAGTACGAGGAAAGTTCCGTGATAAGTACAAGGTAGGTTCATGAAATGCCTTAAGGGCGGACTTATGGCTAAGGCTTGACTTAAGTCACAAGAATAAACTTAAAGGCTTGAGAATACAGGGGGTAGTCTCCTTACAAATAAAGCAGCATTTACTTCAGCATGATAAAATTATCAGTAAAGGTAAGTACTATTTCTCGGCATGATAGCAGGCATGCGCTTTGGTTCTGTAGTTCTCAGAATGCTGTCAAGAAAAGTTGCCATTTTTTTTTTTAATGAAGGAACTGTCATCCATTATGTTTTGCGCATTTCATGCAGAAGAACGAAAGTCTGTCAAGTATGTTTACTGTGATTTAAGCGTCTTTACAGCGGCTAGTAGTAGTAGTACAGGCTGTAGACGTTTAACGTGTCTAATGGTAAATGCTTCCTTAATAATTAAAACTTGCTCTCTCGTTGGTTTAGGAAGCCACGTTGGTGTTACAGAGAGGAAAAAAAAAAAGCTGTTGAAATGCAGTTCGACAAGAGGTAGTAAAGCTCTGGTTTGGGCCAGTTGGTGCATTTTTGAACATACTATGCAGGGCTACGCGAAAAATGACGGTCTAAGGGAAATACTCATGACGGGTGCAACAGCGCCTGACATGTGTACTTTCCTTGGCCCGTGCTGCTTAGCACAGCCCTGCATCGTGCTTTCACGACAACGGACGACCATCCTAAACTTTTTCTGTTTTGTTTATGTAGACAGCAAGAGCCGGTAAGTACAGAACACCGAAAACAATAAGTTTCGCCGTATCTGAACGGCAACAACACAGTTCAATAGAAATACGAGGAATCACGTTTGTAGTAACGTATAACCATACCTGTATTTAACAGGTTCGTAGCGCTGTTACGGCGCCACTGGATAATAATGAAAAGGTGACATTTTCGCAGGCGCCCCTCGAAAATCGAAACATAGGTTTAGCAGCAACCATGAAATCGTTTTGTTACCGACATTTCTTGAACGAAAAAAAAAAAAAAAACTGCAGGGTCCCCGTATGTCAGAAAGGTAGGCCTCAGAACACTGAGCGCACTGAGCTAACGGGTCATTTTAATTCCCGAGGCTAGCAAAACGTAACCCAACCAAGGAGTCACCGCACGTCAAAACACGGAAAACAACACACCACGGACGTTTCATCGGTTCGCGATAGGAATCTCGCGCTTGCTCTGGTTCAATCAGACGGGAAGTAGTGCGCCCTGGCGATACACATACAGGGCGCGGTTTGACGACATCACCATTCCTTCGCTTAATTGCCGCTGCCGACACATTGGCAAGTAACAACCACGTATGCCGAATATTCGCGAGCCCAGAACGACGACTGGTTGACTATGTCACCGCCGCGCTGGCGTGCCTACATATCAGTGGATACGCTGCCGGTGCGAAGGCGATGACATTGCGTGTGTCATAAAGCGACGAAAAACAATTTGCGCGCTGCCGGTAGCGACAAATGAATGCAATAACTTACCTTCCAACGCGTAACCAGCGGACGCCATCATCAACAGAAACAAAAAGTGTGCAGCAGAAAGATCCGCTCGCGAGGTTTCGTTGACACCACTTAAAAGAAAAATTGAAGTTTACACAACGTATACGTTATTGCATTCAGAAAATGGTCATACAGGAAAGTAAAAGGCAGATAAAAATTACGAGTGACGTTTGCAGTCTACCACTATCACATTTTTGGCTCGTCGCTTCGCCGGCCTCGCTGCGCTCGGTTCGCATCGGGTTTTGAAAGTCGGTTGAGGGCGAGGCCAGTCGCAAACGTGCGTTATCAGCCAGCGCGTTTTTCGAAGTCATGTCGTCCCAAAACGCGAACGCGCGGTTTTCGCGAAGAGACGCGCGGGAGAAGACGCGAGAAAGGTCGAGGAGACTGCGAAGCGAAAACCGAACCAAGATCACCAAGTCGATCGGGACGGCCTTCTGCGCCCTCAGAGAGGTCCGAAGCACGGCACGCAAGACACTGGCGAACGTCAAATCTGTGGTCGAAAACATCTCCAACGTGAGTCGTTTTCGCTCTTGTGAAAAAGTTTTTTTTGTGTGTGTTGGCGGAATTTTATTGCGCGATCGTGGTCGGCATGTGCGCTCGTTTTGCGCCGTGCGAATGTTTTCTCGCTACCATTGTCTTTTTGACCGTTGCAGGGCGTTGCCTCGTGTCATTAACCTTTCATTTTTATTTATATGGCTTTGTATTCGCTGATACATGTTTTATCGCCGTAGTGTTGCTTTTCAAGAGACGCTATTAATTTCGCTAGTAGACATTGGGTTGATTCGAGTGAACCATATACGCCACGAGGATGCCACAGTGAACTCACGCTACTGTTGTGGCGATTTAAATAAATTTGTATAGAATGAGGTTCATGCTTGTGTGGAAGGAAAATAAGTAAATATATTCCAAGGACGGTGGTAGATGACAGTGTCTCGAGTATGGCTGATGAATTCGCCGCCCACGTGCGCACCGCGATTTTAAAAGTTCCAGAGGCGTCAAAAATCGATGAAGCATGGGTGCCCCCGCCCCCCTTTCCTGCGCCCCCCTCAGCTGCTCTTTAGGGCAAATGGGTCGCGTCTTTTCCTTTCCTCAACCTCTCTTCCTCCTCCTCAACGTGTCTTCGTACGGTACTGCCAGGGGTCTTCAGGAAAGGGAAGATTGGGAGAGGGCTAAGAGAAAACTGGAACCGGAATGTCGTTGGAATGCATGGGAGAGAAGGACAGCCGTGGACAACTGGTCCAAGGTAAGGACCAGCCCCCCAATGTTCAGCGATTGCACCCCAACAGTCCTTTCTTTTTTTTCTACTTCTTTTTAGGGGAAGGGAGGGGGTGGCACATACTTCAGGCACCACCAAAAGCATAGCAAGAAAATGGGCCCCAGCTGCAAGCTGCCCTTAGCAGAGACTAAATAACTTATTATTATTTTACTATTACTACTTTCTTATTAATATTATATATTATGCATGTACAATCAAGCCACATAGTGAGCTGCGCATAGATCCCTCTATAAATGAAAAATGTAGGATATGTGCTCGCTGCAATGTTATACACAATATAGCACATCATGAAAATGCCCCTGATGCATGATTGTGAACATGTTTGCAAATTTCAGGTGCTCTAGTAAAATTGTCACATAACAAACATTCGAAGATATGCTAATATACTGAAAAGAGTGAATGCAGTGTCAACAATAACGCAGTTTGCAGAAGTCTGCTAGGCGGCTTTTCTGTAAGGTTTGTTTTCCCAACCGAAAACACTCCATCGCCAACTGCTTTTCTCGGAAGCTAAGTACTGTACCCTCATGCAGGCTGGGACTGCCCGGCCGTGCCTCATGGTGGCCAACATAGAACCTGACCTTTTGAGGAAAGGGGGAAAGGCAAAAACACAAATGAGAGAGAAAAGCAGTCTGAACACGAGGTTTTGATTTGAAAACAAACCTTATAGGAAAGCCGCCTTGGAGATTTTTGCAAGCTGTCCATTACAATTTTTCTGAGCTGCCATAAATATCTCTGTACATGCACCACAGAGATCATTCCACTCTTGAGTACCCTGCAGCGGTGTTCTAGTGGCTAAGGTACTCAGCGGCTGCATTTTCGATTTGGGTACACGTTAAAGAAGCCCAGGTGGTCGTAATTCTTGGAGCCCTGCTCTACGGCTTCTCTCACAATCATACAGTAGTTTCGGCATGTTAAGCCCCGCACATCAATCACCACATCTTGAGTGGAGCACTATGACAATTCTGGATCTATTATTGCCAATGAGTACAGAATAGACTACCAAATAACGTTCAACATAACCTTTATTTTGAGTCAACCTTCAAAGGTGACAATATTTATATCAATACTACAAGCAGTGCCATTCATATAATGTGATTGAATGGGCATATCGTTACGTGAAAAAAATATTGAAACTTGATTACAGAGGGTGCATCATAACAATAGACAGTAAATTGAACAAAGGAACAGCATGTTCTACGATGTATAAGAAGTGCGGTGTTCGTTAAAAGGGCTTACACTACCGTATTGATTTTAGTTTTAAAATAGACATAAGCTCAGTTTAGTTATTGAACGACTGGAAGGTAATCAACAAATGTTGTCATAAGTGATGCCAAGTATAGTATAGGGGATGCTATTTGCAGTAATTGTAATGTAAATTGAAGAAAGAAAAAGATGGACAAAAAGATGACATGCCATCGGCAGGGACTGAAGCATCGAACGCGCTGTTCCATGGTCGCACGCTCGGTCCCTGCTGGCGGCAATTTATCTTTTCGTCCACGTTTCTTTCTTCATGTTTACGTAAGAGTTACCACTAACAACATACCCTATGGCATTATTGTCTGTTCTCATCAATATTGTGTAAAAAAAAAAAAAAGATGAGTCCTTAAACTTCAGACTTCTTTCCTTCATACTTGTTTAAGTGTTTCTTGAGTCCCGCGTATGTATCCTGTAAGAATAATGACATTTGAAAGCCCTGCTTTGAAAGAATTTTCGGGCTACTGCAGTCAGCTCAAATGAAGTACCACAGCCACAAATAATGTTCCGGAGAGGCTAACCTGGTTGTCACGAATCGTACACTTTCAGAAATGCCTACCGGGAGCTCGTACCCGTACAAGGTACCGTCTTCCTCCAGGGCCGTACTCTCCCTTGCACTGCCAGACGCCCGTCAAGTTGTACTCACCTTTTGGCATTGAGACGCCCAGTCCTGCCACACCTCATCGCAGGACACCCAGTTGCCGGACACCCAAAACGTAAGTATACAATAAGGAACACGCGAGGGGGTTAACCAGATAATTAGCAGTTTGATGGTCTTGCTCCGCATTTTCAACTAAGCGGCACGAGAATGTACTTGTGGCGGAAGACAAAGTACATACATTATATTGAATAGTGCTAATGAGGTGCAGTGAGCTATACTCGCCGATAACTTTTCTTGAGAGCGCTGTGGAAGCTATATAGCCAAAGCACATGCTTGCTCCCGTGCCAAAAAATTAGTACTCAAGCTTACTGATAGTTTTCTCCATTTGCCTTGCTGGAATAAATGCTGCTTCGCTTATAGTGAGACTGAAACAGTTGCAGGGAACTTGTAGGTAAAATACAGTTATTGTTCACCTTGTAAAAAGCTTTTCTTTTAATTTCTCAGTGCACCTCTTTAGCGCACCTGTTTTCCGAGGAAACTTGGCATCCGTAATGTCAGTGTGTGGCTGCAAACATGCTGTATAGTTCTCCGAAAAAACGTGCTCTTAATAGGACACAAGAAATGTTCACTGAGCAGTCGAAATGTTTCTTTCATTCACAATTTTCATGCACCAGTTTTTCTAAACGCCTTAACGTTGCGAGCGAGCAAAACCGAAATCACCTGCTAGCTACCGTACTCGCGGAGCAACTCGAATGTCCGCCTCCATAGCCTTTGCTCCACTGTCAAGATAAGTTGTCGCCGAGTATAGTTTCTGTTTGGCCAATTAGCAGTGTTAAACGGGGTGGAGGTGGGGACGTTCAGTGTACGTTATGCTGGAGTGCTAGTTGTTATATTGATGTGATTAGTACTTAACGACAGTGTGTCAATTTCGTAGGGGGCAAAATATTTCTGGATATGACTTAATAGGTTATTGCCTTGAGTACATTTTTTTTTGTGATTAGAATATTTCATTAGGTATGCCCGTAAAATAACCTGTATTCAATCCATACTTACTACCAGCTTAGTAGATACGACTCAGATTCGACTGGAGATTTACTGTAAGGCTCACGATCCGGATATTTTTGCGCACTTTGACCAGGCTGCAAAAGGCAAGATTCTTAGCCACAACAGGAGCTGTACTGTGTATTGGCAAAAAATTCAGCCCCATGCTTTTACATGATAGTTGAGCTCTGATCAGTCCTGAAATACTGACTTGATCTTTCTTGAGTATTTAGGTAGTGTGCAGCATGTTGATTTTGAGAAAACCAGCTGCTTTTGCAGAATCTTGTCAGCCTCAATATGCTTGGAACTGTCAAACGCTGGCACACTTAACCTAGTGAAGGTTTGTAGGTATTGCTCAATTGATGCTTGTCGTTAGCCACATAGTCATCTTCATTTGCAGGCGTGCATTGGGAACGCCCGCCAGGAAGTTGAGAGAGGAATTGAAAGAGATCGAGGCGGGTATCGGAGAGCTGCACACGGTGGCCGAGAAGGTCTCCAAGAGACACGCCAAGAAGACTTGAACAGCGCTGTGCCTTCTGTCGCAAGGTTCATGGAGTATGCCAAAGCCAATGCACCCACCGCTGAAATATATGTTAAGCATGCATTTTCTGAGGCATTAGCATTTAGCCATTATCTACAAATGTATGCAACTTCATGTAAGCCACTAACATTTTTAAGCATCTGGGCTGGCATATGCAACCTATGGTTAGTTATGACGTCAGAAATAGAAAAATAACCTCGGCCGTGTCGCGTCTCACAGAAAGGTAATTAGCACAAATGCTCACTCAGTCACATTTGCCCATTCTCGTGACATTAAGCGCATCTCATGTTTAAAATGGCTGACTTTGCCATGTGTAGATACTATATGTTTGCGTTGCTGGCTTTACGCTGAAAACTCGGATATCCTGGCAAATTTTATTGTAGATTCTGAACATCACCATTCACCCAAACGTGAGACGTTGGCTAGGAATGACATTTTATTGCCTATACATGTTCCATTTATGTTAGCACAGAAAAAGTACTTGCCCATCAGATGTAAACAAGCCTGCCAGCGGATGGCAGTGAGATTGCAGACCTTTGTGCCAAAGCAATTTCTGTATGAAACGTCACGTTGTTGGCTTCCAGCTTGAAGCAGCACGTGTCTATGTAGTATGCTGCCATTCATGGGATACCTGGTTGCCAGTGTATGGCACATTTCAACCAGAGGCTGCGTTACCATGATGGCCAATATTATTTTGTTTATCCGTAGGCAGAAACGTATTTAACATAGTTAATTTTTTTGTTCTTTGATGAGAACGCAAAAAATTGGCTCAGCGAGGCCAGAGTAGCTAACGCTACAAAAAACAGTGTCTGACCGTGTTCTGGTTGCTGAGATTACACTTACCAGGGCAGTTATTGCTGATCATGTCTCAAGTAACTTACTGCTAAGTTTTAATACGCTCATAACTGCAGCTGTGCTGGCCATTATGCTGCTTTCTCAATTTTGACAACTATTTTTTTAGGACTTTTTTTGCATGTACATTGTTAACATTAGTATTTTTTTATGTATACACAAACAAAAGCCTGCTCTGCCAAATTACCAAGGGACCGACGTGCCAAGCACGTTGTAGAAGGGTTTGCAGAAAGGCGCAAGGTTGTGTCGGCCGACGCAGTGATTAGCTCAGCTAAGTTCGAAAACTGCACGTCGTGTAGCTAGTGTGCCTGAAGGCTGGCTTTTATAGTGTTACGTTGTACTTTAGACTCCAGCAATTTTATTTATTAGGCAGCTGCTGTCACATTGTTGCATGTTGTGTATGTCACCTATACTCAACGAATAAAACGTTTTACACATTCTACGTTCTCGTACACAATTTTATTAGGAGTGCCCGCATGCAGCGCACGCGCTCTTCGAACATTCGGTACCAATGTCCGCATATACATGAGGGAAAGAAAGGGCGTCCTTACTTTGCCCGCTCTTGGTGCTTGTCGGAGGCCTAGAAGAATGGTAGGAAAGTTGTATATCTTGCACATAACACATGGAAAGTGGGCATGCGCCATCAGTACTCATGTAAAAAGTGCAATACAAAGCATTAACAAGATGACAAATGTGCAGGACATGCCTCATTATACAATATGTATCGAAGTCACACTCAAAAAAAAAAACAACGTAAAATGCCTGTACAGAGACAGATGACCTAAAATATAAGATTTCCTATGTATGCACTTGTAAACAGCCTATACATTGAGAGCTCATCCAACATTTTCCCAGTTTCAGGCACACCACGGTAAACATAAAAATGCCTGCGGAACAATACCACTATGACCATCAAACTTATTACAGCTAGGAGAACACAGTTCTCCTAGCTGTAATAAAACAAGACACACACACATATATATATATACGAGGTACATCTAGTAACTTGCAAGCTTATCTATGGGTCTGGCCAACTTCTTCGATCAAAATGCTTCGCGCTCTGCTCTTCAAAGCTTTGCATCACAAATGTGGGTAAGCCTTAATTGGTAGGCAACTTCACTCGCAACTGGTTGATAGATTGTCTAGCTTCAAAAGGTTGAGGTAATTTGAATACTGATGCGTTGGAATAAAACTGGCACTTTCTGTTTCCATAACTATGATCTGTTCTACTGCAAAAACAATTCGTAAATTAGACAAGGAACTACACTGTGGGAACTACAAAATTTTCCTAGCCCTGGCTTTCTTTTGGTGATGCAAAATAGCATGTTGTCTAGGTCTCTGCGGCCAGAAAAAAATGCCGCAACAATATAACACAATTAGTGAAATAAGTGCTAGCACAATTAAAGTCTTGCAGGTGGATAACTACTAGAACACAAGAAAACAACCTATAAAACAGTACAACTATAACAAAAAAAAGTGGAGAATAGGCTCCAAAAATAGGTTTCCACAAAAAAAGCTACTGCTATAAGCACTTGCTGCAAGACCACTTAGAGGTAAAACGTAAACAAATGCGACCATGTATCTAGAATTGGTTAAAAAGCTCCTACATGAATTTCGAAGCGTAGTGGACGCACTCAAACAGCACCTGCAACAGATGAGAAGAAGGTTAGATAAGTGCATTGAATTTAGTTGCTATATAAAAAAATTGTTTAGGTTTTAAAAAGTGGAGTGGTTCGAGGATTACACGAGCTGCAAGCAATGGCACGCTAATACTGGAAATCTGACCGAGGAGTGGACTACATTGGTGTATCAAGGCGCTGAAAGTGCTAGTTACCATTTTACATGATTATAGGTCGACTTGTTTTATTTCAATTCGAAATCCGAAGTTGGAGGGGGGGGGGGGGGGTCGACTTACAATCAAAACTGATACTACTGTATTTTCTGTAGTAAGGTCAACCTGGTAGCAGAAACTGAAACGAACAAGAAATCAGGTATGCTGCGGCACGGTTACGACATGTTTATGTTTTTGCTCCACCTGTAACATATAACGTATTTCCTCGTGTACAACCAGCACTCTCAGCAATCATTCTATAAAAATCCCCCCCCCCCCCCAAAAAAAAAAACAAAAACAAAAGAGCCTCCTCATAAAGCTAGCTTTCCTGCATAGCTTTGAACCACTGCAGCAGGTCATCTTTGCACACCAGAATTACAAGTTTTCTATGAGCAACATTGTGAGTAATTTCTTTGACGAAATGTGCTTGAGCTTTTTCTTTTTTTTTTCCTCCCATGGGATTTCAGGGGGCCAACATTTAGCAAGGTCAACTTACAATCGTGTAAGTACAATTATTTATCATACACACACAACAAACGTGACATTGTTGGAATATAAAAAAAAAAGAAAACTGGGAACACTATTTTAACAGAGTTCACGCCAATAAAATCTCAGCAGATTCACCAACTGTTTAATATTAAAGATGTATGCAGTACTTGGTGGGAAGTACATGTAGAGGCATCACTGCTGCATAACAAATTTTTTTTAATGAAAGTGGTGCATTTCTGCAGGAAACTAGATGGCGGGATAGCACATAGCACAAAAAGCCACAGAATGTGCCTGTAGTATCCTACATGCAAATGCAATAAAAAGGCAGGTTAACTTCAAGTATGGATCAAGCTGTCACATCAAACATGCCAAGCCCACAAGCAAGTGAATCTCGCATAAATCCAAGGGACCAGAGTTGCATTTGGTAACAATAGAGACAATGACAGACAGACGCTCTGTCATGCCCCACTGAATTGGCTGCAACTTTGAATGGTGCAAATGCTACCATATAATTGAGATAAAATCACTTAAGTCATGCCAATTTTTTTTTTTTCAATACATGCCACAAGCTTCCAGCTTGCAGCAAAAAGTTTGCTGCTAGATTCTCACCTCGACCATAATGAGCACGATGATCATGACTTCTAGCCGGACGTGGTGCTTGTCCTCCAGGTGGTGGCTCAGCAATTCCATCAGCTCACAACAATGCGTCAACTTCTCATTCATCACCTGCAAATCAAGAATACAGGCTGCTGTGAACACATAAACAGGCGAATCAAGCTACCAACCCGAAAACTGGTATACATATATATAAATAAAAGAGGCTATAATGCTCAGAAGCACTGCAAAAAATGGCTTCAGGTCCATTGTGCCGAACGAGAACAAATGTGTGGGTATTCATATCATGGCTGCCTTCTAATTACAACACACACAAAGACGACAAAGAATGAAGCATGAGAGGCACAGTGCCGACTTACAACCAAAACTGGTAGGCACTGTGGATGATGCGGATACATGTGCATTTTCAAGTCATCTTTGGGGGAAAAAAAAAGAAAATCTGGACGGAAGTAGGAAAAGTTAGTATGAAGCACAAACAATCAACAAGGCGTCCTCTAGGACATGTAGGTTACGTTATGGCGTGCAACTCTAAATGTAACAAAAGATGTAGTAATATTAAACTTTTCCATGTCTTGTCTTGTGTGCTGTAAACAGGTGGCCTTGCATCACTAACTTGCAAAGGTTTATTAATAAGCCTTGTAAATCACACCAGAATGTTCCAGACACTAAGGCAGGCACTTGAGATAAATTTGGAAATTGTACACACCACACATAGATTTAAAAATGTGGACAATCATATGCATTTAAGAGACACATAAGAGAATAAGACTTTTTGCATATTAGTAAAGCACAATTTTACAGTCCCCAAAACACCGCTCTTACTACAAGATGACACTTGGGAAGCGAGAAAACGCGTGAAAAGAAAAATGCGGGTGGAGACTGCCACCGTGAGATTCCCGCAGCAAACACTGCAGCGTCGTAGATTTTGACGGCGTCTACTAGGTCCTACGCAGTTTATAATCGATAAAAATGAAGTACGTTGTCATCTGTGGGTGCCATAGACCTAACATATGAAGTTTTAGAAAATTTCATTGAGGCTAAATTGCAAAAACACGCAAATTTGAAATTTGTGACATTATGTGCAGAAATTTCTGTGCAAAATTAAGAAATGAAACTTGAACCTCGATTTTCTAAGCTGATTATGAACTTATGAAAGCGAGACTTGTGACATGAGCGAGTGTGAATTCTCAGTGTACAGATTCTCAAACAAAAGCAAGTCATCGTTTCACTTTAGTATCGCGTCAAGAACTGCCAAATACATTACAACAAGCATAGTAAACCGCTAATGTGCATAGAGGTAGTGAGCAAGCAAAAACTGCAACATGTTTTTTTTACTATTGTTCTTTATGCTTGTCTACTCTGTTTTGATGCATTCACGTGGGTACACATTTGTTCACATGACGTACCTTTGTTCGCCTGTTAATGTTCATGTACTTGATGACTTTCACGTAGAGGCTCTCCAAAGTCGGCCGGTCCCAGTAGAAATCGGGAGTGTCCAGAAGGTCAGAGCTCAGGTTGATCAGGTGCCTGGGGACATTTAAAAACACTATGCTAGGAGAATCTTCAGATTACATGTAATCACTTGTACATGCCCCTGTATTTTGCCTCGACACATCTCAGCACATTTCGTGTTGGTACTGGGGTACTTAAGTAATGTGGTTATTTTTAGAAAACAAAAGTTACGAGCAACAATAAGTACACAAGCAACCACTGTCATTCTTCTGTCATAGTTGAAGAGGGACCCAATATGTTCAAACTACTAGCTGGCTGTGCTAATCTCCTGGAGTAGCGTACTCATACTACACGGTACCAGAGCACCTCAAACGAGAATACTACTTCATCTAATGAAGCCAACGAAAGCATCAGGGGCATTATTAGTAGTTTGTAGTTGTAGCACTGTATTTATAAGATAAATAAAAATGAAAGTGGATGGGAAAAGAATGAAAAAAGAATAATCTGCCCCTCGTAGAGACCGAACCCAGAACCTTCGTCTACCAACCTAGCTATGGCGGTGACCGATTGCAGCAAATGAGTAACATTATTTCTTTTGCCAGGCGCGGGCACATGCACGTACACACACACAACAGGCCCCTCGAGTTATTCCTTTTTTGTTTTTGTTCAGTCACTGATTGGAAAACGCATTCTCACTGACTGACCTGAGAGAGAAGAGCTCTCCAGTCTTTCGAAAAACTTGCTCCCTGGTCATCCTAATCGTCCTGCCTTGCTTCATGTCCTGAAAATAGCACGGAAACCTCATTCTGTGAGACTAAAAAAAAAAAGCATTGGCTAGTTGGAATAAACAAAGGTTGTGACCTTCAATGTGAATATTTGAGGGACAAATATTGCCACAAAGGTACGACATGTTTACGGCGGCTCTCTGGTGCATTTTATGACACGAATGCTGTATTTAAGTTGGTTGGTATTTCTACCACACTTGTGAGGTGTACTGGGGTTGGAAAAAACTGCTCTACGTTCTAACCTATATTGTAACGATGTTGAAGGACTCGGGGTATAACAAAACGTATTTATTAAAGGGCGAACCTGTGCCCACAACTCAAAGGGACTATGGTCGTAGCACGTTACAGCAGAACGGCAAGATGTCTTCCTCTTCTACTTCTTCAAGAAGAGTTCCAAGCGCGTGGCACACATCAGCAGGGGCCAGCTGGGTTCTCGTGCTATCATCATCGTCTCTGCGCAACACTAGACGGCGCCCATGTATGTCTCTGTGCGCGTGGTGATGGGCGCGTTATTTGAATGCAGTCACTATGTCGTGGCATAATCCCCCTCCTCACACGCATCGTCCCGATGCGTCAGGCAATGAATAGATTCGTGGTAGGCGTAGGCGTCACTGGTCTTCCGGTGATCTCTCATAGTACGGCTTCATCCGGACTACATGTACAACCTCTGTAGGGTTGCGGCGTTTTGAGCTCCCGTGTATAGCGGATCTGACTTGGTAAGTTACATCGCTTACACGATGGAGTACTTCGTAAGGCCCGAAGTAGTGGCTAAAAAGTTTTTCAGAAAGTCCGCGGCGACGCACTGGGGTCCATATCCATACTTTGTCACCTGGTTGAAAATGCGCTTCGGTACGACGCTGATTGTACTGATAGGAGTCGATACGTTGTTGGCGGCGTATTCTGTATCTCGCCATCTGTCGTGCTTCCTCAGCTCTTTGCAGGAAGTCGTCTAGGCCAGGTGGATTGCTGCTTTCATCATTCAGTGGTAACATGGCATCCAGTGGAGTGGTGACTCTTCGGCCGAATACAAGTTCAAATGGTGTCACTCGTGTTGTTTCTTGAACGGCTGTATTATATGCGAACGTGATGTAGGGCAATATTTCATCCCACAGTTTATGTTCGACGTCGATATACATTGAAAGCATATCAGTCAGAGTTCTGTTCAAGCGCTCCGTTAGGCCATTTGTTTGAGGATGGTATGCTGTAGTTCTTCTCTGGTCTGTGTGGGTCATTCGCATCAGACATTTCATTAGGTCTGCAGTAAAAGCTGGGCCACGATCTGTAATTACCACGCTGGGTGCACCATGTCTGAGGACTATGTTGTTGATGAAGAACTTGGCAACTTCAAGAGATGTTGCAGTGTACAGCGAGTCAGTCTCAGCATAGCGAGTGAGATAGTCTGTGGCTACGACTATCCACTTCTTGTGTGCAGTCGATGTCGGAAACGGGCCTAGGAGATCCATACCAACTTGTTGGAATGGGGCATGCGGTGGTTCTATTGGCTGGAGGAGGCCTGCAGGTTTCACGGATGGAGTTTTGCGTCTTTGACACTCACGGCAAGTTTTCACATAGCGCTGAACTGATGATAACAGTTTTGGCCAGTAGTATTTTAGGTGAATTCTGGCGAATGTACGGCTGACACCCATGTGCCCAGATGTTGGCTCATCGTGACATGCGCGCAGAATCTCGTTTCGTAAAGGTGCAGGTACAACGAGTAAAAACTTGTCACCATGAGGCTTGAAGTTCCTCTTGTAAAGGACCCCTTCCCGAAGACAGAACGAAGGGAGCCCTCTGGATAAAGTGCGCGGGACTTTAACGTTGAGTCCTTGGAGACGCTGTATAAGCGGCAGCAAATCGGGGTCATTTTGTTGTTGTTCAGCGATTTCTGATGCCTGGACGACGCCTAGAAACGGGAAGTCTTCTTCCTCCGGCTCACTCGTCTCCACTGGTGCGCGTGACAGGCAGTCGGCATCGCGGTGCTTTTTCCCAGATTTGTATACCACAGTAACATCGTACTCTTGTAGCCTAAGGCTCCATCTTGCTAGTCGGCCAGAGGGATCCTTAAGATTCGCCAGCCAACACAGGCAATGGTGGTCACTTACTGCTCGGAATGGTCTACCGTAGAGGTACGGCCGAAATTTACTTATGGCCCAAATGACCGCGAGACACTCTTTTTCGGTTGCAGAGTAATTTGTCTCAGCTTTCGAAAGCTTGCGGCTGGCATACGCTAGCACTTTTTCTTGGCCGTTTTGCCGCTGGACTAGAATGGCTCCGAGGCCGACGTTACTCGCATCGGTGTGAACTTCAGTTTCGGCAGTATCATCGAAGTGGGCGAGGATTGGAGAGGCTTGCAGGCGTGTTCTTAACTCATCAAATGCTTCCTGTTGTTCACTTTCCCACCTAAAGGGCACCTCGTCTTTTGTCAGATTAGTAAGTGGTTCAGCAATGTTCGAAAAATTTTCCACAAATCGCCGATAGTACGCGCATAAACCCAGGAAGCGACGTACTGACTTCTTGTCTTTGGGTGTCGGGAACTTCGCGATGGCAGCTGTCTTTTCGGGATCTGGCCTAACGCCGTCGGAGCTGACGACGTGTCCGAGGAATCGAAGCTCTTCAAAAGCGAAGTGGCATTTTTCTGGCTTGATAGTCAAGTCTGCTAAACGAATGGCTTCTAATACTGTGCGGAGTCGCTCTAGATGTTGGTCGAATGTAGCGGAAAATACGACGTCATCCAAGTACACCAAGCAGGACTGCCATTTCAGTCCCGCGAGGACAGCGTCCATCATTCTCTGAAACGTAGCTGGCGCTGTGCACAGGCCGAATGGAAGCGCTTTAAATTCGTAGAGTCCGTCTGGGGTTATGAATGCCGTCTTTTCACGGTCGCGCTCATCCACCTCAATTTGCCAATATCCGCTCTTGAGATCAAGGGAGGAGAAGTATTTCGCACTCCGTAGTCGATCGAGTGTATCATCGATACGCGGCAGAGGGTATACATCCCGTTTCGTTACGCTGTTCAGTTTCCGATAGTCGACGCAGAATCGAAGGCTGTTATCTTTCTTTTTAACAAGCACTACGGGAGACGCCCATGGAGTGCTGGAAGGCTGGATCACGTCATCTGAAAGCATCTCCTCCACTTGTTTCTTGATGACGTCTCTTTCCTTTTGCGATACTCGATATGGGTGTTGGTAAATCGGTCTCGTGGCTTCTTCTGTTATAATCCTGTGTTTTGCAATAGCCGTTCGTCGCACCTTAGAGGACGTTGCAAAGCAGTCCGAAAACTCTTTTATAAGGGCAAACAATCGTTTCTTTTGATATTCTGGGAGCCTATGGTTGACGTTAACTGATGCGTCGACGTTGCAGGTCTCTTGTGGAGTGGTTGGCGTTGTCGCTAAACTGCATAGTTCAGTCGCCATGCAGAACTCGTGGAAATAGGCGATAGCCATACCTTGCGCGATGTGCTGACATTCATTCCCAAAATTCGTAAGGAGGACAACTGAGCGGCCATTCGTTAAGTGAACAACACCCCTTGCCACGCAAATTCCTTTGTTTAAAAATAGCTCTACGTTTCCATCCGCTATTCCTTCGTGGTCACAAAATGCCTTATTTTCAACAAGCACCATTACACTACAGCGAGGTGGCACTGTGACGTCATCATCAACAACGCGCAGAGCAGTAAGCCGTCGCTTTTCCGATTCCTCCACCGACATAGCTTGTTCTGTCGAAAACGTTACACTGGATCTGCGCAGATTAATTATGGCTCCATTGGCTTGCAGAAAATCCATTCCTAGTATAAGCTCCCTTGAACAGTCCGGCAGCACGATGAAGTCAGCAACGTAAGTAAAGCCTCTTATTTCGAGCCTTGAGGTGCATCTGCCGAACGGTGTAATAGTGTGGCCACCTGCCGTGCGTATCTGTGCCCCACTCCATTTTGTTACAACCTTTTTCAGTTTCTTTGCCAATTTGTAACTCATTACCGAATAATCAGCGCCGGTGTCAACTAAAGCATTCAGCTCACATCCGTCTATTTTCAACCGCAAATCTGAAGTAATCTTCGCACTGCTGCGCTTATCCTCTGTAAACATAGCATCGTCACCTTGAAACCGCAATGGAGGATCTTCGCAACTGTCGTTATCAGCGGCCTCACCTCCACAGGTCGCTTGCTTCAGTTTTCCTGGTGTGGGCTTGTAGAACGGTGCCCAGACCGTGCGGAAGAAGCACGTGGGCTGGGTGATCGGTAACGCCTGGGCGACGGCGATCTTGGCTGATGTTGGCGTGGAGTGAGTGGGCTCTGGCGCGCGGACAAGTACTCTTCGATTTCGGTTGGCCGTTCACCGTTTCGAGGGCATGGTGCGTACAACGGAAAGCCCCTTAATCCTGCCTGTCGGTAAGGGCAGAACCTATACAGGTGACCTGCTTCCCCACAATGGAAACACAAAGGCCTGCGCTCATGGTCACGCCAGATGTCACTTTTCCGGGGCCTTTGATCCACGTAGCGAGCTACACCACGGGCTCGTGGCAGGTAGGTAGCCGTCGGTTCCAGTGGACGAGGTGCGCTGCGTACCGTTTGTGGGCAAGGAGAGGCCATCGTAACTGCTGCATTGGTGTGCGCCGCGGGTTGTCTGAGTACTTCAGAGTACGTTGGGATGCGTTGGATCGGCTGTGGCGCACGCTCCGGCTCACGTATCATCTGCCTCAGTTCATCTCGTACTACGTCGACTACAGACAGTGTTGCTGTAGTGTGAGGCGCTTGCAACTTGCTGAGCTCTTCCCTGATCACCGACCTGATGAGTTCTCGCAGAGCGTCCATGTCACTTCGCTGGCGTCCAGAGAAGACATTGGCAGGTGCATAGTTTATGTCTCGATTGTACTGTCGAGCCCGCTGTTCTAGCGTTTTCTCTATGGCTGTCGCTTCCGCATGAAACTCCGCAACTGTTCGTGGTGGGTTGCGGACGAGAACAGCGAATAGCTCTTGCTTCACCCCACGCACGAGGTGGCGTAGCTTCTTGTCTTCGGTCATATGGGTATCTGCGCGCTTGAACAGGCGGATCATGTCCTCGATATACATTGCGACACTTTCGTTGGTGAGTTGGTTCCTGGATTCGAGCGCAGCCTGCGCCTTTTCTTTGCGATCCGCGCTGGCATAAGTCGCCAGAGCTAGTCGCCGAAATTCATCCCAGGTCGTAAAGGAGGTTTCATGGTTTTCATACCACGTCTTTGCGAAGTCCTCCAAAGCAAAGTATACGCGGCGGAGCTTCTCTCTCTCGTCCCAACCGTTCAAACGTGCCACTCTCTCAAAGAGGTTCAGCCAATCTTCTACGTCTTCATACGAGTCGCCATGAAATACTGGTGGCTGGTGAGGCTGATTTATCACCACTTGGGCTGGTGTTTCATGACTTGTCATGGTGGCGGCGTCCATTGACTGAGTTCCCCTTGGCGCAAAGTGGAGTGGGCTGAATTCTGGTGAATCACCTCGAAGACGGCGACTGGTCCTCTGATGCACAGGTGTCGGCTCCGCAGTATCAACTGGCTGGTGGTCGGGGCTACGCTGTCTTGCGTTCGTAGGGCTTTGATTCATTACCCAGCACGTCCACCAGAAATGTAACGATGTTGAAGAACTCGGGGTATAACAAAACGTATTTATTAAAGGGCGAACCTGTGCCCACAACTCAAAGGGACTATGGTCGTAGCACGTTACAGCAGAACGGCAAGATGTCTTCCTCTTCTACTTCTTCAAGAAGAGTCCCAAGCGCGTGGCACACATCAGCAGGGGCCAGCTGGGTTCTCGTGCTATCATCATCGTCTCTGCGCAACACTAGACGGCGCCCATGTATGTCTCTGTGCGCGTGGTGATGGGCGCGTTATTTGAATGCAGTCACTATGTCGTGGCAATATGTGATGCACCTCACAAACCTTGTGATGTAACCAAAGCACTAGACTGAGAACCCATACTTATGAAGGTGATATAACGTTCTAAAACTATATACTACAGCTGAAGCTACTAATATTGTCTAAAACTTGTGAGAGTATCCCTTTCTATTCACACTGCGTGACTGATTGAGGAGCCGTAGTCGTGACAACAGAAAACTTTTTTGATGTGTAAACATGATTTCAATAACACGTAACAATGCCGCCATGATAAGCAACCAGAATGACATGTAATCATACAATGGGCAGAGTCATAACGATACCTCATGATGAGTTAATGTGTTTTGATGCAGACGAAAAAGCATTCCTCAATGTGATCGCACAGCGATATAGATCATGAGTCGTAAGATCTGCTTTTTTTCAGTGCTCCTGACTGATAAAGAGCTGTTTTTAAACATTTTTTTTATGCAACACATACTTTTTTAACCCCAGTGATATGACGAAGTACACAAGCACCATTGAATCAATGCCCCTATGTTATAACAAACATATACATAGCCTGCCACGTAAGAGAAATATATCCAATTACGACTACCACAACCAATTAAACAAGGGTAACCCAACACAGAGCACATAGCTTCAATGGATACTCATCGTGTAAGCCAATGCAGTAACCAAAACTTGCATATACTCAAGAAAATAACAAATGCCGCACCTAACATGGCCTCTGGATTAAAATGATATGGTCTGCTTTACTAAAGCTCACAGATATTTATCATGTAATAAAGCTATGCTGAATACAGTACTCTATTTGATATTTGTTTACTACCAAAAAATAACAAAACATGTTAGCTGTAGGTGTCCATAGGCTGTTGTGTGCATCAATTTGTGAATGATTCACTAAGTGGTAACATCAATTTTATTCACATCGCTAGAGTAGCTCATTAAGTGTGCGATTTCACAGTGGTTTTCCTCACCTCAATGATGTCTTCAATACTCATTACATAACTATCCAGTGATGCCTCCCAGATAGCCAGTTTCACTGTACAAAAAAAGAAGCAAACATTAAAAAAAATTTCAGATGAATGGAAAATATGCACTGCCAAAACTGCAATCGTGGCATAACTACAGTGATAGTCACTAACACTTGTTTAAAACTCTGATCTCCCCCTTTAAATAACTACGCGAAGGTTGTCTAAAGATATTATAAACTGCCGTTGTGGAAGACTGCCACTAGTGAGAGAAATAAAAGTGAGCTTGCTTCAACCTTGCGTCGCAGTTGCTACAGATATGAATTCTGTATAAAATGTTTTGAGCACAGAAACCAGTCTTCAAGTGTCACGTCCAAGACATGTTGTGATAATTCATATAATTTAGCTAGATTTTATTGATGCGAGGGGTTTAATGTCCCAAAACTACCATATAATTATGAAAGACGCCGTAGTAGAGGGCTCCGGAAATTTCGGCCACCTGGGGTTCTTTAACGTGCACCCAAATCTGAGCACCCGGGCCTACAGCATTTCTGCCTCCCTCAGAAATGCAGCCTCTGCAGCCGGGATTCGATCCTGCGACCTGCGGGTCAGCAGCCGAGTACCTTAGCCACTAGACTACCGCAACGGGGCCATAAAATTTAGCTTAGCATGATTAGCATGGTTGCAAATTTACAAAAACGCACTTTCATAAAATGGCTGTCATCACCTGGCGAGAAATGTCGACATTTCCTTTGTTATAAAATTTTTGTTCACTCGAAAACAAATAGCAGTTGTGCACTGTTTCGTCATACGGCCATATTATACAAAACTATCAGGAAAGTTCAAAAACATCCTGTATATAACTTTTTTTTTATCGTGGAATGGACATGGTAAGCTTACAGAGTGAGCCACACTCGCACACAGGGATCGCTACAGGAGAGGACGATTGCGCTTCAGCACACATGCTCAGGGTCACGACGCGTTGGCGTAACGTCTTTTCCTCGTGCAGTTCCTCCCTGTGAAGCTTCCAGCGCACTTGTTGTGATGCGAAAAGAGAGAAAGTATTTCAAGCAAGCAACCAACTCCAATAACTGCTTTCGTTCTTGTTGGATCTGAGAAATTTTTTTGTCGATCGATTTTTGACGCAATGAACTTAAGTACAAAGGTTCAGTGAGCTCCGATACAAAGGTGGTTCACGACCAATTGAACAAAGGCATAACCGACTACAGACGTCTCGGCTAAGCGATCGGGAAGTCCTCGTAAAACACCTACCGGAGAGAGCAAGCCCGCTTGAAAATGTGTACTTCTCCAGGTCACCCTCGCCATCTCTGCTGAGGTAGATGCTGCCATCATGAAACTTCGTCTTGTTTCTGAAACAAAATTGTGCAACAAATTATAACTACCAGTAATACTAAGCAATGTGAATTGTGCAACCATTTATAGGTAGTCTTACCCTTGTTAAGTTTGCTATTTTGTGTTTGCTTTGAAAAAAAATACACACTGGAACCTAAGACTTGAGCAAGAAGCGATTTCCATTTTTTGAAAATATTAAATTCAAGGGCATTATGCGCATGAATAGCGGTATGATTACGAGGAATATTATCGGGAGTGCCAGACGCCGAATTGATCTTGACCACCTCGGTTTGACTAGCGCACACGGATTTTACTGCATGGTCATTTTTGCTTTCAGTCTCAACGTAGATGAGGCTAGCGTGGCCAGGAACAAAGCTAGTGAGCTTCGCAGACTTCAAACATATTAGGGTAAGACACGCAGGCTTCTGCAAAAGGCCCCTTGAGACAAAGTACTAAATGCAATAAAAATAAGGGTTATCCCAATGTGCTAAGAAAATGGCAGCGAAAGTGCAAAACTGTAAGGGGCAGACCTGCCAATTTTTCAGGACAGTGGGTAAAGGAATACAAACAATATATTTCCTGCAATCAGATTCTGTATAATAGCCTTCGAATTGTTTTACTTTCTCACTGCAAGTACTTCATACAGCATCAATTACGTGTAAGCCTGCAAAACTGCATAAATAGAAGTTTTGCGCAACTTGCAGGCTCCTACAGGACTGATTATCCAGTGCTCAGTTCTCTCAGCGCTTCGAGTTGTCCATTATTTTGCTGTCTCGGTGCCAACTGCTAGTCTCGTGCTTAGCTAGAATGGGTGAGTGACCAAACCCAAGGGCATTTATCCCGGGTTCCGATGCCATATCAAAACGAACTCTTCCGTCAAATGGGAAGCTTTCTTTCCGAGACATCCATGCCAATTTGCTTTCTAACTTAGTGCTACAAACGGGTCCATGACAATTTTGTTTTGTTTTTTCAAAGCAGAACTTCTTAAATTTTAACAGAACAATGAGCGTAATAAAATAGTTGCATCGGAGCACAGATAAATAAGAAAGAATGTGGACTCACTCGTGGTATGTAAATTCCAAAGCTTCAACCTCCTGGTTTACAAGCGATGGGCTGTAGGAGTGTTCCTCGTGTGGCTTCAGAAACTTCAGCACAGCCTTCCTCTAGAAATGAGCCGTGTGGACAGGATTCAACATAATGGAAGTGAAAAGCTGTCAGCGTAAAAACCAACTGCATTATTTTATTTTTGACTGAACTTATTTGAGTACTGTAGTACCCATTAGATATGCAATACGAGCAATGTTTCAGGGCGGTCTATTTGCAAGCTTTCTTATTCTCAACCTTGAATCATAGATAATCTCCAAGAGTTTTTTTCTTTTTTTGGCACTGCAAGCAGTGCCTAATCATGATTGTGAATGATGAATTATGCGTCACTTCCTACGAACAGCTATGTTTTTTTTTTTGTCAGTCGTCCTAAAAAAAATTTCTCCTTGTGAAGGTTTCACAAGACACACACTCTTAGGTACTTCAAATGTGACATTCTGCGAGGAGACTGCCCCACACTTGCATTACATGAAAGTAGGTTTTTCGCATGGCCAAATATTTTCTTTTTGGCAACATTTAAACGTGTACAATATCAGCTAACACAGTTAACTTGCAAGATACAAGTACACAGAAAATTGATCTTTTACAATAGACAGCGGATCCTGACATTTGGATGATGACAACCATGTTGAAAAACATGATCACCTTTTAAAGACAATAAAAGTGCGTCATGCGTCATTTGGCATCATTTTTCAAAATTTTGTTCTACTTATGATGAACACTAGCCCTATGAAAATTACAACAGTAATACTGGGAATAAAAACAGATTAAAAACCAATATTTCGCAGAATATATGCAGAAAATATGTAACCAATGAACATTAACAAAATTACCTCTATTTCTGGGAAATTCCAAAAGACAACTGATCCTTCCCTAAAAATAAAAAAAAGAAACATTATGGAAATGCCACAGGTGTATGTCATGTATTTTAACACTTCTTTTTTCAGTTTTGAGCAAGAAAGTCCTAACCCTCACAATGTTGATACCCTTGCAGAAGTTTTAAAAAATAAAATAAAAGTTCACAGAAAAATGTGAGATAAAGAATTTAGTTTTCCTTGTGAAAGTGAATCCAAGGACATGCTAAAACCTTGAAGTAGTTTCATTAGATATTTGCTGTCTGAATAAACTTTTATTGTTTTATTGTAATGGGAGATATGATGATTATTTGGGACCTTATAGTTGCATCATGGGCACTGACTAGACTTGTGCGAATAGTGAATTTTAAGGTTCGAAGTTAATGGTAATTTGGTTTATTACTTTCGAAACGAATTTAAATAGTGCAGTATATCATGTAGCATAAATAAAAATGGGCATATCTGTCATCAACCAACAACAAACCTGCACAATATTAAAAAAAAACAAACTGAAACAAGGCCTAGAAATAACACTCGAATCAGAAGTAATACCCGCTTATTGTAGCAAGAATCAACTGGCTTTTCCAGCATAAAGTGTTACTTAAGACGTTACATAAAGCGTTATTTAAGATAAAAATGTTGCAACAACAAACGAAGGAGAAAAAGCAGTCAACAACTTCAAGTCCAACCATCCAGACGAAGGCTGCATACCTTGCTCACCTAAAGATGAAAAGCTCCCTTGACTCTTCGCTCACTTGATACTTGGCCGAGGCATAGAGAACATCGTCCAAGTCTTCAGAGATGACCTTTTCCTTGTACAGACCTTGCTCTTTCAGTGCGTTCAAGATGGACTTCAGATCATACTCTTCGGCTGTGCTGTATGCCACGGCCGTCAGTGAACTCTTCAAGGTGCCATGAAAAGCAAATTCATCAATTAAGAAAAGAAAATGCAATAAAAACCTATCTTGGCAACATTGTGCCCGACTAAACCTTGAAGAAACCGACAACCAGCCAAAACGCGTGATTAAATCGCGGTGGAAATGAAATGACCGCGAAATATAGTGACACAATCCGTAATGTGTGTATAGGCAGCAGTATAGGAGCCAGACTTTGTACTGTCATTCACAACAGAAATATGCAAAGTGACATTTATTTATTAAAATAATTGAGCAGCACTTGTGTTATCTAACCTAACACCTGTAGCTCTCTATTGTGGAAGAGGAGAGGAAATGGAAAGATTAATTAACAGTAGGTCATCAGCACAGCAGCCTAATTAGAGCCTTAAAAGCTAGTCTCCAAATAGCTTCTACATGAAATCATTGGAGAATAACCTGGCATCATCATCATGGTCAGCCTCTTTTTATAAAATATAAAACTTGGTACTGAACTTGCAACACAGTGTGTGACAGCTTCTTTCCTCTGTTGAAGCCTTGTTTTGTATTTGTATAATGAAATCTCACCAGCTACCCTGTCTGCTTGTCACTTTTGTATGCGCACTGCCAAACGAAGGCAGTCTACCAACAATCTTCAATTCATATAGTGTGGTGATTCCGTTTTATGGCTGCCGTTTTCTGAGAATAACTTGGCATCAACGTTCGTCGAAGGCGGTACACTCCCGCTTCAAAAACAGCAGCGAGGCTCAGCCATGTCCTCCATGCTATCTATAAAATCACAGTGTTCAAATACTTCACTGACCACTGGAGCTTCTGGAGCAGGCTTCTTCCTTGCGAGTCTCGTCTTTATTGGCAGCGACGACGAGCTGCGGGACGTCGCTGCGACTACACGGCCACAAATACGGATCTCGTACTGAAAACAACATATGCTAGTCTTGTGGAGTCTCCTAGAGGTAACATACAGAAAAACAAAGAAGATGCAACCGTACGTTAAATGCATTCTAATTACTGATACGACCTATAATGGCCTGATAAAGCAGTGAAAACATGCCCTATACTATCATTACCGCCAGCACTGCTCCTAGATTTACAGGTAGTTCTGTGTTCCTAGCATATATAATCAAGAACATAGATAAACTACAAGAGGGTCTGAATGGTACTTTTAATATTTGTTACTAGAAGCACAGCAAAAGGGAACTAGTTGGAACATACAATGAACTGCCAAAAACCCCTTGTTTAAATTAACTGCCAAAAACCCCTTGTTTCAGGCAAACAGATGAATGTCCCAGTTATTTTCTGAACGAATTTGATATCGCATACTCAGTAGTAAAATCTACACACCCCACTGTAGTTTATTGTTAATGAGGTCGGGGTTTGAGGCGCCCCAACTCCGGTTTCTTTGTTTATTTTTAATGGAGTGTGTATGAACTCAGCATACGTTGAAGTTGGTGAATGCAATACTGCACATTCCCACAACAGATTATTACTGACATCTATTACCTGTGAATGATGCGACATTCCTTGATACCCCGAGACATGCTAGTGCTTGTCGAGAAAAACGCGCAAATTGCGCGCTCGCCATTACTGGAAAGGAGATAATAGGATGGGTCAGTTTTTGAGTCACCTGTATAGAGTCATAAATATAAACAACACGCAGAGATAGCCATGAGCTGGACTTGTAAAGGTCAGACGAAGTTCTTACAGCCGTGAAAATCTTTCCGAAACTACAAACATTTGTAACGGGAAGTCCACCCTTACCTAACACAACTACGAGGCGTGCCTTCGTCAATTTGGGAACTATTAATAGCACAACAAGACGGGCGATAGCTGCGAAACACTCACTTTGTGCTTTTGCTGTGTCGTGTGACGCCTTCGCATATGTGATTAACGAAGCAAAACTGTACTAGCAACCCATACGCAAATTAATTACTAGTTCGAAAGCGAGCTGACACGACGAACAACACGGTATAAACCTGCGAAAAGCATGATGCGAACGGCACGCCGCCGGCATTCACATTGAAAATGATCACGCCCTGGCTTGTTTCCGACTTCGCGTGGCTCGTGTGATGATAGCAAGAAAGGATTGAAACAAGCCGAAAATAGCCAAGTTGAGCGCGCAGCCGTTTCTAAGTTTATGCGGTGCACACGTGCGTGCACAGAGGAAGGAAAGGTGCGTGCGTGATAGTTTTGTTGTGTTGCGCCAAGTTTGTCAAATACTCCGTAAGATGCGTCCGCTCACGAGCGAAGAAACTCGAACGTTTTTCGACAAGCTCTCCAAATAGTGAGTGCTGAAGACCGGTTTACCATGGCTATTAGTTTGCGAGCTTACATCGTAGTTTACTGGTAGCGTCGTGTTATCTGCTCGATCGTACGTATTAAATACTTTTGTCGTTCTTGCATTTTTTTCTACAGCATATCTGAGAATATCAAGCTTCTCATTGACAGGCCAGATGGCACTTACTGTTTTAGGCTCCATAAAGACAGAGTCTATTACGTAAGGTAAGCAAGTAAAATAGGCACTGGGTAGTGAATGCACAAAACTTCGGACGTTCGCAACACGCCTGATTGTTTGTTGTGGTCCGTGCAGCGAAAAGATCATGAAGCTGGCCAACAACGTTAGCTCGAGAGAACCTCATCAGCATGGGCACTTGCTTCGGCAAGTTCACCAAGTCTGGCAAGTTTCACTTGCACGTCACCGCCCTGGATTACATGGCACCGTATGCGAAAGTGAGTTAGCGTTTTCTTTTGGCTCTTCGGTTGCGCGCTATTTAGTAGTTTTTAGTTGTTGCTACCGCTTGCGCCTTACTGACCTACGTTATTCTATACCTGTTTTGATTTCGAACACTGGGCAAGAACTGTACTGTTGTCTATGTCCCCCCACCCCCTCTCGTTATTCAGTTTAGGCCATAATACTGTTACATCTTACAGCAAAAGGTGTGGCTCAAACCAAGCGCAGAACAGCAGTTCCTGTATGGCCACCACGTGCTCAAGTCTGGTCTTGCAAGGATCACTGAGAGTACCAACACGTACGACGGTGTGGTAGTCTACTCCATGAGTGACATTCCCTTGGTGAGCAACGTTTTGCTGCTTAGTTCTCTAAAGCATTATTGTGTGTCTACACATGCAGTGGTACACTCTACCAGTATAAGCGCATAAGTTTCTGGGTTGCCTGCATCTATAGACATGTGGTAGAACATGTCACGAGCATTGATTAGGGCGCTAAGATAAGCAATAACTGACACTGCAATTGCAGATGACTGCATTAGGATGTGATGCGGCGACACAGCTCAGTGAGGTTTGTGGAGAGCTTTTTGAGCGTGAGTTGCTGTTCATGCATTCGTGTATACCTGAACATCGGAGTGGAAAGTTAACAAGCTCCTGTGTTTCTTAATTTAGCGTTGATTCATGTTTCCATAATGCACTGCTTTCACAATGGCGATGGCCTCTGCTTAGTCAAGCACAAGACACACGCTTTCTTATGACTATATCTCGCATGCTGACATGTGTGGCATAGATAGCTTGCACGTGACTTGATTGGTGTAGCTTCATAACATACTGGTTTGCCAGCATGGTGGCTTTGGTGACATAAAGGCTGCATAGTCACGTTGCTGTTAACCCGCTACTCGCTTCAATATAATAACAATGTGGCCACAATGCTATTGGACGTTGTGCGCCAGTAACCGAAGAACTTGCAAGTGATGTAATGATAACATTAGCATGATGTCACAAACCTTGCATCCTACTATGTGGTGCAGTACTATGTGTGTATGTGGTGCAGCAATATGGCGGGTTCAGTGACATCAGTGCCAGCCAGCAGAACCTGGAGAAGGGAAAACAGTGAAGCTGTTTCATTAATGCATTTTTTGTTTGACCAAGTCCGTCATGAGTGCCTCACAAACGCAAGTCCGTTTGTTTAATTTGAAATATTTGTCTCTTGATCAACTACTGTTGGCCACTTCGAGTCTCCGTCATTCAGTGATCCCTTTCCTTGTTTAGCTTGCAATGGAATCCATGGCATGTATCGGCCTTCGTGGCCGCATGTTTCAGATTGGGAAAAGGGGCTTGCTTATTATATGCAGTTATTCCTTCTCGTACTTGCCGCCCAAAGGTCTTGCTTGTAAAATTTGGAAGCACCAGCTGTTTCTTCCAAATTGGGCACCAAGACATGCCATGCAGGGTGTCATCTGCCTGGTAGAGATGTGTGCAATATTTAGTGTTGTCCTAAGTATACCAGCCATTTCTGTCCAAAATAATCCCAGTAAAAGTTAAAACTGTTATTGTAGTTACCCGAGTTCTTCTAGTTGTCTGCTCGTGCATGACAGGTTGGGTTGGGTGGAAGTTATTGGGAGAGGCCTTCGTCCTTCAGTGTTCATAAGACAGGCTGATGATAATGACTGGTTCTTACCATTGCATTTTGATTGATTGATACGTAGGGTTTAACGTCCCAAAACCACCATATGATTATGAGAGACGCCGTAGTGGATGGCTTCGGAAATTTCGACCACCTGGGTTTTTTTAACCTGCACCCATATCTGAGCACACAGGCCTACAGCATTTTCGCCTCCACTGAAAATGCAGCCGCCGCAGCCGGGATTCAATCCCACGACCTGCGGGTCAGCAGCTGAGTACCTTAGCCACTAGACCACTGCGGCAGGGCATTGTGTTTTGGTTAACTGCATTGCACTGTAGAGGGAATAGCGGTGCCTCTCACGCCTGGCCCTGGCCGATTAAAAAGATGAGCATGTCTGCATTGCATCATTGTCTTTGTGCTTGTTCAGAATGAGAAAAAGGCAGCTGGAGGTGTTGTTATGCCTTTAGTAGGGAAACTCCTGCTTACTCCTGTTGCCACAAAATTGTATAACGTATCAATGTGTTGCCCAGAAGAAACATCTCTGTTCTTTCATGCTACTGATTGAAATGAATCTTATTATTATGCAATAATGTGGAATACGCAGAATTTTACTTAGTTGCATATCATCTGCATTTCAGGGTTTCGGTGTTGCAGCAAAGTCCACGCAAGAGTGCAGGCGTGCAGACCCTATGACCATCGTGGTCTTCCACCAGGCTGATGTGGGAGAGTACATTCGCTCTGAAGACACCCTCACGTGATCATCAAACCGCCATTATGTGTTTCACCTTAAAGATATTCTAAATTAACTGTGCAGCCTCATCATTCATTCTTCAGTTTTCAGACCTCTTAACAGTGAATGGTGCAGTGACTACAGTTGAACACTGTAAAGGTGCACTTCTGTGGACAAATGAAAATGCACCTAATCAAGGCATTCCGAATGCAGACAACCATATCAATATCAATTGTTATTGAGTAAAATATATTGATAGGTAACTTAACTGTGGTTAATGTGAAGATGGATTTTATTCGTTCTGAAAATTTGACTCCTGAAAAAAGACAAAGGGAGAGACAAAGCAAAAGTTTGTTGTTTCCACTACAAAAGCAGTATTTCTCGTGTAATGCTTTGAAGAAGAAAAAATGGAAAAACTCTTCTCTGAAACTGTAGGCACCAGGATGTCTATTAGCCTGGAAGTTGAAATATATCGAATACACTGTATGCTTGCCCTCTTGCTCTAGAGAGGCTGCAAGCATTGTCTGCATACAATCACGAAAGCACAGACAGCTTCACCTGTGTGGTGTCCGAGACATTGCATTAATAAATTTTTATATTTGTACTTTGTCTGCTGCACAAAATTCGATGGGCAGCCATAAAATGTTGCACTTTGGGAGTGCAAAAAAGACATATTGCACCTTTTTTGTGTCTTCGTTTTTGTCTTTTTACATGCAGTTCTGCTAGGTAACTTAACATCATTGGATAAGTTGCTGATTGCGTGCAACTGTTCACAGAAGGGTGAACGTTTTGGTCGGGAGTAAAGCCTTTAGCACAAGCTGCTTCCTCAAGCACATTTTTTTCCATCACTTGCATAATGATTTATTGCAAGACCAAGTCCTGGTATTTTGACAGCCTGTGTTTACTGCTAGTTGCAGCTTGAAGTATTGTGAAAATACTAGATAGCTCGACTGTACTGGTGGGAACAGTAACCCTGCATTACAAAGCCATTCTCAAACACTGCATACTAGTAGTTGTGTATAGCAAGGTTGCTGTTAGTGTCTTCATTGTACCAAATTTGCTGTATTAAGATCCTGCCTGACAATCAAAATTTCAGGCTGGCTACATGACTGCTTTCTAGCTACTTTGAAACTTATGACATTGCGTGTTAATCAACCATTTTTCGTATCATTTACGGATAAAAAAATACGCTTGCTTTCTAGCTTTCTGTCATAATGTCAGCCAACGTCCTCCCCCAACCAACAGGCATTCCATTGAGGCATCCCAATGCAATGTGCGGAGCATCTGCGCATGCCAAGTGGCAAAGTTACATGCATGTTGGCAGACCTGTGGCCGCCATGCTGCTCACGCTCCCCGCCATCTAGCCTTGTGGTACACGCAAGTGTCCGATTCCATTTGCAGTGCGTGTTCTCGAGGAAGCTTGACAAAAACAGGTGAAACAACAAAATGAAGTTTCGGTTATTATCGTGACCAGATTTCTAGGCTCGTGCAAATATGCAAATTCGGATTTGAATTTAAATGATCGGAAATTTCGAAGTATTCAAAATGTACGAATAAATGTACATTAGTCTGCACAAACCCCTTTTAAAGTGGTTTCACTGCAATAAACTAGTGTTAAGCCGTGAAAACACCTATGCAAGGAAAATCCGCTCTGCCAAGAAGCCCCACTTGTTTGTTAAATGAACATTTGAAGTTTAAAAGCTTGTCTTGCAGCTTTTATGCTCAAAGTATAGTAAATTTGGAAAAAATAACATTTTACAGTTATCACTTGCATTCTACTATAAGTCAAATCCTGCTACTATTCCAAGTTGCTTCAACGTCTTTTGAACCGAAAAGAAAGACATTAGCGCAGGCCTTGTTTCAATAAAATAAACTGGGGGTGTAGGTTAGTTGAGTCATGACAGATATGTTCATTTTTCTTTATGTGATATATATACTACCCAAACCTGATTCAAAACTATTCGACGAAATCACTACAGTTGAACCCCTTTATAAGAGGCTTGCTCCGTGCAGCAGTTTTTGTCCTTTTACATGAGATGTCTTATAAGCAGGGTACCATGTATGCATTTTCTTATCAACCCACATTTTACTGTAGGCACACTGGTGTCTATTATATGAGTGTGTCTTATAAAGGGGTTCGACTATATTGGCTTCAAACCTAAGATTCACTATTCGCACAAGCCTACAGATTTCACCATCTGAAGCAGTACAGGTACTATGTGAGCTCTACTAATAAAATTCGATCTGTGGCTGCAAGCAAAACTTCTGCAAAGTTTTAACATTGACACTGGCTTGTTAGCTGGAATATTCTGCACTTACTCTGTATGTGGCAATAATTCTATCTACTCTACATAAACTATATGTGTGGCACACTGAATCATTAAAACTTATATGTCCATTTGCACCTTAATTATAGCTTGGAGATCAAAAGTAGAAAAAAACTTTGCTCCTATTTCTATGGCCTTTCTAGGTTAAAGTGGTTATTTATTACTGAATTATAAGAACTCGTAATACTGCTTCTGTTTTATTTGGCGGCAAACGTGGCAATGAAACTTAAAGGGACACTAAAGGCAACTATTAAGTCAATGTCGATTATTGAAGTAGCGGTTGAGAAACCTTGTAGTGTTACTTTTGTGCCAAGCAAGGGCCTATTTTGAAGCGTCTCTCATAATCATATGGTGGTTTTGGACATTAAACTCCACATATTGGGGCCTATTTCAAATAAAATCGCATTTCAGTGGTCCGCATCGGGTTGGCGCACTTTAAATTACCCGCCTCAAGAAGCCGACCAACCAGATTGACTCGCGTCACTGTTGCCATGCTAAACGTTGCCCGGCTTTACTGCACTAGTAGCAGCAGACCGAAAGCAGCAGGAGCCACAGCAGCAACAACGGCCATTGATCGATTTCCCGCCATTGGCTTCGAGATTTCAGACGTTTTTTGGTTCAACTGTGTCTCGCTAGATGGCATCACATGTTCCGTGCAACCACGCGAAAACTGAATTTTTTAACCACTCGCGCCATTCCCATAGTAACTTCGGGCGGTGTTTTTTTCCATGAATCAAACAGAAATGAACAAGCAGCATTTTATTGCATCTCTTGATGCACGGAAGGTTCTTTATTTAGTGCAGTTAGATCGATTACTAGTGATTAACTGTAGGCGGTCCGTCTGATGTCATCAGAATCATTTTGAAAATGTCCTACTGCGGCACATGTGTTCTTGTGCATTCACCTTAATTTCTCGGTAAGTAGGGCACTGTTGTTGATAATATTGTCATTTTAGATGTTGTCATACATTGAGCTTTCACTCTGATGTAAATTGTTATTTGACTTTAGTGTCCCTTTAAGTGATATGGATACTTTGTTAGACACAACGTAATGCCAATCAACTGAATATCAAGCCAAGAAAACTGTGGGAGACATTATTTGCAATTACAATATAAATGTGATGAAATTAAAGCGGACGAATCGACAGTTTGCCCCTGGCATGGACTGTACCGCTTCCCATAAACTGTAGCCTTTGAATGATGCCTCGTTACTCTACCAACCGAGCTACAGCGGCGGTCATCCTCCTGTACTCTTTATGAGGCTACTTTTAGCGCGAGCTCTGGCTCCTTTTCAAGTCCACCCCATGGCAACCCTGATGTATGTCGTTGCCTTAAGAATACTTGAGGGAAGGGGTTGGAGCATAGTGCCAGCTTGAAACGAGCACATATATACACCTCTGCCTCCACCACATTGGAGCTCACGTAAGCGTGCTCACTGCAGCAATTATGCTGATAGTGCCTGCACAAAGTAATGTTCCAAGAGCACTCCCCGATTCCCGTAAATGTTGATTATTGAGAGGCTATACTGTCCAGCTGAGTTCAGCTTGAATGGGTGTGGTGGGATCAGAAGGCAGTGAAAGCTGTGGAAGCCTTTCACAGAGGGCCTGTTTAGCCTCCTTCTTCCTGATAAGCGCTGCAGTCTAGTCAAGCGCCAGATTTCTAGATTTCGCAGGCTTTCTTGATTAACCAAAAAAAAAGAAGTGAGCACGCAATGACTACGTTATTAGAAGTGGCACAGTTATATGCCATTTTAACATGCCTGCATTTGCTTCATTGACATTTTAATGATTAGGTAAGTACTTGTGTTGGAAATGTGCCCTGCCGTGGTGGTGTAGTGACTAAGGTACTCGGCTGCTGACCCGAAGGTTACGGGATCAAATCTCAGCTGCGGCGGCTGCATTTTCAATGGAGGCGAAAATGCCGCAAGCCCATGTGCTCAGATTTGGGTGCACGTTAAAGCATCCCAGGTGGTCGAAATTTCTAAAGCCCTCCACTGCGGCATCTCTCATAATCACATGCTCGTCTTTGGACGTTAAGTCCTACATATCAATCATTGCATTAGAAATGTAGTTAGGATTAATTAAGTAAATGTCATTAACAAAAATAAATAGCAGTGGCTAGCAACCACACTATACTGGGAACAAGATGTACTAGGTGTGCTTCGTGGAACAATGTTTCTTTTTTTTTTGTTTAAGTTGTGCTGTGTAATAGCTTGAACGCTCTGTATATTGGTACAGTAGCTTAAAACAGCTGATCTGTTGGCACAGTTTAGTATATTTGCATGAATAGCTTGGCCAGTGGCAAGAAGCAACTTAATTTAAGAAGTCCCATTAATGGATGAAAAGTTCTTGATGTAAACATTGGCGTGTTTTTTCACATTTTGTTTAGAAGAACTGTGACCTAGACCACATGACAGCTTGTGAAGAATTACAGTTTAAGCATGTGCATGAAAGAAGCAAAGGGACCTCTATCTTATGTTTGTATGTATCATTTGGTCATGCAATGTGATGACCCAAACAAATTCAAGATGTAGCAGCCTTCCAGAATTTTGTCTCAGAGTTGCAAACATCTGTAACTGGCAGCAAAATGGGAAAATCTAGCGAAGTCCTTGCAAATTTATTTATGCACCACGGAAACTTCTACATGAAAGCAAAAATCTCTGTTAAGGCAGGTGATATATTAAGTAAGGGTGTGCAAATAGTGAATTTTAGAACTGAATCGAATGCTGTTCAAATAATTTTTGAATAGTAAAGCAACCAGTTTCAAAGCAGCTCTATAACATCAATGTAACCATTTTGAAATAAATTCTACGTTATGATGACCTTTTAGAAAAGATAAATAATTAGCTAAATTAAAGCAAGCCCATGTGCAACGGCAACTAGAGCCTTAGAAGTAATTGGAACTGCAGGTAGAGACACAGCAGTAACTATAGTATTCAAAGTCACACTTGCTAACAGCCTTTAAATAAATCTGGTTTCTAAATATTAAACAATATTCGTAAGTTAGCACCATCATGAATGTCATGATTGTGGATTGGCGATTCCTTTGCGGACACTAACTTTAAGCAAAAAACGTGTTCATCCTGTGATCAAAATAGCATTGATAGTCCCATAATAGCTTGGGCTGTAAGCATCTCAGTACTTCGATTAGTATTAAAATAAAAAATGTTACCTCTCCAAGTGCCAACGTTTTTTTGTCGGTGCTTGTTGAGAGGAAAATATTTGGTATTTATAATACACACTATTCAATTCATTAATTGAAAACTTCAAATATTGGTACACCGCTAATGTTTGAAATATGCACAACATTTATTGGTTCCACAAGCCGATTCAATAACTTATCAAACATGATTGAATGGTTAATTATCCGACATGGCTGGTGGCATGTTATAACAGTCACCCCATCTCAAATTCACAATTAAGTGAAGAGCCAGGTGAGTGCACTGCAGAGGCCAAAGAACGAAAACATCATTTTTTTGAAAACAACTTTTATTAAGCATTCAAGCGTCGAGTTATAAATGCCTAAAAATTTAACAAAAGTGTTCTTGTAAGCTTTGAACAATGAAATAATAGTACAAGCAATACTGTACAAAGCCCACTTCTGGAATAGTTTTTCCACACCATTATTTCGAATTGCAAGCAGTTGTGTCAGACCTTTTCGGCCACAACCTGCATTGCATGTTCGAGCCCTGGCTGACCGTTTTCGATGCCAACATCGACCGCAAGCACACCCAGCAACCATTTTCAAATTGTGCAGCAGTGCCCCTGAAAGTTGACAGGCCAGTGCTGAAGCTCACTATGGCCCTACCTAGATCCGGCATAAATGTCAGTGCCATCAGTGACCGTCTAAACAGTACGTAAACATTGGACAAACACCTACCATGAGATATGTAAAGGCCGCATGTGTCATCTTATGTGTTTGTCTGTTGCTTAAGCACTGTTTAAATAATAATGAATTTTCATCTAGCTGGAATTACTGCCCTTGTGCTATCACAGAACTGGGTAACAGCACTGCAATAAATGTAGCATAAGATGGATACAAATGTGCAAGTAGCTATGTTACTCTTCTGCACATAAATTTATGCATCCACCAACGATGTCACTGCTAATTCCATACAGTAATGCCAATTGAAAAATAAATGCAAATGGCAGCCACATTCACTTTTCAGAAAGTGAAATCAGTACAGTACCACACACTTTTGGGCAGTATTCTTGGTTATTCTTCTAGAGATACGACCACCCTCCCAACAATAGCACGTGTGCAAGCAACTATGTGTGAGCGTGTTATAGGTTCTTTACACTGTGCAAAGAATGCAGCGCTTGTAGATGCCATAAGGCCAGTGCTAGTTGCACACAAATATCTCAAAAAGTGTATCACCTAACTGAGGTGCCTCGTGAACAGAGCACTATAAATGTGCAGCATCAAAAACATGGTGTAAATGTGAGGAAACAAAGCGCTTATTCTGAGCACTGCCAGTCTCATCGCAGTGTTTATAGTAAACGCTATGGTCTTGATATATAGACTGCCAGTCTCTAAATCAAGACCATAGCAGCTGGGCTTGATGTTACAATGTGAACATAGAACTTGATTTGTGCTTTATGTGTTATTAAATGAATAATAGGAGACCTGTGTGGTGCTTTCAGCAAGGTGCCTAGAATGAACGGGCTGTTTCACTCAACAGCTAGACTGGCAAGCTGTCGTACATTGCATTTATGAGAGCACGAATCCCTCCAGGAAGCACCCAGTCATTCAACGCAGTGACTAAGCTTTACAGTCGAGCAAGGCAGACTTTCCACGAGGCAAATGAGCTGGGACAGGTCCATAGCAGATGGCACAATGCAGCCGGCTAACAGCATTGTATTTATGCCACAGAGATTTTTTTTTCAGCCACACGAATCAAAAGTGACGTCGACAGTGCGCACAGGAGACCTCGGGCATCTTGCCGCAGTACTAATGTTTTATTTACATAATAATTTACGGGGTTGCTCGAACAGTGATACCACTTTTTCACTGTCTGAAGTAATGTGAAAAATTCTTGTGAACACATATAAGCATACTGATGTCAAGAAGATGACGACTTTTTGACATCACTCTCCACAACGTAGAGCTGCACCTGTAATACGGAGTAAGATCGCAATGTTCAGCCTTCATGATATACAATATGCACTTTGAAATGAATAGAATAGCATGTTAGCATTGTAATACTGTCTGGCATTTGAGCAATAATGATTAACAAAAATTACTAAAACAACAGCTTGTGGAAATTACTGTTCGAAGCTATTTTGTATTTAGACACTTTCTTTTACGTTGTTCAACCCATGAAATTTTCACATGCTTTTGCTATATGATGTCTCCTATGGATAGAAACAAGACATAAAAGAGCAGTGCGTGCTCTTTCTTGCTCCTCCCACTTTCACGATCTGTTTTTTGCAGCCTAAGTTGTCCTTACACAAGCAAGTCAAGCACCAACTCTCTAAAAAAAAGTACTTTTGGATGGAAACAACTTACGCTTTATTTTCTTATTTATACAGCAAATCATATAAACACACAAACGAGAAATGAAGAGATGCAAGACCAAGGAGCTAGCACAATTATTAAACTGCACTAAATGCCTCATTCTTAGACAATCAGTATCTTTCTATAGTTGCACACAACCTCACACACATAGCAAACCTTGGTAAATCGGCTAACATGTCTACTGCTGCCTCAGCTGGCAAATGTACACCAAAAGTGATGCCCTTTCGTTATCACATCTTCGCACATATTACTTGCACAAAAGATATAAAAGACTTTGAGATGAAGTTGGGATGGAGATTGTATGTGACTTTTGATTAGCAAGGTGGTTTCATGGCAACGCAAAGCAGCTGACTTCACATAAATACACAGATCGAAAGCTTCTTTACAATGCTAATACAGTCCGAACCCGCTTATAACAATATCGGTTTTAACAATACATCGGTTATAACACAGAAAAGCTGTCACACCCTCAACTTCATAAACATTTTCTATGGTGAGATAACCTGATTACAGCAATGCCCGCATGCCACCTTATCAGTTATAACAATAAATTCTGGCTATTGGGCGTCCATGCTGAAAGGTAATCGAACACACAAAATTCATGAATGAAAAAAAAACATAAAATAAAGATGCTGAACTTCCGCCCGCAACCGCAACGTCTACAGCATGCTCATACGATATGACACATTTTATAGCCTTCCTGGTACTGTCAGGCATAAGTCCCCTTTTGAATTTATGACATGCTTCGTGCATAGCGTTACGGCATGGCGGCACAGCTGACCTTCGAAATCCGCTTTGGTGGGGGAGCGGCTTCTACTAAAGAGGCCCTGAAACACTTTTTTGAGTAGCCATGGATTTAATTCACTGGAAAAACGTATTACCCCACAAATTGAACGCCGTAAAAATTTTAAGAATCCGTCCGGTACGAGCGGAGTTACAAAGATTTGTCATACACTGCAATCACATTCTCTCTTGTATCGTCCCGACGAAGCGCTGGAAGCTGAGCAGGGAGGGATGGGAGGAGCAAACAAGAAAAGTCACTCACGCCTCGTGACTTTGAGCCCTTTTTTCTTTTCTTCGAATACGCGGCTTTTTCAGTGCGATCACGGGCGCATGCGTGTATAAATGACAGCCTCTTGCGGCGACCTTTGTAACAACCGAGCGCGCCATGTTAAAATCAGCCAATGTACTAATCAATGAGCTTATTTTCCGTGCTTTCGTCGAGAGAAGAGGAAGCTATTTTTAGCTGACTGATAATTTATTGTGAATTCCAGCCCACGTGCTGCGCTACAATATCTGGCTCGCGTGTTGTCGGGAGCCTCTACTACTAGTTCGGCAGCATTTTCTGACCATGCTCAAAAAGTGTTGCAGGGTTCCCTTTAAAGAGACCCTGCAACACTTTTCAACGTAACTGTCAAATAACCTCGCCAAAAAGGTTTACTGCTAACAACTCGACTGCCACAAAAAGTCTTGGAATCTGCCAAGTACGAACAGAGTTATAGAAATTTGACGCACGCTTCAAGCATATCTTTTTATATCAGCAAGCTACCTAAAGCTACGTAGGAAAGGGCATGACAAGGGGGCAAGATGATGCGTTCCTTCATCAACCTGCGTCATAATCTTGTACGCTAATCTTTTTTTCTTTTAGCTAGTGGCTTGCTTTCAGGGTGATCGCACACATGATGGCATCCTGCGGCAGCAATGGTAATTATTCAGCTCATGATGCTCAGACCAGCCAATGGCTCGGGACGTTGTATATGTGACAACAATTGTAGAATGAAGAGGCACGACTTCTAGCCGGCTCCGAGAACTGATTGTGAAATATAGGCCTTGCACTGTGCTATAATGTTTGGCTCGCATGTTCTGTGGAGCTTTGACTACCGATAGGCAGCAATCCCTGACCATGCTGGAAAAGTGTTGCAGGACCCCTTTTATGCAGTGTCGAACACCAGATTTGAGTAAATAGTTAAAAAAGAGTTTAACCAGCTGAAACTTTAGACTTTCTCATACTTGACTCTATGGGGCTTGTAGTGCCGTGAAAGCCAGAATGTTCAATCACGTTTGAAAAATCTGCACCTTTGTTATCCTTGACACCGATAGCTGTTGGCATAACCTGTCAATATTATAGTTTTCTCACAACAGCCTGCCGGTTGCCTATTTTGCTTATCTTTGTGTAAGCTGTCCATGGCAATTATTGGTAGTAACATGGAATTTTTGTGGCACTTAAGAACTGTTGTAAGTGGGTTCACCTGTAATACTTGGTTGCCAACACCTGTGGTCACGAGTTACAGTGTGGTGTCACGATGAAAAAAAGTGGAAATCATGAGGCTCGCTTTTCTTTGTCAAACACAATATCAATGAGTAGTAACAGACAACACTGCCAGGGAAAGTATAGACATTGTTATTAGTAGTAAATGTAATGTACATGTGAAGAAAGAAAAGTGGACGAAAAGATAATTTGCAGTAGCAGGGACTGAAGCCTCGACCTTCGAATAACACATTCGATGCTCTACCGATCGAGCTACCACGGCGGCTATCCCCCTGTCCGCTTTGTGGGGTACTTACGTGCATTTAAACATGGGAGCGTCAGTGAGCGTGGGAAAGTGCCAGACTTTTTTATCGTTCTCAGCATTTTTGTGAAAATGAATGAAGCATGTTCAATTATGCACTCCTACTGTTATATACCAATGTTGTGTGGCACTGAACCACCTCATATGATGCGCTGTGCAACGTGCATGCATTTTAACCCTGATGCTATAAAGACAGACATGCCCTTGCCTAGCAATCCAGCTGAATAGTAATCCATTTTTATGTAAATGCTAGTCTGATTGTGACTAGGATGGCGAGTCCTTGATCTTGAAGTCTTAAAGTACAAGCCACGCTACTGTAAGCATGTAGGTTCACACTAGGTTCACTAGGGGGAAACTCGGCACTTGTGTCAATGGGAGCTGCAAAACATGACACTCCAGACAGCATGGGAATGGTGGCTAGCACAGTACATAGATTTGCCTCAGCTTCATTCTTTTGGATCTGTGCGACTTGGTGTGGCCTGCAGCTGCTTTGTCGCAAGACGAAGGTTGGTGAAAGCACAGCAGTGCCGTTTCACCACTTTTAGCCAGTTAGGCTCTCCGATTCGAAGCAGCTCACAAGGTTCACAATAAGCCATTTTTTTATTGCAAGTCAAAGGCAGACCACAATAACAAATAAAGCCACAAGCACAAAGAATAGGCAAATTCCGTGTAATCCATCATTTACATAATGGCTGGAACGATCACAGTGCCTAAGTTCCCTCAAGTAGATATTGTAAAGAACTCTGACTGTAAAGCTTAACACATGCACCACTAGATTCAGTTGGTGCTTATTATCAGCATTTCTTACCTTTCCGACGGTCGTGTTAGCACACTTGAGAGGCACTATGCTTCCCCCAGGTATGTCGATGTCCTTGTCATCTGCCTCTATCCAGGGAAATGACTGTAGTTGCATAATGGAGCACTCTATCAGTTACGTCTGACAAATCGCCAGGCCAACGTTTCGTATCATAACATTTTGTTATCTTTTTTACCTGCATTCTACAGACATTGACCTGTGGCATAATAAAATGTTCTGTTAGAACGTTTTTCACATTTCTTAAAACTGCTGCTCATATAAACTTCTGAGAATGTTTCCTGTTGTTTTATAATGATAAGCATACCATAACCACGGTTCTTATTGATACACCCAAAGAATACCTGACACCACTAAAACATTGTTTTACGATGTTTGTAGTGAAAACACAAAGGCAAACACACATAAAACTGTGTTTTCTCTACAGGACTGCTTCTTTTTTAAATATCTGAGCTAGAACCACCTACAATAAAATAAAAAAAAACTAGTTCACTGAATGCTGTTTACTGGCCTTTCGCCAACAACAACACAAATTTCAATACGCAAACCTTGAGCTGCAGATTTATTCTTTAGTGCTGGCAGGAATCATACGCAGCCAAATGTAGAAAGCAGATGGAAAATTATTCCTTGTTATTAATTGTAATGTGGAAATAAGGCAAAAGGAAATTGCAAGGTGAACAAAACAACTCACTGCTACTGCATGAGAGGCATTTGACAAGCTTGTGCTCATGTGAATAGATGAGTAAAATTACATAACCAGTTTTTTTTTTTCCCCAGAAAACAACAGTGATGCAGTGGAGCTGGTGGATAGCTAAGGTCAAATGGACATGATAAGCTGTAAACAGCACGCAGACAAACAAGGCTTACTGTTAGTTACCTACACTGGACAGCGCTCATATACCACATTTTTCGATAGTCACCCGCATTCATTAGCATGCTACTTACAAGTACCATATCTGCTTCCTTTATAATGTAAACAACCTTTTTTGTTTATGCAATGCCATAAGGATTGTCATGCAGATTTTTTCGTGTGCCGGTGAAAGTTGTTTTTTTCATTTTTTGCATTGCACGTGCATTGTAATGTGGCCATTGCAGATGGAAATCAAACCCACTACCTAGAGCTCAGTAACCGAGTGTTGCAGCCATCGAGCTGCCGCAGAGTGCATTTGCAATATATCCAACGAAGTGAATCCAACGAATCAATTATTACATTCTAACAACTGCTTCTCATGTTCAAAGTTCCCAGCCTAGTGAAAACCTTATTTCATGCACTGCACTAACAGCTGAGGGGTGTATAATACATTAGTGCATTAAAGAAGAAAATAAAAACAAAACATGCCTGGTCATCGGGATCGTCGCTCAACGAAAGCCTCATGGCTGTGCTTTCTGCAACGTGTAGCTGGATGCTAAAGGAACACCCTGTGGGAGAGAACAAAACAGGCACTCGTGTGCTTTGTACAATGTCACTTGCTTTTCTCTTCATATCTACCATAAAAGTGCTAACTGAACGAGTCGGTATGCACTTTAAGAGAAAATAATCACTGCCATGCCAAAATGGACAGAGAAGCAAGGCTCAACAAGTGCTGCCATTTCAATGCAATGCTTTCTTCCATTTTTCCCCACACAAGGCACAATTTACAAGTTTGGCCAACGATAATCAGCCACCATCAGACTAGCGTAACAAAAGGTAAATGCCTCAAAAAATACAAACCAATTGAGCTATCCAATACATCAGCGAGCGGCAGATCTAGGCAGGTCTTCTGAAGAGCCACCATTTTCTTTTAAAATCAGTCCATGGTGATTCCTGCGAAATTTTTCTCTTCTTTATTCTATGACTGACAATGATATAACGATAAAACGGTGATATAATGTTGATCTATATAAGGATGGCTATATAAATATCAAGAAGGGTCATGAATTATGTCATAAATTTACTGGACGTAACATGACTCAGTGCAAAGCGCTTGTCCTGTGTCCTTCCTAGGTCTTCGTACTTAATGGTGCTTGTTTCATCATGAACTATACCCAACATGCCCAACTGGCAGTCATCCTAAATGAATTATGGGATGCATTGTCTACAACAATATAATAAGTGTTGAGGCTTTACGTCCCAAAACCACGATATCATTATGAGCGGCACCATAGTGGAGAGTTCGAGAAATTTTCTTCATTTGGTTTTTGTTTCTTTTTTTTTAATGGACACCTGAATCTAAGTACGTAGATCTTGGGCATTTCGGCTCCATGAAAATGTAGTCCCGGCAACCAGAATTCGATCTTGAGACCTCTGGCCGTTATCTACGATAAGCAAGCAACTCAACCTACACCTTTGCCATGCGGTGAGTGTAATAGTAAAGCCAGGCAAGAATTGAAGAATATCCTTTCACAGGGAATTACAGGGCCGACACCAACTCTGTCCAAGTCTCAATCCATTCCGGAACTATGGCACAAAATACACTAGAATTGTACACTAGTGTGCACTCCTGCGGGGAACATCATAGCATTCTGCTGCTGATTCCGAGGATCACTGTATCAAGCGAGTGCTAGCCAGTGGTAGGTATTAAAGCAATATCCTTTGGAGACTGCTTGAATTACAAAACTAAAACAATTACACTACCGATTTCGAGATCGAAAACTTATAATGTAGCGACTACAATGGCAGTGTAGCTGCAACAGGTTCTCATAAGGATGCCATAACAGCTGTTTTCGTTGTACGATCAGTGGCTATCCGAATACTTCACTTGCTGACTCACAATCGCTGCCCTCCTTATGACCTATTTCATTTCTGCATTCACCGACCAAAATAGCAAACAAGAATGGCAATCCATTGCTTGCCCCTAAACCCTCTTCATGCATTCTCATGTGATTCTGTTTAACAAAAGTGGTAATTTGGGCTAGTTGATTGTTTATAATGGCCGCAACAGAGCATACGCAACTTATGAACATGAAGTGCATTAGTTTGATGAATGAGGGCTAGCCGGTGCAGCATAATTCAATGCTTCACAATGCAAGGAATGAAGACAACATTGAAAGTGCCGAGTGTGTATATGTCATCCTTGCCCCTTGCGCCGTAAAACATCGAATCATGCCAATTTTATTATCATGACATGCTGGAAGTATGTCTGCCCTGTGACGTATGTAGCACTGTCCCATTTGCTAAAAACTACATTTAAGTCCTAGAGCTCATTTATTTAAGATGTGTTAAGAACACCACAGGTGGTAAAGGGGCCCTTTAGCTTTTCAAACGCCATGACCGAATACATTTGTACCAGCTGTAACATCAGCAAGAGTGTATCTGCCGATGTACACTCTTGGCCCCTTCTGAGATAATTCTTAAATGGGACAGTATGCAGCTCTAAGCTAATTGGTTAAATGAAATTTTTAGCAGGTATTGTTTCTTATACAACGTGCAGTGTGACTAAGTTTACTTGACTGTCTGTGTTGGTCATGTCTCTAACTTTCCAGCTCGACTGCAAGATTAAAAATTATGCCCAGGTGTTCTTAGGACTGTGAAGTTAAAGAACTTTTTATGAGCTTATTCAGAGGACTGCGATGTTGAGATTACAAGGTATATCGAAGCAACAATGACGCCAATGAAGAGGCCATGTTCGATGATAATGGGGATTGAAGTCATTCATTAGCAGCATAACTATCAATACGTACACTGAAGGTGTCTTGAATATTTAGCAGGACATCACACATCTGAACTTAAAGCACACATGTGTTCCTTACGTAGCAAATTAAAGTGACTCCGCTTCACGGACACTGATAAAACAGAAGAGCTGATGGCTTTCCTTCCACCGGGCAATCGCATTGCTATGCTTTGCTAGTCTTGCAGATGCGTTGCATCACTTCTCTTTATTAAACACTCTCTGTTAAGCTTTGAAGCGGTAGTATGGCCGCCACCTTTTAGAACCATAGAGCATGACGCGACAGTGGTGTTGCTACAATAATGCACGTGCCATTCCTTGGGCTGACTGTTGCCTTGTTCCTTTTTAATGAAAGTTGTGCATAGTGAAATTTACCCAATTGCTGAGGTGCATATGCATTTATGATGATGATAGTTTCATGATAGCCCGCAGAGGTTTCTTTGGCACATACCTGTTTGTTGAGCAAACTGTTGCCTTCATTTTCAGTGCCCCAGAGGTATTTACCCAATGTTCGTGGCACATACTCATTTATGATGCCACCTGTGTTACCTAGATTACTGACACGAAAGCCACGACTAAGAACAGCTTTACTGTGAAAATTGAAATTTGTCGTACTTCACGATGTTCCGCACCGAAGGCACATGGCGGCCGTAGCAACTTGGCGCAAAGAGGCATAGAGACACCACAGGTGGATGGTGGTGCATGGCCGTTCTTCATTGCTGAAGCGATTTGTCTGGTTAGTTCTGATAACGAACGAGAGGCTAGTCTATTAAATAATTGCAGGGTTCACAGCACTTTACAACCTTCTTAGAGGGACAAGCAGCACCTAGCCACACGAATCTCGGGGCACCAACAGGTCTGCGATGCCCTTACATGTCTGGGGCTGCACGCACACTACACTTCAGTAAGCGGCATGCCTTCATCCCTGTTTGAAAAGATTGGGTAACTCGTGGAACTCATTTTGTGATTGAGATAGGGGCCAGCAACAGTTTTTCAACGAGAAATTCCCAGTAAGTGCTAGTAATACCTTGTGTTGATTATGTGTCTGCCCTTTGTACACACCGTTCATTGCTACTATCGGTTAAATGATGTGGTGATGTCTTCGTACCGATAGATGGGGCAGCCTTTAGGTTGCACAGGTCTATTGGAAAGATGACCGAACTTGATCACTTAGAAGTCACAAACAAAAAGTAAACAAGGCCTGTCACTCATCTTTGCATTTTTTTGGTGTGTGTGACTAAAGTCACTGCAGTCAGTATGTGAAATGGACTAACCCAACAGTCACTCCTTTCTCCTCAGACTTCTCTTACACACAGAGTTATATGAAGTTGAACGAGAAATGGTGCTGCGATCAATGTTTTGAACAGTCTCCTTGTCAAAATATTAGCTTTAGCGACAATCCTTATCTGATTAATGTCATGGTTGCAACCTCTGTCAGCTCTTTAACTTGCGTCTTGCTTAACTTGCGTCTTGTGACACAGAAGGTATACATAGCTGGTACTGATGATCAGGAAGGTCTCCTACCTTGAGGATTGTCTTGCAAGACGGAGTCGCACGAAGTCACCTTGAGACAAATGGCTCGTGCTGCCGCTTCCACGTCCAGCAAGTACGAGTCTTCCCTGCAGAGGACACAGCCATAGGTATGTGAATGAGGAAAAAGTATTCAGCAACAGTATGGCATGCTTGTTTGTACCAAATAATGGTTTTGAGAGGAACACTACGAAAATACAGTACATCGTAAATTTAAAGGGGTCCTGCAACACATTTTGAGCATGGTCGGAAAACGCTGCCGATTGGTAGTAGAGGCTCCCGACAACAGGCGAGCCAAAGATTAGTAGCGCACAACGCGGCCTGGAATTCACAATGAACTATGAAATCAGCGAAAATTAGGTTTCTCTTTTTTCGACAAATGACGGAATACGCTCAGAAATCACTCGTAGAAAGCCCATCTATCAGCCATTGGCTGATTTGAACATGGCACGCTCGGTCGTTACAGAAATCGCCGCGGGAGGCCGCGACTTGTCTACGCGTGCGTGCGTGAGCACACTGAAGAAGCCGTGCTTTCGAAGAAAAAAGAAAGAAAAAGTTCTCAATGTCACGAGGCGCCGGTGACATATTTTCTGTGCCTCTGCCATCCCTCCCTGCTTAGCTTCCAGCGCTTTCATCAGGACGAGAGAATGCAATTGCAGCATGCGACAAATCTTTGTCACTCCCCTCGCGCTGGACGGATTCTTAAATATTTTTGCTGGCGTTGAGTTCGTGAGGCAATTAGCTTGTCCAGTGAATTCATTCCATGGTTACTTGAAAAAGTGTTTCAGGGCCCCTTTAAAAAAATATTTAGGTACCACTCGAAGCACTACTACAAAGTCTCCAAAAGATATAAAAAAAAGTATATTAGTGACAAGGTCCAAGCAAAGGCAGACTTAAAAATTCACAAACAAACAAGAAAACAGGTGATGTACGCATTATGTCACTAATATGCAACATTTTCACTGACTTTCCCACTCACTGATCTAAAAGTCCACCAAAACTGCCCACTGAATGAGTTTTTATTTTTTTTTCACACACTATTCCAAAACATTCAAAGGCTAAACAATTATTACGCCAAACAGACACTTTCTATATGTGAAACATGAGAGGTGTAACAAATTTAATGTATACTAAAACCACTTTCAGCTTCTGTGTAGGCCATGTCCCTTTGAGTTTCTCAGCTAAAAAACAAAAAAAAAATATGATTGAAAGGAACACCTTCGAGATGCGAAACCTTCGAAGTTTTACATGCGAAGTTTTACACTCTTTACACCTGCTAGAACATATATTCTAACAAAAAGTAGAGAAATAAAAGAAAAGCAATGGCTATTCTAGCAGGCACAGCAACCCACAATACAGGACAACGCTCCACTGAGCAGTGGTCCAGGTTAACGTCCATCAACTTTGTGTGCTCACAGAGTAGAAGCTTAAGGCACCTTTGTATGAGAGGTGTGGGTGGCTGTTTTCAGCTTGGCATTGGAAAATTGATCGATGATGCCCCACAGCAAATGCTCTGTTGGAAATAACCGACCGACAGCATAGCTACGGACAGCAATAACTTTAACTATTATAATGTCTGCAGCTGCAACTAAGGCACTGCTTATGAATTTTAATTGCCCCATGCGTTCCTGAAGTCATGATACATCACTTGTCGTGTCGACTTGCTTAATGGTGGAACGTATTGAATGTCAGAAACCATACTTTCTTAATGTGGCTGTAGTTGAGAAAAAATCCAGAAGGCTAATGTGAATTGAGGTGTTACTTAAACACAACATTGTAGTGATAAGTTATCAATGGCACAACAAAGAGAGGCAGGTTGTGTGGCATTCTTTCTCTAAACTATTGCTCTAAACTATTAAGGGCATTATCTAACTGTAATGGTGAGTGAGTGAAATAACTTGATTAGGTCCACAATAGACGCAGTCAACTCAGCGTCACCTGGCTGCTGTAGATATTGAAAAATATTTCATAAACATGGCATCCCAAGAAAAAATGAAAAGTAGAACCTTTGATAACCAGAGGTCATGTTCAGTGTTTGTAACATTATGAAACTACTTTAAAGGGATCAGCAACCAATTTTTATAGTACCGATTTTCCTTAGCGCTACGGAAAACTAATCGTCCAGAGTGTCCTATCAAAGAATGGTAACATGTAAAATGGCGCGATACATCTAAAATAAAGAATACTCTATATGGAGCGACTGAAGTCGCACGTGCCCAATACGTTCTGAAAACAGTGAGAAGAGAGCACAAGGTCGGATGTGTGCACTGCGTATGCATGCATCATAGCACCGCTTAACAGCATGCAACTGCTTTCACCTTATAAGCAACGTATGAATGAGCGAGCATGAAAACATACCGACTTCCTAAGCTCTCATTCTCGCGCTCATGAAAGCATGAAACTAGGTATGGCAAAGTGATTGAACAATTCTACATTCAAGCTTGAAGGTTCTGCTGCTAGGCTGCGAAACGTATTAGATTTTTTTGTGACCTTTAAAAGCATGACGGTAGGCTAGTTGGTATGACATGATGGTAGATATAGCACGAGAAGAGAACGACGACAAAGGGTTGTCACGCTATATCTACCGTCATGTCATACCAACTAGCCCAAACCGCCACACTTTAAAAGCAGTTTTGAAATGTATGCCCCACTTATATTGTGAAAAGAATGCTTATATCTGTCACTATAACTCAGTCATCACAAGGATCTAATGACATGTCCCGGCCAGTTGTCACTTCGTTAAGCTTCTGAGCATCTAGTGCAGCACAGCACTTGATGTGACTGTTAATCGGTCAGTTCGTGTTCGTGACCCGGGTTAATCGGTCAGTTCGAATGGAAGAGAATGCCTCTATTGCAGACATGACTTCGGGGCTTTAGAAATTTGTGAAATAGCACTAGCAGCGCAGTTTAGCGTGACACGATGAAATATATATTCCACTCACTCTTCTTTCTGCCGCCTGGAGATATTCGATCGAGTCGAGCACCCTTCAACTGGGACGGTGACCTCGAAAACAAATTGTTCCAGGGGCCTGTGGTTAGCATCCGTAACGTGTACAACCATCTTGCGAAGCTCGTTTCGTTGGAGCAACTTGTGCATTGTCATCACACAGCTGTCAATGTAGTCCACAATCTGGGGATGTGAAGCCAGCTGTAAAAGAATGGTGCAATGCATCATGTAAATCACATACACTTTTTAGCAATAAATAAAGAAATCACTGGTACTTGGTTAGAGCTCGAAACTGGGGCAGCGTGCACACGCTACACAAACTTGTTTACGCAGCACCGAACACATGCTGCTCTTCTTCTTGGAATACGGCACGAACAACGTTTATCGACGTGCAATACTCACATGTACAGCGATGTTGTACTTCCACGATTTCTGGAACATCTCTTCCGGATACAGCTTCCTCGAGTACAGGATGTTGTGGATGGCAACTTCCAAAAGCTCCGCGACGATGTCGGCCGAAGCTGCGAACGCGAAGTTTTTTATAACAGTTATTTCTAGCCATTTCGGTACATTACACTCGATTCACTCCAAGCTCAAACTTCGCCCGGACGTCGCAGATAAAAACGCGCACACGGGGACCGTGAGCGCACGTAATGCGACGCCCAAAAGCTGCCGCTCCCGAGCCAATGTTATTTAATAGGGGCGCATTTCACTCAAGGTTAGAGGCGCTGCGCGCCCAAGGTTGTGCTCGAGATAACCGTAATTGCCACACGTCCATAACGCCGTGGGGTGTGGATGCACGCGCGAGCCATGAAAAACCCGGATGGCAGTGCCCATGAATGGACCAAGTAAGTGTTGCCGCAACAGCAGAACACCGACGCGGTTTCGCGATCTACAAGTACGTTGTAGACTTTAGACTTGTTCCTTTACTTAGTTTCTCGGGGTATAATTGTGTTGCGGTGCATAACCAAGCGCACACGTAGCCGGATCGCACGTACAGAACAGCGCTCGTTCGACTGCACTACACACCTTGCTGCTCAGTCATTTCGGATGGCTGTATCCCGCCACAGGGTCCGGTTTATTGGACCTCAGCGCGCGTGAGAGTGCAGGTGTTTTCGAAGTGCCTAGCGCAGCTGGCCCAGTAGCACGTTGAAGAACTGCTTCTCGAAACCAAGCGTTGCGTCTTGTATGCGCAGCGGTTCGCTGTTATGACCGGCTTTGCATTGCGTTCGCGACTTCGTTTTTCACCAAACAAACTCGTTGAGCATCGGAAAGCGGAACCAATTTCTCAAAAATTGACGGAAGCGGAGACGCCGCCGCCGGAGAAGCCCAGAAAGAAATGGTACATTTCGACGTGCGATGAGACGCGCTTCCTGATTGGCCACTTGCCGTCCCATTCATCCAATGAAACTGGCGCTTTCGGAGCTGGCCCTGCTTCCAGTTGACATGCGTACTGGCAGTGTTGTTTCGCGATGATTTTTGTGTTTGGGGGTCTCGTGAGCGAAGCTTTATTTGTTTTATTCTACTCTCATAGTGCCTTTTTATCTACGTGTGTGCGCGTTTTTTGTAAAAGTATGATAGCCGGCCAAGCTACAAGACGCCGATAAAGCCTTTGAAGTGCCTGATGGCCTTAGCTTGCTCTTAAAAATGTAAGTACTACTACCCCGCTCGAAGTCACAAGGGCGGATTTTGACATCTCGCACGCAGTCTCCCCGAAAGGGCATTGTTTAATCACTGTATCGTACTCGTGTAAGTTGCCGTCACTATACTGATTGCCTCTTTTAAAAGTATCGTTTTAAGCGCTTAGGGTTAGTTCCGAGGAGTGTGTTTCCACAGGCCGATCCTCGGAAGCATCATTGTGTGTGGCGTGGAGAATCTCTCGCGCAAGGCGACTCGCTCGCTTGCTCCCTCGAGCGCTTTCACGCGTTAGTCGGTTCTCTCGCCTCGGCTGGTGCAATCGCTCGCTGGTCTGCTTGTCCACTGCGTTCTGTCGACAATTTATTTGCAAGAGCCGCCGATAAAGTGTTTTGTCCGCCTCAAGAGGACGATTCGAATAAAATATCCTAGGACGCTGACATTACGGCACACAATCAATACATCCCCTGTTGACGAGTAGCCGCCGGTTCCATAACCATTTGCCTGCCGTGTCCCGCTTGACTTTATTTGTGCCTGTCGTCGGCATTCTCTACGCCGCGTCATGGGCGCGGTGTAAGCGTCCATTGCGTCTCGCTTTGTCTGTTTTTCTCCGTCTACTGTTTTCTCGGCGTTACGCTGAGCTCCGCCGTCAGCGGGGATGTGTGGGTCGCTTATCTCCGGGAGATACGCGAGGCCCAGCTTATACGATGGTCGAGAAGCCCTGCTGCTTTGCGTGGCTTTCCGCGAAACCGAGTCAAAGCAAAGACGAGGTGTCGAAAACTCAACAAGAGGAAGCAAGCGCGTAATCCAAGCTCTCTTGAAATTAGGTTCTTTTTTTTTTTTTCTCGCCTTCCGGCCTCTTTCTTTCTTTTTGCCCAGTCTCTGCCGCGGCTACTGTTAAACAGGCGTCTAGCACGGAAATCGATATATCGAGCAGCTAGAGCTCGCCGGGCCGCGCTTTTACGGAACGTGTAGTGGTGGTTGTTCCACGGACTAGCCCGAAGAAGGAAAGAAAAAAAACAAGAAAAGTGACGATCACAGCTCGCGACGACGCCAATTACGCCGATTAAAATTCCGCCGCCGCCGCGTGATATCGTCGTTGCGTCCTTTTCTCGAAGCCAAGCCGCGTGGCTTCGCAGGCGTCGCTTTGAAGAATGAGCCTTCAACACTTGCCCGTGACGTCCTGCGTGCTCTATTTCTGCCTTTGATTTTTTTCTTAAAGGGGGATGGGGACGTTCCTGTGATGAAAGCTTTTGTTTTGGTCTCCCCCTCTCCCGTTATTTCAACACTTTCATCGTTTGTTGTAGTTTCGTGTAGTCTCCGGAGAAGCGAGCGCTTCTGCGAAACTAAGGAGTTCATAACGCTTCCGCGAATGAAAAAAAAAGGAAGAAGTTTGACAGCTCGTGATGTGTAGGGAGTTCCCCGTTCCCGCTCATGACCATAGAAGAGACGTGGAGCTCTGTTACGCGTAGGCACCTTTCGAGCAATAGAAGCCGCGTGAAAAAGGCTTCGTTTCCGAATCCGCGAGCACTCATTCCAAGAAGTGCATAATCAAAGCTTAGTTCCGTTTGACTGAGCTCGCACGGTTTTTTTGCTCGCGGGATCATAGTGATTCAACCGTTCTTTGCCACTTTCTACCCAACGGAATGCAAGTGTCATTACTTTTGTCCCGTGTTGCATCCTTGATAATTGCATCAGGAATAAATAACAATGCACCATCTGCAGTGCCGCGTTTTATAGAAAGGCATTCAAAAAGCGGTGCTCATTATTACATTCCCTGCAGCTGCATTAGATAAGAGCATGTTCGATCACGTCCAGAAAGCTCATTAAAACCACATCCTGTGATTCTTTTGGACGGTTCTCTTTTGTTTGCAGATTCAATTGTCTCCTTGCAGTTCCTATGCGTAACAGCATTATAACTTCAGTCCTGTTGCTTTGTCGAAACGGTTCTTGTAGCATATTCAAGCCTGTTCTGCTCATAATTACGTGGCACATTCTTCAAAGGCCCTAAGTGTTTTGGGCATTGCCAGCTCAAATGTGACAATGTGACAGATTTAATTGAGTTTAATTAGGTGTTAAATGGCACACTTGCTATGTCGACCTAGCGTTGGCCCATAAAGCGATTCTTTATATCCATTATGTCCTTCATTGATCATCTGCCTATTTTTGTTACTTTAGTCGTAAATACTTCAAGAAATAGCATCGAATCAACTTGTGATCCTTGTGAAATGTTGAGTTATTAAAAAAAATGTAATGTCAGAAAATAACAGCTAGCATAAGAAGGATCAGTTGAGCACCTATGCTTTTTTTCAACCTGGAAGAAAGAAATGGGTAAATGTTGCTTTTAAAAGCTGAGAGCAATAATGACTACATGTCAGCGGGAAGGAAGCAGAGTTTTGGCACTAGCACAGTCATGTGGAACAACTTAACTCCTAGGTGATGGTGCATACCTTGTGTCAGTGGGTCTGGGGGTTATCTCTTATCTGCTTCCATAATGTAGACATTTTTTTTTTTTGTTGCAAAATTTTGCAGCATGAAGGGGAAAAATTGGGTCAAGATAGAGGCGTTTGTCGCATATTTGATGTGACAGATTTCCATATCTTTCACCCTGTTTACTCTTGGCAATATGCACCTTTGTAACTAGGGAATACCAATTATTGTCTTTCACCCCAAGGTTTTCTTCACTGACCTAGACTTCCTATGCTAACCTGTTTCCTTTAAATTCATGTTTTTTTTTTGTAGCCAAAGAGTTTGGCAAATTGGTTTTTGCATATTAACGGAGGGGGCAGCATTTCACGTGTCGCGGTGTTTGACAGCTGACTTGAAGGTTTTAGGATCAAATCTCTGCCTGCATTCTAAAATGATTGAGTCTGTGTACTTACATTTAGCTGCATGGTAAGGAACCCCAGTTAGTCGAAATTTCGAGAGCCTTCCACTACGGCATTTCTCATAATTATAACTTGGTTCTGGGACGTTAAAGCCTAACAGTTGCGACACAAGGACAAAGAAACGTAGCTTTTATGTTGCACTCTTCATATTTGCCCTCATGCTGCTCGAAGTCATCACATTCTGCTGTATTTTGGTTGTTCAGAGCACCACAGGGTGTTGTTGCTTTTTGCAGCATCTTTCCAATAAGTGTGTCATTAAAAGCGGCAGTGCTAGTTCGAATGCAATCAGGGTTAAACACATTGTTGTCGCAGTGTATTTTCAAAAGTTCATGAAGTTGAGCATGCAATGAAGTGAACCCAAGTGGCTGAAGTGAGAGAAACAACAATAAGAGAAGTCCCCACAGTAGTTGGGTGCATTTAGTGTCTATTATGTGTAGTAGTGTGCTATAAGTAGCACCACAGGCCAAGTTGAAAATACTTCAGAACATTTGTTGAGTTCTCTGACACCTATGTAAGACACTATTTTTTCTGGAAGTAGTCATAATTTTTATCATATTTGCATAATCTTTAGCCATGTTTGTAATGTAGATGTCCAGTGATTCTTGGTACAGGTACACTAACGTGAAATTCTGAATCTGCTTCAGGCTTATCAGTTGTTTGATAATTATGCCATGCCAGGTTTAGTATTATTACAGGTTACAGGTTTAGTATTATGCAGGTTGAAGTTTCACTTTTGAATTTTCCAACATAACCACAGCACTTGACTCTGCGAAGTAATAAATTTGTCTGTTTTCCTATTGTGTCCACATTTATTGAATGTTGCCTTCTAAAACTTTTAATTTTATCTCTCTGATGGCCCTAGAGTGCAATATAATTAATTTTCACTGGTAAAGAATTATGCAGGCCCTAGTAGATGCCATAAAAAATATGATGATGTGGTAAGTGGGGTGGGAACTTCAGGGGGCAGTTGCCAATTGCACCTTAGTTTTGTATGTTTTACGACTTGCCAAGCACTCTTTCTATGTTAGAGGGACTCTTTTGGTAGTGTGAAAGGGTAATTTACCAATATAAGTGAAACCATCTCTCTTTACTGCTCCTTTAATACTGTATCTGGAGCCATGCCTCTCATAATCTGGAGATATGCTTCTGATTTTTCGTTATGGTTGGTCACAACGAAACTTCTGCCATCGTGCAGTTTCTCCTTGGAGGCCGTGCCATGAGTTTCCGGAAGCGGCCCCGCCCGGGCAGCAGTCTCTTAAGCCTTGCCGGGGCAGCAATGTCTGCCAAGGCCCCGTACTACTACAGTGAACTGGGGCCCGACAAGAGCCCCTTGGGGGCGCCGCCACCTCCTGATGAGCCGACTGGGCTCAATGGCGGCACCCCACCTCCGGGATCTTCAGCTTCGGAGTCGGTAGCCGCGGACACGTCGCCCATCGGTGACCAGGGCGGCGGCTTCTTCAACCCACTGCTCTCGAATTGAGCCCGATGTTTCGGTGCCGGACACGCCACCGAAGCATGGCACTGGGGGCAGTAACAATAACAAAAAGAAAAAGAAAGGCAAGAAGAAGGGAGGATCTCCCAGCAAGTCGAACGGCATCTACGGCACGACCACAGCTTATGCCCGCCAGCTGCTTTTTGGCTCAGGAAAATCCAACAACGGGGCTGACAAGAAGAACCGTCGGGGCTCGGAGCCCAACATCTACGAGGAGATAACGACGCCGAGGAACAGTACACCGCCGCGCGGAGTGAACAGTGTCTGCGGGCGGGCGGGGCTCCGACGATTCCACGACGTCCCCGCCCGCCGCCTTACGATGGTGCGCCGCAACACGTGCGCGAGGAGGTGACGCGGGTGCATCGCACGCATGCGCACATACTCGAGAACCTCAACCTCGATGTGGAGACCATGCTGATGCCGGACGCTGTGCCACCTACTGAGGTGCGGGGTGGGGGGCGAACAGCAGCAGCGAGGCAGCAGTGGGGACTATGGAACGTTGGGGAACAAGCTGGGGAGGCCGGTCGTTGACGCACACCATCACCACCACGCGCACACCACGTGGAGGCGCGTGATGAACGAGTACGTGGAGCACCGATCGGCTCCCGGAGAGCTGCAGGGTGGCACACTGCCGGCAAGGGCATCCAAGCTGCACCGCATCCCTTACGCTAGTCACAAAAGTGAGTTGTGGTCCCCTCATCTCTTTAAATAATTAACCACTAAGCGAGTTGATAAGGACTGGTGCTGCAAGTGCTCAAAGGAAGCAGACAAACACGTCCACGAGTCAGAGACTGCATGGGCTGTCAACACTGTTTTCTACTTGCCTCAGCTAACTTGAGTCAGATGAGGTGTTACATTTACGGTTACCAGTGCCCTTTCCCATACTGTGATTAAGATGTGTAATGTACTATTTGGCTTATATACAGACCACCAATTTCTTATGCTGACATCATACAATCCACGATGTCTGCTCAGTGAGAGGTTGAGCGGGTTGGACATCATGTGAAAGTTACCTGTAGATTTAGGCTGTGTAGTAGGAAGTAACTGTTGATGGAACCTAGTGCGAATTTGCATTGTAACTTGAACCCTGTCTTGGCACCTCACATCTGTAGCCATCTAATCTCTGTACTTACCCACAGCACTGCTTTAGAATGAACTGTAGGTCATTTTTTGACTTCTGCAAATCATATAGGTTAGCCTTGGTGTAGTTATTCAGTAGTACTAATTACTAAGGCATTGAGGAACCAAGACTTGCCTAAGCTCTAACTATAGAATATTTGCATGATGGTAGTTGGAGTGTTGGTTATAATTCAGTTTGCACTGGGTATTACCTGTCAAGTTAATCATTTTCACAGCACATTTTATAACATGACCGTGTTACACAAGGACACAAAACTTACCAGCCCGTCTTTACTTCCTTGGCTGTATACCTTTTACCATTCCTTCATGAAAGCTTTTTAACTCAGTTCTCATCTCACACTTTTGCTTCTGACTTTCCTTGAAATCATGCAGGCATACTATGCAATATGCATGCCTCGCTCTTGCTTTGATTCTTTCCTTTTCTCTTTGGTGGTTGTGGTGGTGGTGGTATCTAGGTAGCTAAGAAGCTGTGTCAGTGTATGATGTGTTCTTGATTTTTCAGAATCGTGCTATTAGCTGTGTTTAAAGAAAGCAGCAGTGTGTATTACCATTTACTTCCATAATAACCTGTGATGTGGGTTCCAGCTTATCTTACCATACAGCCTGATGTAGTAATTTTTAGTTTTTAAAAAGTAGAAAGTGGTTGTGTGAAGTCAAATTGGCTGTTGAAAAAATGAGGTATTAAATTGTTTCTTTAATAATAATAGGGCCTTTATTTTTCATCAAGCATAGGGTGAGGGAAGCAGGGAGAAAAAGCTAGTGTTTTGACAACCACTCGGCCAGTGAGATTGGTGGTCCGTTTTATGAGAAAATACAGTATTCAGCAGAAGAAAGTTATCTATGGCCTGAACTTAGGCCCTGTAACACTTTTCTAGTAATTCATTTAAGGAGTTTATTTGTTTCTTGAATTGACCTCTGCAGAAATTTTTGAAATGAGTCGAGTACGAGTGCAGATAGATTTATCGTACGCTGTGATTGCTTTCTCATTTCTATCTCCCCAATGAGTGCTCAGGAAGCTAACCTGGGAGCAATAGCTGAAGGGAAAAAAGTTACGTCGCACACACGTCATGACTCTGAGCACTTTTTCTTTAAGCGTGCTGCTTAATTTCGGGGTGATTGCAAGTGCATGTGCAGCCACGTGGTGGCTGCTGCAAGTACGTAGTTAAAGATGCTCAAATACGTGAACGGCCAGGAGTTTAGGTATATGGTATCATTAGGCGAGAGATGAGAGATTGATTTATAGCAGGCTGTAAAAAATAAAGTGTGGGATTAAGCTAGTTGGTAATTCATTATCAAACTTCCTGGTGCGAAATTTCACACAACGAAAACATGAGGCAAGGACGAGCGCAGTGTTCGTTGTCTGAAATTTCACGCTGAGAAGTTTAAGAAATGATCGTAAGTTCCAGGCTGTGTGCTGTGCTCTAATGCTTGGCTCACATGCTCTTCGAGCGCTGATTACTTGTTGGCAGCATCTTTTGACCATATTCAAAAGGTATTGCAGGGCCCCTTTAAGCCTTGTGTCATAGCAAAAACCTGCTGTTTTTGAGACCTGAAGTTTGTGTCAGGCAGGTGGTAGCCAGAATTTTTTTCTTGTTGTTGAAGGGGGAGAGGGGGGATGCTGGGAATGGGTTGAAAGGGTGCTATGACGGGAGTAAGTAATATGTGCATAGAACAGGCTAGCAGGCTACCTTAGCTATAATTGGTATCAATTGTTTCAGTGCTACACAAGATAGAACTGATGCACACAGCATGTTCATGTGTACCTTCTTGCTGTCAGTTTTGTGTTTCGCTGGAACAATGAATACTTGGCAAATGTACAATTCGTGTGGGGTAACTAACCCTTTCCCTACCGAGTTTTTCGGCCCAGGATGATGCATTGCTAATGCTAGCAATGCATTCCACAAAAGATCCATGATTCCACGAAAGAGCAGAAAATGTGATATATTTGTTTTAAAAATAATTGGCTGTGCACTGAGTTAGTGTTTTGACATAAAAACCACCTCGTGAAGTGCAACTAGACAGCACAACCAGGAAGGAACAGATGAGCAGTGCGCCTGCGCTCGTCTGCTTCTTCCTGTGTGTCCTGTCTAGTTGCGTTACGATAGTTTCTATGTGGTATATTTTATGTCTCAGACTTTCTTGATAAATTTGTATAACATGACCCAATGTTATAATAGCATGAAATCTCAATTTGTCTCGAAGTGAATATTCTTCTGAACAAAAAAAATTACAAGTGTCGCCCAGTATAATAGCCATTTTGCAAAGAGGGCACTTTTGTAAATTCCCAACCATGCTAACAGCAACAGAACCTAATTATTAAAAATATTTGACTTTGTAGCACAAATAAAAGTTAAGGAGAAGTCGCTCACATAGTGTTCTCGAATTCTGAGCAATTTATGTATTCAAAAAGTTCTTTAAAAGAACAGAACTTCTTGAAAGTGTTCAATTTCGGGACACAATGGCTCCTTCAGTGAACTTGTTAGCTTGTTCATATTTAAAGCACAGGTAGTCCTTTGTGTGAGTTGTGTCTAAATTTGTGTATGTGTGTCTGCTTTTGAAGTAATGAATTTTGTTTGCTCAGAACATCCTATAAACAAAACATCAAGATTTGTCTTGGTTTGTCGGCTTTTAATGTAATGAATTTTGTTGCTCAGAACATCCTATATACAAAACTATTGGTCAATTTAAAGATTCTAATATAAAATAAACAGAAAACTTACCTCAATCTTGGTCAGAATTATTAGGATTGATCTTAGAGGACTACCGAATGATATTTTAGAAAAACATGTTGCACCATTTTTATCAAAACAAAATTACAAATTTTCGAACACTGTTTTGAAAGCATTGTCGCTACTTCATTAAAGACATCTCTATATACAAGAAAATACAAGACAAAACTCTTTTTTTTTTTAAACTTGCGAAATAAGTTATGAGGTGTTTTCGGTGAGTGGGAAGTGTTCTGCAAAGAAAACGACCTTATGAATGAGATATATTTGAGTAGTTTACAGCTTTTCTTCAGTGTTTGATATCCCTCCGTCTTAAGCCAGCCCCTTTAATCGTACCCGCCTTTTTTTTTTACCTGCTTGGTTGGAAGGTAACTTATATATTGGATGCTAATGAATGTATTCTTTTGATTTCTCCTATGTAGTGCTGTGCTGAAATTGAAAGATTCATATAAAAGGCAAGGTCTCTTCATGAAAGGAAACCAGTTTCCAGATAGGGGTCGCAAAGAGGTTTATTTGTTGGACATATCTATATTTTCCAAGCATGTGTGATTATCACATTTTGAAAGGTGTCATTTACGTTTAGCATGGTGGCAATAGTTCTTGACAAGGCTTTTTTTTTTTTTTTTTTTTCCTGCAAATAAACTTTGAAACTTTGAAACTTTGAAGTCACAATCTGTTATAGTCGCGTCTGGCTTGACAGACATGCTGTGAATGGATGCCTTGCGCATCCAGGGGTACATTTCCACTACTTTCATTTGTATTTCCAAAATCACTTGGATCCTGTGAGCATTTCATGGATCAGCTGAATGCTCTTTGGCTTACCTGGTCATTGTGCAACCACTTCAATTGCTCACTGTATTGAACTGCAGTGCTTTTGCACCAGTTCAGGCAATGCACGCTACTCGATTTACATTTAAGGCGTGGAACGGAACATGGGGGCCACGTGATCCGATCCATTACACTATTCGTACATTGCGTATCTAGAGAGTGGGTTGGACAGAGACTGGCGCGGTAAAATGTATCATGTAACATATGCAGTGTACTTCCCAGCGCTGTCTGCTGCAGAGTGGCAAGGCATGCGTTGTGGTAGTACTCGGTTTGCATTGTGATGCTTGCTAGTCGGCACTGTTGCTGCTTCTAGTTTCATTATTTAAAACAATGTCTGAAGGTAAGTCTTGTCTGCATTGTTTTTCGTGAAGCTTAATTGATTTTATATTAGCTCGTTTATGAAAAAAAAAAAGGAGGAAAAAAAGGAGGGGAGAGTTGAATAAAGCTTGCTTCTCATCTGTGAGTACTGAATTGGTATCATAAGCTGCCTAAATACATTTTATTCGCAAAACGCAAAGTTGTTTTCTTTGCAGAACACTATGCACTCACCGAAATGCGTCATTATTGTTATTATGCAAGTCTCATAGAAGAGAAAAGTGTGTTATTGTACTGTAACAAGAGATGTATTTCGGGCAGTAGCGACAATGCCCTGAAAATGAAAACAAAAAGTTTTAAAATTTGTTATTTTTGTTGTAGTAAAATTGAGGCAACATGTTTTTTCCAAAATAACATCCTGGAGTCTTCTAAGATCGACCCAAATAATTTTGACCAGAATTGAGATTGGGGTCTTTTTATCACAGATTTTTTATTCAACCTAGTTTTATTAATTAGATTTCTCGTGTATTTAAATTCATTACTCTAAAGGTCAGTAGGCAAATACAAATGCATATGGTTATTATTCACATAAAGGCCTATCTCTGCTGTAAATATGAACATGCTAACACATTCACAGAAGCAGCAGTTGCGTCTCAATATCAACAGGGTAAAAAAACATTCATTGCTCAAAATTCGAAAAATTCATGTTAAGCTACTTCTATCTTACTGCTATTTGTGCTATAAAGAAAAATTGGTAATATTTAGCTTATCACTTTTAGCATGGTCGCGAATGTACAAAAATGCACTGTTAGTAAAACAGCTGTTCCAACATCATTTTTCGATTTTTTTACTCTGTTCAAAAAATTTATTTGGCAACAGATTGTGATTTCATGCTATTTGGTCACTTGGTCATGACATACAAAATTACCTGAAAAATTGGTGGCATGTCTTTTGATGTTTTATGGAATCGACCAAGCAGTGCATTTCTGTATAGCAATGCTTTGGCCGCGTTTTTAAATTTTTTGCTGCATCATCTGTTCAAGCAAAGGAGAACTCGGCAAAATGAATCGTGTAGCTTCATTGTGTGGATGAGCTCAGTCCTTTTTTTCATAATGGGCAGCAGTGACTACTGCATTGTGAGGCCTTCACTGACCACACAGTTTCTCAAAGTAAACTTTAGGGAGAACTGGTGCTGTGGCAATGTATGCATGGGAATGGTTGTGTTGTTTTCATGCATGAATAGTCCAAAAATCTCAGACTCGTGTGGAGAGAAGCATTGTTAACCTTATGTTGAAGCAGCGCATCACGAGTTATATATTTCTTAGAATCACACAGAAATATGTTTTATTTAGTTCTTTTAACTTCCTTCATGCATAGTTTTCTATGCTAAATATGTAGTGGATGGCCATTAAAGTCGGAAGACCTATAACGAGGCCAGCATTCGCTGAGTGACAGCTTGTCACCTCTTTCTTGTTTTGCCACTTTCTTGTTTTTGTGACAACAAGCAGACTTTCACTGGTGAATGTGGTAGGCATGAATGAGATTAACTTATTAGGGTATTGTTTTAAGGAAGCCTTAATTGGGTAGCCATATACCTGTTTCAGGCAAAATCTTGCACAACGCAAGCCTCGTAGTCCTTTCCCATGACGGCATAACAGCCCTGAGGAAACTCACATAGACAGTGCTGCTAGATTTTCCTCCACATATTCTTGAGAGAAACTGTGTGTTCACATACCGTAGTGTTGTTTTCCTGTGTGGATTACCATGAGAACTGCCCCTCAAGTTATGCTGCTAGTGTGGACACAACCAAAAATGTCCGGCAGTTACGCCAGGAAAATCATAAGAAACATAATTGTTGTCCTTAACTATAGTGCATCAGTTATAGTAATAAAATCAATTAAGGTATACAAAGCTTCACCCTTTCTGGTAGTGGGATCCAAGCTCACAACTTGCGAATTATGTATCCAATGCTCGGGTTACTACGGCGAGCTTTTTCCCGTCCACTTTGTTGGGTATTTGCGAGTGTAATTTCTGGGAGGGGCTAGCCAGGGTTGTAGCTCAATTGATATAGCATTGGACATTTGATTCATAGGTTCTGTGTTCAGATCCCACCGACGCATAGGGTGATATTTGTCCACTTTAATTCATCTCAATTTACATCACAATTACTACACTGTAGCAAGAGACAACAATTAATGTCTGCTAACCGACCATGGCAGTCTAATGGTTCTAGTACTCCACCAATGACTGAAGGTAGCTGCGTCGAATCCTGGCAGCGGCAAGTGCATTGTTGATGCAGGCAAAAATACTTGAGGCTCATGTACTTTGACTTGGGGTGGATGTCAAAAATCTGCAAGTAGTTGAAATTTCCAAAGCCCTCCACTACGGCATCCCTCGTAATCACGCTGCGGCTTCAGAACATTGAGCCCCAACTATTATTATCATTATTATTTGACTATTGCTCTCTATGCTCATTTTGGGCTAATTGTATATTGGATTCATTTGGTTGTGTCTAACAAGGAAACAAGCCCCTCAAAGAAGATTTCCTTTCTTCAGTATTTGCTGGTGTGGGAAGCACGGGCCACTGGGGTGGTTTCCTTGATTGCTGTCTCACAGCTGAGGTGCTGGATGTGCCCCCTTGTTTGTGGATGGGTGTTTCTGTCACAATGGTAGTTGTGGTGGTGGTTCTTGCTAACATTCCTTCTCGTGATGGGCTTTGGTGCTGGCGGCACAGCATTCCAGCAGCCTTGCCAGTCGGCACCTGCTCCTCCTCTTCCCGCTGGGTCAGCGTCCGTCAGCCCGTATGGGCGCGCGGTGCTGCCCAGCGGCAGCGAAGCGGGCACCACACCCCTGCCCGAGCCTCTGTACATGCTCTACGACGACACGCACAAGCGGAGAACTACACCGCTGCTTGCCGCTGCAGGTTGGTGGTGGGATGCACTTTCCTTTCTTCCTCTTCTCCTTTCTTCTTGTCATTTCTCTCTTTCTCTCTCTCTCTCGCTTGGCATCTTTGTGTGCTTGTGCAGTCTCAGTGCGCACCTGTTATACTGTTATGTGGGTGACCTGGCGTGTTTGCACCACGTATTTTTTTTTTTTTAAGTCAAGTGGTGGAGAATAGTATGCGCACACACACTTCATGACAACACACACATTCAGCTTAAGTCTATGGTGGCGATTATCTGTGGCTAAGTTGTTATGCCGTTAATCAAGAGGGTGTGATTTTCATTCTTGCTCATGGTGCCCGCATTTCACTGGAGGTAGTCAAAATTAAACGAGAGTACCCCACTGTGGGGTACCTTATTTATAATTGTATTGTGTTTACGGTGCGCAGCACCCCATAATTTAGTATATCAGCTGTGGTTGTGTATGGCGACATTAAACCTTTATTTGTTGTTGGCTGCCCAGATGATTGTGCAGAGCAGCCACTACTTCTTGAGGACCTCGAGCTCTGGCAGTTTCTCATTCCTTAGCGGCCTTATGCACAATTGGTGTTTAGAAGAAGGTGACAATCGAGGGTGCCATTCAGTATATCTGGCTGTGTGAATGATAATCCATTGATATAAGTGATTGGGGAGTCGGCGAAGGGGTCAGCGGTGCCCACCAGTGACACCAATTTGTAAATAGGGAACTAAGTAGAGAGCAGTAAAATGTCGGACTTAAAAGTGAGAGCTTGGCTTGCCAGGAACCAGTAAATCATGGATGTCCCTTCAATTTTCTGACAGTATTGTATTTCCATGGTAATTATGCTACCGTATTGTAAATATGGACAGTGTGACCTTTGGGGCAACATTCCCTAATTCTCAGTTCTGTCGGGATGCACAGTTTGTAAAGTTAAAAGGGGAGCTCTTGATGCCCCTCAGGGTGAGATAAGTTAAAAGCAAAATTTTCGTACATGTGAGAACAACGTCGATCAAGGACGAAAATGAGGTGACCTCTATTTCTCATTTTATATATGCACTAATAATTTGAAATGAAGAAAAGCTGGACAAATGTGTAAAACGTGTTGTTGGCCTAGTTGTGCACGTTACAAGAAAATTCAATAACACAAACCACCTGAAAAGAATGACGCTCTTTTTTTTCGCCTTTTCTTCCCTGGTGGTTTGTTTGCATCGTCTAATTTTTTAGTCTCGTGTGGCACAGGATTCAAACAGTGTTCAACAAGATTGCACTGGAACTTGCATACAAAACAGAGTGGCGAAAAGAAGAACACGACAGCATATTGACAAGTGGTAGGGCCGAGATGGTGGGAGCATACAAAACAGAGTGGCGAAAAGAAGAATGCGACAGCATATTGACAAGTAGTAGGGCCAAGATGGTGTGAGATAGCCTTAGAAAGTGAGCATGTAGAAACGACAAGAGAGGAGTTAAAAAAAAGAAAAAGGACATGTCGGTATCTTGCTGTTGCACTTCGAAAGTGTTGCTAAGTTGGCGATTGTAATGATTGTGTGCACTGATCTGTGTTAACTGTCCTGCTGTGCATTTCTGCCCCACTTGTATCCAATTGGTGTGCAGCCTATTGTGCATGTTGCATTGCTTCTGTCTGCATGTGTTGTTCCAGTCTTGCTTTTGTGCCATTGGCCATCTTTCCTCTTCTGCATGGTTACTTTCTTGCATGTTTCAAACTTTCTGGAGAAGCACATAACTGATCCTCGATACTATTGTCTGGCTCACTTCACACTAACGTGAAACTGTATTTGAATGCCTTTGGGTTGTGAGTGTGCATTAGCAGGTTTTACTGAACTGCTCGTAGCTTGTGTAAAAAATTGACTAAGGTTGTGTAAAAAAATGCGCTTAGCTTGAAACTAAACGAACACATTTTTCAGAGAGTTCATGTTAACTCACAAACCTGTCAATGCTTTCTTTGTGTCTTTGTTGCTCTAGTCTGTTGTTACAGCCTAAATTTTATTTTTGCTCAGTATTATAGTAAAGCCTTGGTTAATTTTGTTTGCTGAGTAGGAGACAGTAGCACTAGCAGTAACTATCGATATAGTAAACTGTAGCGTTTCAGTTGATTTTTGCCTTCTCTTCCCTCTTTTATTTTTTTTAGTACACTGCAGTTGTATGTTTAACATTTCTTCTAAATGACTGAATGAAGCTTTAGCTAGGTCGTGCAGTTGCAACTAAAATGGGACAGTGGTGAAACGAAAAGGGTTGCTTTAGCTGTGCGAGTTGGGAGCCTGCACAAAATGCACAAACTGTAAATAACAATAATTTCTTACGTTCGAAGGAAACCTCTTCAGACTTTTTCATTGCAAGCTGGTTAGTATTTATGTTGCTGCATTTGGTTTCGAGAGATACTTTACAGTTGGTGATTTTTTATGGTCATTTGTGGAAAACATTAAACTAATATGAAAAAAAAAGGGGGGGGGGGGCATTGTAATCTGTTCTGAGCGCACAGTTGCATAGACAAGTTTGTGGGCAGCTGGAGATAGAAGAGCCTTCACGCTGTTCAGTTGGCTCTCCTCTGATCAGAGCCAGCCATTGTGGCCAATTGGCACTTGACCTAGAATCGAGAATGGCGTCATTTGTTTGAGCTGCTTGGAGCAATGGTTGAAGCCAAGAGGGCTCAGCTCTAGATGAGCCTACTGGGGTTGGCACTTTTTAACAGAGGCGAGTTCGGAGGAGAGAACTATTCTGTTAAGATGCTGTCTTGTTTGGCAACTGGCCGTGTAACTGCAGTGATAAATAAACATAGTGTCTGAATTGGGCAACAATATGCACGTGCGGCTATAGTGTCCAAGTGACGTGGCGACAGTCAGCAGCGTTGAAAACTGTCTGCTCAGCTCAATTAAGTTAGTAGGTGTTCATGGCATTTGAAAGAGAAAAAAAGCTTCCACACTGTTGGCGACAGTGTTATTTTTCCTTGAGGTCCTAGCGATGATCCTGAATTTTCACCACTGAAGCCTCAACTAATCTTGCGTTAAGTTGAGCTTCCAGTCTGTAAACCAGAGTACTACAGGTTGGGTATTGATATAGATTGGCAAGGCTAGTGTAAGGATTCTAGTTGGGATAGATTATTAGGTTCTATGCTTAGAGTTATGTAAGTTATACACACGAGCTAGTAAGCAATGCGAATGCAGCTTGGACTTGAGAGTTTACAGGCTAAACAGTGACTGCAATGCTTTGGCGATGTCTATTTTAGTAAGTGAGGGCCAACTAGGTGTACTGATTTCAACTGTGTAGAGAAGAACAGCTCTAACTTCTGTTCAGAGGCAGTGGATATATCAAATTTATTTGCTGTATGTTAAGCCTGTTGTTCAGGCAATACTGTGTAGTGGCTCCCTTCATCTGAATTTCGTAAACTCATTTAGCATGTTTAATAGATTACCATGACTTTGTCAGTCCTAAATATATTTGCTTTTTCACTGTGGCATTGTGTTTTGTATGTCTTGTACACAAGTTTTACATGTGCAACGAAAAGATGAGTGAGGCACAGTAGTTAGTTCACCCTTTTAGATGCCATGTACGGAATTGTTTGCACCACTCGTTTTTGTTATTTGCATCAGGTAGAGGCAAAAAAAGAGCGAGATATTGTACTTTGGTTGAAGTGAATCTCGTGCATGATAAATTTGTCTTCATTTAACTTTATTTTGCAGTGTACTGATACGCATGATCACTTTTCTGAAAGCTCTGCCACGTCCCACGAGTCGTGTGACGTGCCACTTCCTATGAGCGATGTGAAAAGCAAAATTTTTCTTTGCTCAAAATGGACGTAACCAAAAATGAATTTGTACCATCTTCCTTGCCTGAAATTTGATTCTGTTTATGCAAAAAGTGAGCATCTATGACTTCAAGGTACAAGGTAATAAAGTATTTAATCACAACTTAATTATGATAAGTTACCATAACACATACATTCAAAGCTTGTCACATTATTCTTGTTGTAATAGAGTATTCAGTGCCTTGAAGTAACGTTGTAGTGATTTGACACATTTACAGGCAGCTCTTGTTATCAAGGCCCCAGTGACTGTATTTTCGATGGAGGCGGAAATTCTTAAGGCCCGTGTGCTTAAAGTTAGGTGCACGTTAAAGAACCCCAGGTGGTTTAAATTTCTTTAGCCATCCACTACGGCGTCTCTCATAGTCATATGGTGGTCCTGGGACCTTAAACCCCAACAGTTATTATTATATTATTAGGCAGGTATTGTTAGGGGGCATTTGAAGGGATTAAGAAGGTATGTTGCATTAGTAAGATCGAAGTTTGTGATGCACTTCCTATTCTACCAGTAGAATGTAATGTTTTTCCAGGCTTCCTCACAGTTGGAGTTTAAATCTCTTTTGACTTTATATCAAGCTTCAGCCAAGAAGGTTTAGGAGCTTGAGGGTTAGTTTGTTTACCTGATAACTATTTGAACTAAAAACCAGTTGCTCTTAGGCAAAGCTGCGAAAATGCACCATGGGGCCTACATGTTGATACTGTATGAGCCGGGCCATGTGTTGGGAACTCTCTTTTGACTTTATATTAAGCTTCAGCCAAGAAGGTTTAGGATTTGATTGATTGATTTGTGGGGTTTAACGTCCCAAAACCACCATATGATTATGAGAGACGCCGTAGTGGAGGGCTCCGGAAATTTCGACCACCTGGGGTTCTTTAACGTGCGCCCAAATCTGAGCACACGGGAAGAAGGTTTAGGAGCTTGAGGGTTAGTTTGTTTACCTGATAACTATTTGAACTAAAAACCAGTTGCTCTTAGGCAAAGCTGCAAAAATGCACCATGGGGCCTATAATGACATGTTGATACGGTATGAGCCGGGCCATGTGTTGGGGACGAAGGTAGAGGAAGACGAAGTTACTTGGTTCGGCCTATGTTCGCCATCATCGCCTATCGTCGCCTGATCTCTCCTGTAAATAAACATAGTTAAACTCCATCTAACCGTAAGAGTTTTATGGTGGAGGTGCTCGGTACCTACCCAAGTAACTTCCTCTTTCTCTACCTTTGTCCCTAACACATGGCCCGGCTCATACCGTATCATTATATTTAACAGAATATCCCCGAGTGGTTTCATTTATCGTCACACCCCATGCTTTTCACACAAGATAGCATGATAGTTCAGTGGCCCATCCAGTACTAGGTTTTGTAAAACAGACTTTTACAAGTGCTGGTAATGGCAGATCAGGAAAGGAAGGTTCCTCAAAGGTAGATACAGTCATCCATCGATCCTTAGCATCCATGGAGATTTCTCGGAAAAATTGCTTCATAGGTGATAAAAGTCAGTGCTGATCCGGTAGCTCGAACCAGGATTTTTTGTCAACTAGGAAGCTTTATGTCTGTGAAACTGGCTAAGGGTTTGTACGTCCCTCGCGGCTTCACACTGTGAATGGATAGATGACAGTATATTTCTTTTGCTACTAGTTCTAACACCAAGTTCAGTCGTTAGCGTGTGTGCGAAAGAGTAAACATTTCAGGAAGTCATGGTTTGGTGCGAGTCTCAACTTCTGCATAGCCGGACATTTGTGCCACACATTTTAAAACCACGTTTTTGGGCCGTGACGGTTGAGAACAGATTGAGTGAGGAAGAGATTGGCTTCCAGATGCAGGGATGCGTCCCGAGGACAACATCTACGAGGAGGTGGACATCTACCGACGAGACACAGTCACCTGCGAGGACGGCTACAGTGCGGCCGGCTCCGAGCTTGGCCTGGATCATTCAGAGAGCTCGGAGGAAGGCGACACCTACGGGCCGAGTGCGCCGAGGCTCGCGCTTGGGCAGCAATGGCAACAAGCCCGGCAAGAAGCGCAAGGATTCCGACGTGAGTGTCAGCGTTGCACGGAGCGTACTGTCGCTAAGCGACCACTGGCAGCAGAAGTTGCCCACATTGTTGCTGCTATATACTGATGTAAGTGAAAAAAAAAAGAAAAAACATTGTGCTTGAAAAAAAATGTTGCACAGTTGCCGTATGGCTGAAAACTAGTAGAAAAAAAAAAGAACGGATAGTAGGGTGTTTAAACAGAAGCTGAAAAAAATCTGTAAACGGCGGTTGTGGGCTATGGTCGACGTTTCGGCAAGTGGACCTGTCTTTGTCAAAGCTAGAACTAGTCTTGAGGAAGATGAGTGATTTTTTCATTGCAAGCTTCCATCTTCCCCTTCCTGCCGCTTTTTTTCGAGCGGGGAATTAAACTACATCCAGACATATTTGCATGCAAGCTTATAGTATTTGCCACAGAGCATTTGTATTCTTGGACGCTGGTGCACCAAAAATATGTAAGAATCTGTATGCACTTGGCATTCATCCCTAGGCTACTTTATTGTAGGCTATCTTTATCTACTTTAAACCCGGGTGATGTGTGAGAACTAGACCACCATGTTTTTCTGGCCCTGTTGCTCACAATCGTCATGCTGTTTTGACACAATGTAAAGCTTTTTTTTTTGTCTTCGTTTTTTACGTGCTACTCATTTCAAGTCGGATATTTCCATTTATATATGCACTCATATGTGTGAGGCATGCATTTGCAAATATATAAGCGTTGGATTTCCAACTAAAGTGAGGTAGACAGGTATATTTTTACTTCTGATTTATCATGCTTGACAGTTTAATTAAGACTTGCTCAGTTGTTTCTTAAAGGTTTTCACTTGCATACTATCACTATTCATTTTCAGTTTGTTGTCAGCATCAAGATTGGCTCTATAGCATCTATTAGGATTTTTTATTGCAGCCTCAAGACATGGTTTTGTTTTGTTTTGTTTTAGATTAATAAGGGTGATTATGACAGTGAGAGGCAATGCAGAGAATTCACTGCATCTACCTACTCGATCTCCAAGAGCGGGATCTGCTGTTTCAGTGGCACAGTTGATAACATTTTTTTATTGTAGCACACTTGAAATTGGGAGCCAGAAACATACCCATCAAGGGATAGACATGGCACCCTTAAGTCTGACAGGAGATGGCAATAATTCGGTGTCACAACGTGTTTTCTTGTGCTTGTGCAGCTGACCAGCAGCTTCACACGCTTCTTCTCCACCCGGCGGAAAGATTTCGATTCTGACAAGTTGGGGAGCCGCATGGGAAGCCGCCAGTTGTCAGGTGAGTATTGACATCTGTGAATTAGACTGCCTTCATTGTCAAGCTGTGAACCAAGCTGCTGTCAATCGAGCAATGCACTCTTTGGTTATCATAACATCGATTTAGTCCACTTTTCAAGCATTTTATATTTGATGGTTATTTAGAGCTGTTTTCTCTTCTCCGTATAGCACTTTGCAAAGATGTAAAAGGTTGACTGTGGTAAGGCATTAGCCTTATATTTTTAAAGATATGAAAGTTGAGAAAAAACGAATACTTCCAGATGACGGCATCAAAAAGGTCTTTAGGGGATAAACGCCCACAGAACACCTACAGAGAGCTGTCACCGAAAAAGTCTTTGAGATCTCGCTGATGAGAGCTCTCTTAGTGTTCTCGTAACTTCATTGGACTGTTTCAAGCAGGCACAAGTGCCTGTTTGTGAGCAGCAGGGATGTTACAGATTTGACATTCTGCTGCTGCTCATGACAGCTTGAAAGGCTCTTTGAACATGAACCACTGCATGTTGTGTATAGGCAATAAGAATAGCCCGTTTTTTTTTTTCAGTGCTTTCATTCTGTAAACATTTTGTATGCAGTGATATTACTATTCAACGTTTAAAGGGGCTTGCAGCATCCGATGTCTGGGCACTTTCCTGTGACTGCAGTGTAATTTTTTTTTTCGTCACCTGATCGTTCTGTATTTATTCATGAAGAGCTAGCCTCCTTATTTTGGCTGGCTTGTAATCTGGAGCAGTTATTCAACACTGTTTACTGTAGCTTTGGAGTGTTGTCATTATGGATTGTCCTGTCACAAAGAGATACTGCAAGTACTTGCCAGTGCTGACCAGAAGAGTGTCATGGGGCATCTCTTTCCTCAACAGAGGATGAAGGCTATGGGGACGTGAAAGCACCCAAAAAGCAGAGACCCCCATTGACTCTGCCACCTGTGCCTCCTGGCCTCACACCTGAACAGGTAAATGTGTCTCGATAATCGTTGCTTCGTAATTATTCTTTTCTTACTAGTGATTTAGCGAAAATTCAAAAAATGTAAAATAAAATGTATATGTATATTGGTTGTGGCAGATTGCATAATTATAGTTGTTCACTTCAATTACCGAATGGGCAGGTCTTATTAGCCCAGAAAGTCAAGTGCACCAATGTCTAAATAAAAATGTTTGCCGGTTGCTCGACAGCAATGTTGTAATATACGAATTGTATTCAGTGAGTTTTGAGACATGTCCCGAGGGTGATGCAAATTTTGAGACAATATATTTCTAATGTATGTGGTTTAAATACATTGTTGTTCACTTGTTGTTTGTATTTTTCATGGCATCAAATAGTGTTCTTAAACCAACCAGGAGTACAGTTTCTTTTTACCACAAATTGGACAGTCAGAGTCTTAAATTGCAATATGTGCGCAGGGTAATGAGGAACATGATTGGTGATGATTTTTAAAAAATTGTTGCATACTTAGGTTTTTGTATAAGTAATGTCCCTCTCATAGAGTAATCTAAGTCAAACCTAAATTTATCTGCTGTAGCACCAATAATTCTTTTTATGCAAGCTTTCGCAAAAATTTTCGCTGCTTGTTGGTGCTTCTGCACAAGCATTTTATTCGGTTTACCTTTTTTTTTCAATTCCAGAAAAAGAGGCGATTCATTGTACATAACATAGTTGAAAGTGAAAACTCGTACGTCGGAACTCTTCAAAGGCTCATCCTTGTAAGTACTTTTCGAACTCTATTAGTTTCATAGTTCTCTGTCGTGTTCCCATGATTTTGCAGGATATGTACCATGAGTAGGCTTGCGTGAATAGTGAATTTTAGGTTTGAAGCAAATAGTGATTTTAGTCTAATAATTCTGAATCGAATTTTAGTGTGTATATATATATATATATATATATATAATATATATATATATATATATATATATATATATATATATATATATATATATATATATTGCATATTATAGAGAAATATGGGCATATTTGTCATGCCCCAACTAATCTGCAAAATATTTTTTTTTTAACTGATATGAGGACTGTGCAAATGCCATTTTTTGCATGAAAGGAAAGGGAAACAATGTTGAACTATAGGAAGATTTCACTTTGCGTAAGTACGTTAAGTTATAAGATTTGTATAAGTCGGTATAACAAGATATTAAACTTAAAAAAAATTGATTTGAGTATAGTACCTTCATTTAACCTAGAAGCTGGGCTTAGGGGCAGTGAAGACTTTTTATAGACATGCATTTTCTCAGCTCAGCATCATTTCACTGAAGTTACGTGTGAACTAGCATACACCTAAATCAGTGCTTTCACAACTTAACAGCTCTCCACTGCAATGAAACCACCTTTACAAGGCGAAGCATGCGTAATAATATGCACCTATTCGTTCGTTTCGAATAATTGAAAATTTTTAATAATTTAAATTCAGTTTGAAGGTAGTTCAAATACTGCATTGTTTGCTCGAATATTCGAAACACTGGATTATTTACACAAGTTTAATCATGAGTATTGTATACATTTTTTGCTTCCATCCGGGGCAGCGCCACCTTTAAAAGATAGTCACCTACGATAGAAAGCCTAAAGTCTTAACAGGAAGTTCAGCAGAACTGTAGACTCGTTTTCTTGAAGTTTGCTTTCCTCGTGAGTCTTCTTTTTAGTTTTTTTTTACTGTATTAAACCTTTGCGGGGCTACCTAAGCTTGCATTTGGGGCAAGAAGCTGTTCAAAAGAGTAATCTTGAAGTGACACTAAAATTAAATAGTAAATCAGTTTAGACTAATAAATATTTCTTGAAAGCTCTATTATTGTCAATTTTAAAATCACAATCATAATGACACTTTTATTAAAATAGAAAAAATTCAGCAGCATTACTCTATTATGAGAATGGAAGCAAGAAAGGTTTGGCATGGTCTTGCCTAATGTATGGCTTTTCTTCTCATAATAACAGATAAGTGGGCAAATCGGTTTGTGTTCATAATGGTATATAGTAATTCAAGAAAAAGAAAAAGGGTGCTAATTTCTTTCTCCCATGAGAAGACACAGCTGGCAGCCTCGTAGGCTGCGCTGAAACAAGTACAAAAGGAACACGATGACAGCACATGCGATTTTCTTTCTTGCTTGCTTCAATGACGACATTCTTGGGAGATGTGGAGGGTGAGAGCATTGTTTCAGTCTCATCTGTTTGTGACCACTGCCCCTCCTGTTCAGCTCAACCTTTGTGCGGGCCCCGCCGTTGTAATTTAGTGGCTAAGATACTCGGCTGCTGACCCGCAGGTCGCGGGTTCGTATCCCAGCTGCGGCGGCTGCATTTTTGAAGGAGGCAAAAATGTTGTAGGCCCGTGTGCTCAGATTTGGGTGCACATTAAAAAACCCCAGGTGGTCGAAATTTCCGGAGCCCTTCACTACGGCGTCTCTCATAATCATATGGTGGTTTCGGGACATTAAACCCTACATATTAATCAAAACCTTTGTGCAGTTCCTTCCAAAAAGCTTGGAATGTCCAAGAAGAGGGGCTCTCTATGCCTAAGCATGTGCCATCCCCCTCACGGTAACCTGTGGCTTGAAGCGGGAATGCTGGTAAAGGACAGGGTTGTCGCAATGGCTTCCACTAAGCTTTGTTGTGCTAAGGACACAATTCTTTGTATCTTCCTGTACTATCTCCAAGCCTTCTCATGACCGTCGGCTAAGCTTTCTTTGTTGCTCGCAAGCTGCGGGTGATAATAATTTCAGTGAACCTCGCCAACTTCACTTCAAAAAGAAGTTTTTGCCACACTTCCAGTGTACCTCAGGCCAGTGTACCTCAGGGATATTGAAGTCATTTTTATTTTTGATGCACTCACTCGGTAAGGTTTTCCAGAGCCTGTCGTATCATGATGCTTGTATTCTTCAAGACATGCTGTGTGGTTAGTACCCTTGGAACCTTTTCATTTTTTGGGGTCTTTCTTACAGGTTTGGCAAACTTTTTTGTTGTGTGTTGGAGCAATGGAAAGTTAAATGGGGTCTTTTATCACAGTGGCCTGGAGCTTTATCATGGACTTGTTTGCATTAAATATATCAGAGAAGCAGATTAAGTAATGTAAAAATATATAGTTTAGCAAAATTCAAAGAAATTCTTTCTTCAAATGACAGTGGAAAACATTACCTGGGGTCCCTTCCAGCTACGTTGCACTTGCACATTATATTTATATTTTGGCAGAAGTTACGTGTCACAATTGGTGCAATGTGAGACTGGTATGAACTTTTCAAATCACTGTGTGCCAAGGCTTAGCAGGCTAAATTCTTAAATTGGGTGGCACTACCCATCACTGCAGGACTTCAAGCGACCGCTGATGGCCAGCCAGCCACCGCTTGTGAGCCAGCGAAAGGTGGACACCATGTTCTTCCGCCTCGAGGAGATCATGCAGTGCCACACGCTCTTCGGCATCGCCCTCAATCAGTGCATCTGCGAATGGGACCAGCAGGAGCGCATAGGCGAAGTCTTTCTTGCATCAGGTGAGACCTTCTTTTTCATTCGCATCCCTGTCTTATCAGCACAAGGGCATTGTTGCTCTCAACATGAATGACCGTGGTGTTCTTGTAACTTCACAAAGTTTGGGATGGAAGGATTGCTCACCGGCTGCAACGGAGCTCGCTGTTTAGGGTCTTGGGTTCAATTCTTGACTAGGATGGCCGCATTCCAGTAGGCGGGGAACATGGAGAAGCTCATGTTTACGTATGCACGCTTAACTGCTGAGGTTGTCTGTACTAATTGTCATGTTACAGGTTGCAGGCAGACTTGGTAAGTGTTGAAATGTTTTTCAGACTGATAAGAATAAATGTAATTACTAATTTTCTGGAAGCCCTGTCATGTACTCGAGGAGTACCAGAGCCAAAAAAGTGAGGGACTAACGTCCATGTTTGAACTCTGCAAAGCCACATGACGAGTCATGACAATGAAGGATCACTTTCTTGCCTGTTTGGGTGTTATTTGATTGATGGAAGGCAGTAGAAGCCAAAGTGCGTCATATATTGTGTTATTTGTAGTGTAACTGACATGCGCAGCATTTTTTGCAGGAATGCACATTTTGGTATATGTCAAGTAGGGAAGCTGGTCACACTACATGATCGTGGAGCACGAAAATTTCAGCCCATGTCTTGAAACAATGGCACACTAACAGTTGTTCCAAATGATGCGGTCTTATTCAGCAGTGCACTTCTTACAGTAAGCGTGCCTAGAAATGAGTTTCTGTTAATGGTGTCCCTGTGAAGACACTAGGGTTAACCAACAGTTTACTTCATTAGCATCTACTTCAGGTAGAAGAAAATTTGGTCTTTGTCACGTGACTCGAGGCAATCCTCATAAGTCGCTCCATGTGACGAGAAATTTGTTTCGTAATGTTGACGCCTTGCCGCTATCTCATTGTGCGACTGTGGCTTCTTTCAGTTTTCGAAACCAATTGTACTCGACATCTACAGCGACTTCATCAACAACTTCAGCACAGCCATGGAGACAGCGAAGCAAGCAGCTAAGAGCAAGTCTGCTTTTGCAGAATTTCTCAAGGTGCGTGGAGTTCCTTCTACAACGTGTGTGCTTAGTGCAAAGTCTGTGTCAGGTACAATTTTTATGAACTTCATATAACTCGAAGATGTACCTGGACCTGAAGGTCATCGACGCTGGCTGCAAAGAGCAAAATTAGGAGGAGGAGCTTGACGTGGGTGAGCTGGGTGCCACACTGAATGAAGAAAATGCCATGCATAAAAGGAGACTCGGAGGAAACAGTAGACTGTCTGCTGCATGCGTTTTCTTCTGGCTCTCATGTTTTGGCGCTGCGTTTCTTTCTCCCGGTTTGTGGAATTAACGAAGCATAGAAAACGAGAAAAACTGTTCTAGAACCGTAGGAAGTTTATATTTCGCACCTTGTGCTGATCATCTCTGCCTGCAAGGCTCACAATGGTGTTACTTGAAAAACAAGTGATGCAAATATGAAGTGGCTGGGTAGGTTATATTTTTGTTTGTCCATTCATTGCATTCAAGACTATAGATCCTCTGCTAATTAGAGACCTCGCCCGTGTTGTGATTTACGTTTAAGGTATCATTTTATTCTAGCACTGTGTTAACCGAGAGCACCTTTCACCTTAGTGTATCACTATTTAAAATTCTGCTGTGCGCTAAAGTAAGCATGTTTATACTCGCACAGAGCTCTACAAACATATGGTGTCATCGCTTGACGGATTCGGAGTGGCTGACGAACTCTGCGCCGGAGCACTCTACTTTCGCACAGGGCAACAGGAGGGAATCTTCGAATGGAACACACGCTCTCCCTCTGGAGCAAATGGCAGGGTCAGAATGTAACGCGATGCATGTGTCTCTCTTCTTGCTTGAGTGGGCATGATGGCAAACGCTAGCAAAACGAGAGCTCCAATGCCAGGCGCAACTGACGCGACCGGCATCCTTTGGAGCACCCATAGTTGGCACCGTTTCAAGGCACGGGGTGCTTGCGACTTCTGGTCGAATCCGCCAATTTTCGCAGAGTACGAAAAATTGCTTCGTGGAGTGTATCTCGCAAAGGAGCTGCTCCAGATCCGCCAATGGAACATAAGAGGAGCACTCTCAATCTGCCAATGGAATAGGTTTGCTCCGCATGGAGCAGAAGGAAGTATTACCGGGAGTGCTCTGAATCTGCCAACGGATGACACCATTACATTTTGTCATAATTTATCTGTTGCAAGCCGTCGTGGTGGCTGTGCTTTTTGTTACTCTCTTCATTGGCCACCTGCGTCACCAAAGTTTGGGAGAACCTTAGCTCTCTCTTGTTTCTCTCTCTCTCTTCCCTATCTGTGACGTTCTCAGTCACGTGCTCCGCCGCCTTCAGAAGAAGGATCAGGCTCGGGAGGGAGGGAGTCGTACAAGGTGAGGAGACTGTCGAGAATGAAAGAGAAAAAAAAAAAATGAAGGAAGTGTGCATCGGCAGAGGAATGCAGCCGACCTTGGAGAGATGCATTGCTTCTCCATCGTCTTCCCGGCCCTTCCCCCTCATCTCCTTCAATGGTGTAGTGGTGCACATTTACCAGTGCTCCAAGCACAACAGTCTACACCCGTCATGGCCTGGCTGATTGACTGCCTGTTCACGCATCTTCACGTTTCAGCCACACTTCCCAAAGCATCACTACTTTGTTTTGTTCGGTTTCTAATTTTCATCCATATTCATTTTATTTTGCTTTGGTTTGGTCTCTTACACTTTGAGTTCGTGACATGCCGTTGCGCCGAGGCTTGCGTGTTCGTGAATGTTGCTTTTTGACTTTGAGTAGCAAGAAAAGCTTTACGATGACAGTACTGTCGTATATGTAGTCAACCTTTGGTTGTGAGCATCGATGTATTATTTTTTATGGTAACGGGTTATTTACTACTTGGAAATGAAAAAGGGATTCGGTATCCTGACGTCGATTACAGCAATGTGAACCTGGTTGTACTAACTTTTCAATATATGCATTTCAATTACAAAAGAAAGGTCAAATGTTCTGCAGTTTGGCTTGAAATGACACATTCTACAAACCTCGATAAAACAAAATACGTATGTAACAAACTATTAGTTATAATGAAGTAATTGAATAGTTTCGTACTAGATACAGTGGTATAAATATTGCCTATAACAATTTTTCGAATGTAACGAAGTATTTCATGGCAGAAGTGAACTTCATTATAATGAGATTTAGGTGTACATGCTTGTGCTTTTTCTGGCCTGCAGCCAAGTTATCGCTTGGCGCTTCCACAATAGTTTCTTCTAAATGTTAAGGATCCCCTGCAGATGTCTTCAAGACTTACATGTCATAATTCACAAGCCATCTAATTTTTTTTTTTTCACTGCTTAGCACTCTTCAATTGAGGTTCCGCTGTCATGGTGTGCATTTTTTTTGCTGATGCTATAACTGGCACCTATGCACGCTATTAGTTTTGTTTTGGTCTTTACACGTATTTTGTTTTCTAGTTTTGCACCACATGTTGTGAGATATCTTCTTCATATGCACTTTTTATTTAACTTGTCTTGTCCACTGAGAAAGTTGCATTTTTCACTGATAGCTTCTTGCACTGGTTGATGAAACAGCCACAGTATACATGTGTTGTGCACTTTTGCATCTTACTGCTTGTTTAGCTACTTGGTTATCTATGAGTTGCACGGGTAACCTGTTTTTTATTTGCTTTACAATGAAACTTTGAATATAGCAAGTTTAAGATTGTTGAGACGGGTTGTCCATACTGGTAATCCTTCAGGTTAAATTGCAAGATCGAGTCTTTTACGAAAGCTTCATTGATTGCCGCGATCATGCCTGTTGCAATGCTGCAAATATTTTGTCAGCTGTCGAGCGTCCAGAATGTGCAGCCACACATTTTGTGTATGGCCAAGTGAGAATTCTGTTGTGTGAGGTTTGAAATTCGCCAAGTAAGCAAGCACTCTCTTTGTATGGGGTGCCATTTTATGTGGTTGAAGTGGATCTAGGCATGTGTTGTAAGCACTGTTGCCTGTAACAAAGGAATTGCAGTAATAGTCAGGGACATTAAAGCATATACATGATGTATACATTTCTACGGCAGATGAAGCAGATCTACAGTCCTGACCGGCTGTCGTTCTTTGGCCTCATGGTGAAGCCGGTGCAGCGGTTTCCCCAGTTCATTCTGCTCCTTCAGGTGAGAGCCTGTGCTTGATTGCTCGCTCAATCCAACGAGTGCTGTGTAAACACGTTATTGGTGCACTTGTGGTCCTTATGCCATATAGTGATTTGCTACTGCATTAATCAAAGAATGCATACCAGTATTTCTGGCGTGATATCGGATTGTGTTCAATGATGTAATTAGCGAATGTTACTGTGTTGTCTCGTAGCCTCGGACCAGCATGCCAATTCACTTATAGCCGCGGCACTGCCCGAGCTTTGCCATGTTACAGGCCCTTTGTGTGGCCAAGCACACTCAACATAGTGTGGGGAATCATGCAAGGAATGAAAAGGGGTCTACTGTCGCAGGACGTGGTACGGGTTCTATAATTGGGATCTCCGTGAGGTTCTGCTGTGCTCCAGGAATAAAAAGCACTGTATCCACCAGTACAGACAAAAAAAGGCCCGCTGGTCAGCTTGCTTGATAGCGCAGTGAACGTAGCATGCTCATGGAACTCTTTCGGGAGTGAGGAAATTGAACTCGCCACGCCAGGATATTGCGCTAGTAATGTTTGTCACTTCCAAAAGAAGCTCGCGCCTACGTCACTCAAGGTTGATAATTGTGGTTGAAGTGCATTTTCAGGAATAGGAAGGCATCTGTGGAGGATATATAGAATATGTGAAGTTGACAGTCCTTGAAATTGAGCCTCAGCCAAACACAAGAGCAAGTTTTTCTGGGACCTGAGTACCCGCATTGTCCTGTAGCACCTCTGTAAGAACACTGCCACCGTCACTGCCGACCTTATTGGGGTGGCACCATACTGGGAAGCTGGGTTATGGGAGACAGGAAAGACATGCAAGGAAGACAACTTTGGGACTGTGAAGGGTCTCCACAGTGCACACGCCTTCCTTTTCATGCCACAGTTTGTGCACTGAGATGCCTAACAAGGATAGTGGTGTGCACTGGGAACTATGTTGTACACAGCTAGGATGTCCTTGGGAAGTTTGTGAAATTGTACTTGCCGTTATTTTTAAGATCCTTGAGCATCATCCAAGCTCATACTGCGGGATGTTGATTTGATGTCTGCGAGAGACTGCATGCATTGTCTCTTGATCGCAGGACCTGCTCAAGCAGACACCCAAGGGCCATGACGACCGGATGTACCTACAGTTAGCCCTGACTCAGCTGGAGCAACTTGCTGAGGCGCTCAACGAGCGCAAGCGCACGGCTGAGCAGCACCATGCCGTCCTGCAGGTGCTTGGTTCACTGGGTTCCAAGTTCTCACTCAAGGTGGGGACCACATCTGTTGTGCTTGGATGTTTACATGCTCTTATGTGTAGCATTAACTATGCTACTGCATATTCATAGTTGTAAAATTTAAACACTATCTTCTCGGCCAGACATTGAGGCAGTCTTTATTACTTAATTTACTTCTTACCTTGAAGAACTTTCATTGTTTAATCTGCTTCAAGTTATTCTTGAAAGAACAGGGATAAATGTTAGGTGTGAGACTTCGCTACGGTGTTAATGATCCACATGTGGTTGTACGCTCAGTTCCTGATAGGCGCAGTCAGGCATTGAACCCATGAGCCTATTTAGGATTCTGCCCCCGTTTCTAAGGCAGTGGAATCAAAGATGCTGTGGCTAGGATGGAATTCTAGGAGGTGAAGCTTTAATTAGTAGCCCTATACTACAATGTCGTCTTTCTTGTTTTACTTCTAGGCATTAGCAGCAGCTTCTTCAACAGTGGACAGCACAGATCACTTCCTGTTACGGCAAGACGACGTTTTACAGCTGGTAAGTCTTTTGTTCTATTTGTCACTTGCCAGTCACCTATGGAGCCATAGTCGATTCGCGACTCCAACTGAGCGCTCGCCACCTAGTAGCCGCACCTGGAAACAGTGCTAGCAAGGTGAACCTTGGAAGGAGATATGGTACCACGTTGCGTGGGTTAAGAAGCGGACGCATAGCTCTGTTATTTTTGCTTTGCCGCACGTGTGAGCCCGAAAAAGAAAAACAAAAAAAAGAAAGGGGTGCCCAAAGACCATTGGTGCGTCCCACAGTGCGTGGATTCAACGGTGGGAACAACGCATCATTTTATCACGTCCCGAAAAATGCGGATGACGCGCGACGGAGAACGATGCAAAACAGAAACTTATGCATTGGAAAGAAGGTGACGAACACTACGATAGTTTGTTCTAGCTCACGACGACTTAATTCACCTAGTTTCGTTTATACAGTCCACTCCCGTTAATGTGAAGTTCACGGGAACTGCAAAACGCTTTGAGTTGAGCGAACTTCCAATTAAGCAGAATGCACAAAAAACTGTACTTTTATTGCTTTGAACTTGACATTTCTCTAAGAAAAGATTCTGTCATCTTTGCTTGTTGAACCTGGCTGCGGCTAGCAAGTTTTCCAAGTACAGTCGACTCCTGGTAATTCGAAGTCGCTTAATTGAAAGTTTCGGTTAATTAGAAATGAGCAAGTGGTCCCATCAGTTTTGCATGCAATCGTATAGAAAAAACTGCTCGATAATTCGAAGTTAGAAACCCATAATATTGGTTAATTAGAAGTTTTTTCAATTGACAGTCTTGTTGCGACCGTAATTTTACAGTAAAATGGGGAACTTTTCATATGTCAAATCATCTGCCGGACCGCGCTGGTGTCTTCGCCATCACTACTGTCCTCAGCGCCACAGATCTTGAAGCGGCAATCATTTTAACGCTGGCGAATCGCATCGGCGGCATCGACTGACTCTTTAGTTGACTTTTGTCGAGACTCGAGTGTGTCACCGCGTCACCCGCGCGCTAAGTTGATTCCACACGTGTTTCCGCGCTTCTGATTTTGAGTCTTGTGGTGGTGACGTACGTTTGATAATGGCAACTCGTGGCCCTTACCGAACGCTAGACCTAGCGACGAAAGTCGAAGTCTTGAAGGAAGTTGACTAGGGAGGCACCGCCAAACAAGACATTGCAAGAAATTACGGCATTAAGCCTAACACGCTGTCGACTTTCATAAAGAATAAGCGCTCAATATTGGATGCGTTTGAAAGTGAAAAATTCAAGACATCGCGGAAGCGCATGCGCACCGGCGCCTACCCCGAGTTGGAGGAAGCACTGCTGATTTGGATCAGAGAGGCACGAAACAACAAACTTCCTCTCAGTGGTGAAGTCGTCACGGCAAAAGCGTTATCGCTTGCTGAAATGTTGGGCATCAACGACTTCGCTGCTTCGGATGGGTGGCTTACGCGTTTAAAACATCGCCACGACTTGATTTTTAAAAGCGTGTGTGGGGAGAAGGCGTCAGTCGATGAGGAAACGTGCCTGACATGGAAAGCGGGCAAGCTTCGCGAGTACCTCGAAGAATACCAGCCGGCAGACATTTTTAATGCAGACAATACTGCGTTTTTTTATCGGCTGCTACCGGACAAGACGCTGACATTTAAAGACGACGACTGTTCTGGAGGCAAAAGAAGCAAAGAGAGAGTGTCAGTGCTAGTCGCGGCGAACATCACTGGCACAGAACGGTGTCGCCTGCTTGTGATCGGGAAAGCTGCCAAGCCTAGGTGCTTTAAAGGCGTGAAGACGCTTCCTGTGGATTATGCCTCGAACAGAAAGGCGTGGATGACATCCGATATATTTAAGGACTGGATCACCAAACTCGACCGCAAGTTCGCGCAATCAAGCCGTAAGGTGTTGTTCCTTGTGGACCAATGTAGTGCCCACATGAACGTACCTGCCTTGAGTGCCATCCGTCTTGTGTACCTGCCTGCAAACACGACGTCCGTGTTGCAGCCCATGGACCAGGGCATAATAAAAAATGTGAAGGTATTGTATAGGCAGCATCTCGCTGAGCGCATACTTTTGTGCATGGACAACTCGTCACAATACGAGGCGAGTTTGCTTAGTGCCATCAACATGCTAGCGCGAGCTTGGACCCACGTGAAAGAAGAAACCATCGCCAATTGTTTCCGGGCCTGTGGTTTCATGGAAAACTCGGGGGTGCTTCTCCTTGTGCGCCAGTGGAAGTGCAAACAAATGAGCTCAACGACGGTAGCTTTTGCGCCGCTCTCGGTGACGTCCGTTTTGACGAGTATGTCGCTGTGGACAGCAACGTCGAAACATGCGGTCCACTAACGGACAGCGAAATCGTGCAGATGGTTCGGCCCCATGACTGCATTCCTGAAAATGACGATGATGACGACGACATCGGAAATGAGCCACCACCGAGGGCTGCCGATGTAGCTGCGGGTCTTGCTCTTGCGCAGCGGTTTTTTGTTGGAGAACACAACGCCGAAGAAGCACTTCGACACGTGTATTCCTTACAAAACTTGCTAGCCGCAGCCAGATTCGGCAAGCAGAAGAAGATGACAGATTATTTTTCCTCAAAACTGTCGCGCTTTTAAACTAATAAAAGTGCCGTTTTTAGTGCTTTTTGCTTAATTCGAAGTTTTTGCGGTTCCCATGATATTCGTATTAACGGGAGTCGACTGTACCACACATGTCGAAGTGCTTCTTCAGCACTGTCTTCTTCAACAGAACATAAAAACCGCAGCGCAGGAGCAAGACCCGCAGCAACATCTGTAGTCCAGCTTGGCAGTCCTCTGTGGCAGTTCGTTTCAATTTCATCGTCCACTAGCCGAACCATTTGCACAACATTTTTTTTTCGATAGTAGAGGGCATGTATCGACGTTGTCCACAGGCAACAAATTTTTCAAAATAGACCCAAAACTACTGTCCTCCAAGTTCAGCTGTTTAGGCCTAGCACCGTACTTTCGTGCAACGTCTTGCCTGGCGGTGCCTCCCTGGTGAAGTTTTTTTGAGACTTTCATCACCAGGTCAAGCGTTCGGTTGGGGCCGCAAGTTGCCATTATCAGACTTCGCTACCACAACGCTCAAAATCAGCTGTGGAAATGCGTGCGGAGTCAACCTACAGTGCGTTGGCGGGCTAGTTAGCTTATCATGCTGTTTGAATAACGTGACTGGACGCGCACGGAGCCGAACATGCAAACACGCACACAGCGTGTGTATGTGTTTGCGTGTTCTTTTCCGTCAGCGTCCAGTCATGCTGTTCTAACTTCAACCAGACTTCAACCAACGTGCGGCTGAAGCACTCGACAGATTAAAACGAACGACCGAGTTAGCCGATTCGATCAATGCAATGCCCCTGCGTGGACTAAACAAGATCGCCGCTTCATGAACCATGGTGCTGTGGGCCGTGGCGATGAGGACGATCTTACAGCTGTCCTAGTGGTTTTGGCACATGAAAAATTTCCCATTTTATTGAAAAATTATGGTCACCTTGAGGCTCTCGACTGAAAAATAAGTTCTAATTAACCAACATCACAATCTTTTTACTTCTAATTATCGAGTATTTCTTCCTATAGGCGTGCATGCAAAATTAATGGGACCACTTGTTGAATTAACAGAAAATTCTAATTAAGTGACTTTCAGTTATCGGAAGTTAACTGTATAAGAAACTACTTTTGGAAATTTGTTCTGTTATATAGGTGACTGTATTTTTTGCGTAAGCTTGTTTTCTGTGCAAGTCGTAGTGCTACCTACTCTCAACTTAATCTGCTGTAATCCTTCCCCCAAACACTCTTGATTCCGCATGTCCTTATACACATGCACACAAACACGTGCAAATGTTGTGCGTGCGTAGCATGTATATATGTATGTTCGTGTGTATATACCCTATTTACTTGCATAACTAATGCACTTTTCTTCTCGAAAAATCGGAGTAATGTTCGGGGGTGCGGGTGGGCCACCCAACACAAAGTTGGGTGGCACCACTGGCCGTCTGCTGTGAGTCCTCATGGTGAGCCTAGCGTTGGCGGTGCCACCTTCGGGCTACCTTGTGTTTGTTCTTATGTTTGATTGAGTGTATTGAAATATTGTGTAAGGTTGTTACAGCGTGTTGATTGATGTATTTTGTTTGAGCTGGTGATGTTGTCATGCTAAAAGCAGTTAAATATATTTGGTGTTTGGTTTAAAGGCGCGGACTGATCTTAGAATTTTTTGTTTATTTTTACTGTGATCTTGATCAAACTGCACTGGATTATGCAGTTTTTTCTTCTGATTTCAAATATTTATATGGTTTTCTTGTAACTCATCTTGTTCCTGAGATAACTTAGGTTCAACCCCTATTATTTAAGGCTGCCATAGAAAAAGAAAGTGCTTAATTAAAGTGATAGTTAAGATATGCCAACATAGGCTAATGACTATAGATTAAAAGTATGCGAGAGTTTTTTGTTTTCAAGCCTTTCTTGGTTATTTTTACAGCAAAATGAACTATCTATTTTCGAAAGCAATTGGAATTGTGTTACAATTTTGCTGAGTAATTAATTCTGTTCCCATACTTGCATTGTACACACATACAGGTTTTCATTGCAAAAAGAATTATTGTTGTACCTGCTCTAGCTGCAGAGATATTGAGGCCTCAAAATTGAACAGTCGTAAATTGACTTTTTTGGGAATAATGGAAAAAACTGAAAACACACAGCTTCTTCAAAAATCAACAACCATGGTGCGCATGTTTTGCAATCCTTATAAAGGTGCTTATAAATTCGTAGCAGAGCTTCTAACACAGGTGCCGGCCAATTATAAAAAAAGCCTCGAAGTCAGCTCCCCATTTTTTTCCAGGCTCTGCGTGTTTACAGCACCAAGAATCTTGGCAGTTAGAATAAGATTAGAAAGAAATTACCACGTCCTGGTGTGTGAAAATTTGCACTGAGATAGTAAAATACTTGCAGAAACCAAATAGGTCAATTTTGAAAAATGAATTTTTTTGTCACTTTTTGGTCTCAATAAAAAGACCAGTCTGCCCCCTTAAGTCCGATCACGTCTACTTTGTTTGTCGTGTTTTATTCACAGACCCCACAAATTTGAAGTGAATTTGATGCGCTTCGCCGAAGAAGCTAGAAATTTGTGGGCCTAGCGCAACTATATCCTCTGTTTCGCCCGTGAAATAGTTTATGTCGGCGAAAAGCAGGTGGTCTGCGGCCAGCACCCTTTCGCCTTGACGAAGCAACACAATCTGACGCCACAGTCAAAAAACTTCCGCGCAGCGCGAAAGTGCCCACGTTGCATTGTTAAGCTTAGCCATCTCAGTTTTTTCGGCCAGTGTTTGCATCACACAGCATTTTATAGAGCTGCGAATCATTGCACATTTGTAATGTCTGTGTTTGGCTGGCATTAAGGTATTGTGGGGGGGTGTTGCAAATCAGTATTTGCAACAAATGCACTGTTTGTGGCAAGTTCTGCTCATCAGTCTCCAGTTAGTAAGGTTTTCTTTTTTTTTGGTTGTGAAAGTATGTCAGTGGAGGTCTTGTCTCGGGCTACTTAATGCAGACGTGGACAAGTTCTAAAAACCGACAAAGTCAGTCCCAATGAAATTCAGTTCAGTCTGTAAACAGTGTGTTGTTTGCCATGCTTTACTGAATCTGAAATCGTCACTAATATTGTGCGTGCGTACCCCTCACACCCCTTCAATGTAGTGTCCGTTGGGCTTTGATAATCTTGATCTATAGCGACTGACAGATATGCTTTTGAGGCATAGTCTATGGTGTGTCTGTTGTATAGACGCTATCATGTGAGCCTTGTAGTGATTACTGAAATGAGGATACATTTAGCATAATTTCATTTTGCTATCCTGTCACTTAAGAATTTTGCATGTGGGAACTTGCATCTGTATAAAATTTTTGACCATATCTCATGTGAATCTCGAACCACCATATCAATTTTCTTGAGTGTCTGCAAAATCTATGCACGTACATTTATAGTGGCAGGAAAGAGCGTGTATCGTCTTACAATTTCTTGTTTCCTGTATTGTTAACTACACTCCAGTTTGCTTTCGCTTGGTCAAGTGAAATCTAATGCCCTTGCTGTGCTCTAATTTCTTTCAGTATGAAGATTGTTCGTAAGTAAGCTACAGTGACAGTGTAAGGGTCGTCACTGGCAAGATAATTTTAACTGGCATTGAGAGTTCTTGTTCTAGTCGCTTTAAAAATAGCAGCCAATGGAAAAACTAAATGCATAACGTGGTACCAAATTTAGGTCTTGTTTGTTGTAGCTGCCACTATCTAGAAGTCTTGCTGCTTGATTGTTGCCTTATCACTGATGGCTTCTCTTACTTGCATTTACACACTGCAGGAAGTTGACCAGAGCGGGCTTGTTGTCAAGTCGAAACCGCGGCGTATTTTCCTGCTGAACGACCTTCTTGTCTGCGTCACTGTGACTTCAAGGTGGTGTAATGTTTTTATTGTCACTCTGTACTTAAACATGTAGTGAGCTGCTAGTTCCATTACTGTTTGAGGCTTGCATATATTCGACATCAGCTTAGTTAACCTTTAGGAGGGAACATGTATGTTCCCTCCTAATGTGTACCTACAGTTTTTTTTCTAAGGCCTTTCTTTATTCACACATTAAATATTTGAAAAGATGCTGCTATTGCAGTTAATGTAATGGAACCTAACGTTTTGTGCTAGTTGAAAAAGCACTAGGGCTCACAAGCTAATATGAACTGCCCTTGGGGTTCCATTTTTTTCTTTTTTCCATTAAAAGAACAGCAGAGCATCCTTAAAAAAAAAAAAAGAAAACCCCTACTGTTTAGTTTTGATGGCCTTGTGCCACCGTGGGCCTGTTTTTCATTCATAATTAAAGGGACACTAAAGAGGAACAGTGACTTGGTTTATATTTAGAAACTGCACTTTAAGAACTCTAATGCCACATGTTTCGTCATCATAAGTTCATTATTAGCAGAGAAAATCAAGGCCGAAAATTCATTTTTAAATTTCGTGCCGAAATCTCTGTGCAAGACATAAGAAAGTTCAAGTATATTTTTGGTATTTTCATGGCATTGGCTCGACGAAATTTTCTGAAGCTTCGTATGCTATGTCTCTGGCACCCATAGATTACAATGTTGTCCATTTTTACTTAGAGGAAGCTACATGGGACCCAGTAGGCGCCCTTAGAATTTCTTACGTCACGGTGTCCGGTGCGGCAATGTCAAGGTGGTATCACCACCCGAATTTTTTTTCACCCGTTTTCTTGCTTACTAAGCATTGTATCACGGTTGGAGTGGTGTTTTTGGGATTCTTAAACTATAGCTTAGAAATACGCAAAAAATCATTTTTCTCCTTAGTGTTCCTTTAATTCTCACAGAATTCACATGAAAGGACGACAAAGATAAAGCAGTCGTGCAATTTAAAAATGAATATAATTATGCAATAAGGAAGCGTTACAAACTAAAGTTAATAACTACACAGTTGAACCCCACTATAACGAAACAGACGGAGTGCGGAAGGAATTTTGTTGTAGTGAAATCGAAAAAATATAGCCGATCTGAGCTAGGAAAACGAAGGAACATTTATTCTCAAAATTAAAAAATTGTCCGCTGCTTCCATTCTTTCCCAGCAGCGTCACAATGTCATTCTCACCCATGCATAGCGAAGCCATGGTAAAAAGCACGCTGAAACACCCCTAAAACTGCCTTCGTGAACGAATCACAGTTGCATTAACACGTTAAAACCAGCACCTGTCCTTACCTGTCGAAAGTATCTGACAAAGCCAAGATGGAGGCAGGGTATCGTGGAGCGGTGGCTTTTGCATTATTTTATGCCATTCTTATCATCAATCACTCGCGGCTAGCTGATTTTGTTGATAATGCGAACGAGCGGTCTTTCTGAATAATTACCACACTGGCCAAGCGCACCCTGCAGCTGCGGGAAGGAAACCATTAACTGAGTGACTGAGCTTCAGCTTCAGATCGTTTGCGGCTCGAAAGCAAGCCAGCGGCAAAAGCAGGGCCAGGGCAGTCTTATTGCCATCGCTATCGAGAAATGGCGGCACCCATGCTTGCTGAATTGTGGCGGTATAGCGGCGGTTTCTGGTGGTGCCAACACGTGTTTTAGATTCCATTGAGACATTTTCAAGCCCTGAAAATGCATCGAAATGTTAAAGATTTGGTTTACTGCATAGCAATAAGTATCTGAGCCTGGAATCGCATCGTGAAATTTCGTTGAAGCGGGAAATCAAAGAAAAAGTGTTCGTTGTGGCGACAATATTTATGCATTGACTCCTATGGACAGCTGACGGGAAATCGTGAATTTTTCATAGTAGCGAAAATTTCGTTGAAGCGGCGTTTGTTGTAGCGGAGTTCGACTGTAGAAATACGACTTATTTTCATTTTATGTGTTTTTGCAATCGCATGAAGTTGTGTGCTATGTAGAATTTCAATCTTACAGCCCAATTTTTGTGAAAGGATATTTTAAATGTAGCTTCTTTTCACCCCGCAGGACCATTTTGGAATAGCATGTTCTATCATTATGTATTACCAGTAGTGTAATTCATTGAGACTTCAGCTTTCGTACATGAAACTGTTTTTCAGCTTATTAGCTCAACCATCTGTTAATATGTTCTCTGTACATGTTTTGCAGTGTACATGCACAGATCTTTTGCTTCAGTCATGACCTTGACCCTATTTTTCCTCTCTGTTGTCTCTTCAAAAGTACTTAACATTATGAATATTTCAAATGACTGTATTTGCTTTGCAGAAGGTGTTAACATTGTGAATCGTACATTTTAAACGAGTCGGTGGCAGTCACTGATGCCTTCTGTGTGTGTCTGTGTCGTGCAGGCCATCGGAAGGGGGCCAGGGTGGCAGGGAGCGGCTGAGTCTCAAGTGGGCAGTGCCCCTGCAGGATGTGGACGTGCAGGAGGACATCGCCCCGGCCACTCGCAACCTCCTCGCCTCCTCCGGACGGGCACGAAACTCAGCGGGACGCCTCGTACCCGTCGGGCACCCTGGTGGGTGGTTGCTTACTGGACTTGTAACGAACATGCAGCATTGCTTGGACAGACTTCTGTTTAGTCATGAGCTTGTGACATACTGTTACGTACAGTGCTAGAATGCCACAAGCTTGCATGAACCTATTGCATTAGAACATTGGCAATACTCGCTTGCCATAGTCTCGAGAGCGTTGAGCTATAAAATCCAGAGTAACATTAGTAGCTGGATTTACTATCAACAATAGGAAAAGATAGTGCTGATCTTTCACATTGTAAATTTTCTTACAATAGCAACCTCAAGCAAACTGAGTAGTGAGCTCGGTCGTTTCATCACTAACAGTACATTTTCAACAGGAAAATGCATAAGTTGTAGCATTTAGGCTTTTTGTTATCACTTTATAGTGTCTAGGGTTGTGTCCGTGCTTGTCATTGCTAAGTCCACATTTAATAGTTTGCTTAGGTAATGTGCCTTAATTAATTCCCTCGTTTTAATTCAGCTATACACTGAAACCTTGATGTAAGGAAACCAGATAAAATATTCTTTGTAACGAAGTAAATAAAAAATTCTTGTGATACAGTGTTATGAATATACCTTTATAACGATTTTTGGATATAATGAATTTATTTTTGGTGCAAAATGCAACTTTGTTATAATGAAGTTTGAGTGCAGTTTGTTTAGCTCTTGTACTGAACAAGCATAGTTTTGTATGATTAAGACATTGAAATTGAGTGCGACAATTTGGTAATAAGTGTAGCTGGTTCCGTGATCCAAAGTTATGGATAGATTAGTAACTTTTCTTTTTAGTTTTTCACATGTGCTTTTTTGCTCTTGTTCGCCCTGCAGAGAGTGCGGGTTCCATGCAAGTGCTGTACGACGAGCTCACTGACCTTGTCCATGACCTGGAAGTCGTGAGCCGCATCGCTGTGCTAGTCAAATCCCTCCGGAGACCTTACTCGGTGAGTGGGATGCCTGCTCACATGGTTTATTTTGTTGGTGAAGCTCATGCCGCTTGTACCTAAAGAGGGTTGAATATTGCCTGGTTGACGGCAGCTACGTTTTAGCTGAGGCGGAAATGCTGCCGTGTTCAATTGAGATTCTGACAAACATTGAAGATGCTTAAGAAATTTAACATTGTTCTGAGCTCTCTCTGACTTGTCGTATATGAACAGACTATTTACTCACTATCGCTTGCAGAAAATTGTCGTAAATTTTTATGAAATGAACCAGGAGCAGTTTTCGGCGTTCTGTTCTGGACACCATCTGAATGTTAATTTACACTGCATCGGCACATCCGGCTTTTGGCGGGGCTTTGCACGTCCTGTCGATAGTGTGCCAAGTTTTACACATTGATCTCATGTGTGTACTTCTTGGCATCTGCCCTGGCAGGAAATCTCGGTGGAGAGCGTGCAGAGCATGGCACGCAGCATTCAGGATGCAGTGCGCCAGAAGGATGAGGAGATAACCCTGCTCGACAGCTGCTGTCTGCAACTGGCACTCCCACAGAAGTCAAAGTAGGGCCACATTCATTATACTTCTCTTTTTAGAACCAGTAGTACTGTGCACTGATATTGTGTGGGTAACCTTACCTGCAACTGTTATTTTTTTTTCCGTGAATAGGGGTGCTTGGCAAGCACCTGAATCACCTACCACGATAATTGCTGGCTGTTGCATTCTGTTTTTGAGCTCGATGCCTTTGCTTCTATCTCTAGTGGGACTTTGTAGTATTGGTTTAACTTGGTATGCCTAGTTACACAAAGTAAGGTGTATTCTATGTGGCTAATGCTAATCCTTTCTTTGTAGTTTACTTGCAGTGTAGCCAATGCGATGGTAATGCACAATGTTTTGTCGTCAGCAGTTTTGTCTTCATATGAGCAGTTACAAGAGCTGCCACTCGTACATCGTTTAGAGCGAAACTTTATAGTTCAGAAAAAGCTCTCTTGCTCAGGTTGCTGGCTGACTTTTTTGATGCCAATATTTATATATCTTCCGTCTTAAATACCGTATTTACTCGCATAATAGGCGCACTTTTTTTTCAGAAAATCCGGCTCGAAGTTAGGGGTGCGCCAATTACGCGGGGTAAAATTTTCGAAAATTTTTTCAACTCGGTTCTCGCGCTTTAAATCTGCACACTTGTCAAGTAAAAGGCGACTTTATCGTTTACCAATTAATTCAGCATAAAACAAACATACCTACGTACCTTTTAATGAACAAGCGAGAGCCGTCAACTGCACGCACACACGTAAAATTTATTTACACAAAAGTCGTAGCTGTTCCTCCTTTTCCCTATTCGGAGTCCGAGTCGGAGATCACACATTCATCCTCGCCGAGCGGGGATTCGTTTTCGGTGTCCGAATCATCCGCACCCCACAACATGTCATCCTCACTCGCATCCAGTGCGTTCGAGATACCCGTCTTCTTGAAGCTTTTCCTGACAACTTCGTCGGAGATCGCCTGCCACGCTTCCACGATCCAAGCGCACAGCATTTCCACAGGTGGCCTCTTAATCTTACCACCTGTAGTCAGCTGATGTTGTCCTCCAGCCATCCAGGGGGTGTACAGCCTTCGAACATTGTCCTTGAAAGGTTTATTCAAGGACACGTCCAAAGGCTGCAGTATCGATGTGAGGCCGCCCGGAATCACTGCCAGATCTGTGTGCAGCTCCTTTAGCTCATCTCGTTCGGGGTCTACTAGGTGCCCACGAAAACTGTCCAGGACAAGCATGGACGATGGTGGTGATGGCGATCGAGCCCTTGGCGTTGTACACGTGACCTCCAAAAAGCGCGGCGATTTGGGGGGTATCAGTAATTGATGGAACAGCTGTTTTTTTTCCGCTCATAAACGCTTTTTTCTTTTTTCAAGTTTTATTTCGACAAACACGTTGGTTAGGTCGTTGCACTTCGAACTTTTTTTATTTGCTCGTCGATTTGCCTTCTTTTTTTCTTCAGGGTACAGGGACCGCGTTCCAACTGTACCGCTGGGGGGTAGAATCGTTTCTGATCACGGCCAAGTTCGGGGTGCGCCTATTATGCGCGGAAATAAAAAAAATGGAATTTTCCGCGACCAAACTAGGGGTGCGCCTATTATGCGAGTGCGCCGATTATGCGAGTAAATACGGTATATGAAGTTCATAAAGAACTGTAAAGGTGGCCCACCGGAGGTGGCTGTTTGAATGTCCTTACGTTTCGACACCCTTGAAATGCAGGTCCCAGAAAGTACAAGTTAGTTTCCAGCTGTCAAGCCCTGCTGTCAAAAGAGACTGGACTACTGACCTGCGCCTCGCAAAACTGGCTTTGGGTAAGCTGGCTCAACTTTTTTGTCGGCAACTTATCATTCATCTTTGGCACATTTATCATGCTCAGAAGTAGTTGGTAAAATGGGTGATTTAGCGCAGTTATACAACACTGATATTGGCATGGGTCTTCAAGGAACACCGGCTAGTTGTCGAAAACCTTTCAATATCAGAGTACGTACTTGATGCTTTAAACAAAGCTTGTTGGGCATTTTGTAAGACATATGACTTTTAAAAATACAGTGTGATGTATATGATGCTTGTAAAACTTCTGGCATGAACGTTTACATTGTTTTGGCATAACAACCGATCGCAAATAGTCATGAGTGCTCACTTCTGGTTGAAAAGTGACTTCTCGATCAGTTGCTCATGGCTTATTTTTGCAGCCACACAACTGCGAAGTGAGGCTGATTGGAAACTATTGCTTCTTGACTATCTGGGATCGTTTGCATTTGGTTGCTCTGTGACTTTGGTGTGACTGGTCGCTTCTTAACTTGTGTATACTAAGACATTTGCGACGAACATTGTCAGACTATGTCCCGGAGTTGCCATTGTGAATGAATCTCAATGCTTGAAAGTGTGGAATGAGCTAAAGTTTGCTTCGATGTGGTTGCTGCCATATCTGCAGACCCCAACAACATGCCAGCCTGGGATGTGCCAGAACAGGACAAACGGCCGTCCAGCAAGCTACCTCTTCTCGTTCGATTGACGCCTCTCTACCCTGCCTCGACACCCACAGAGGTAACGTCTGCCACCACTTATCATCGTGAGAACTTTATTCTTTCTCAGACTGCTTCTGGCACCAGCAGTTTGAGAAGACAAACAGCCTGTTGTAAACTGAAATGTCCACGAAACCTTATCATCTGTACTGGAATTGTAATTACAAGTTGCAAAAATTATTAGCACCTGCAATTGTCGTCGTTTTTTAGCTTTCTTACAGCGCAGATGCAAAAATGTCCAGACATTCGTTTTTCTTTTTCCTTATTTAGACAATTGACTGTGTAAAGTTCAGGTGCCATTGCTACAAATAAGTTTGTCTAAAATTTTTGTGGTAAATGGGCATTATCTATGACTATAGCTCAATATTTGAATCACCTGGGTTACAAGTGCTACTAAAGTTACGTCAATTTACTGACTTCATTTGTAATTAAATGCCAGCAGTTCTGGTGGAAATAGTTCTAAGAGACAGTTTATTTATCTCTTATACTGTAATGTTAGAGTTAAACAGTATGCTTTTATGCAGTACGTTTCTGCTCATTAAGTTAACTCCAAATTTTTTACCAATTGGATGTCCCTGCCAGCAGCCCTACATTTATATGGGTTATGGCTAGGCTTGTTTAACTATTCGAATGCTTAATAGTAGAGTATTCTACTTAATAGTAGAATAACCTTAATAGTAGAGTATTCGAATTTATTTTGACTCAAGTTTAAATTATTGAAAATTTTGAAGTATTCGCAGTGAACGAATAGGTGTATACAAATCCGGATGTAACTGCCTGTTAAGGTGGTTTCACTGCAGTGTGAGGGTGCTAAGCTGTGAAAGCACACAGGGAAATTCACTTTGTTGTCAAAGCCCCACTTTAAATTTAGAAGGGCCCTGCAACACTTTTTGATCATATTTAAAAAAACGCGGCGGATCGGTAGTCGAGGCTACCGAGAAAGCGCGACCAAAATGTTGAAGCGCAGCACGGGGCCTGCAATTCACAATAAATTCTCAAAATCAGCTGAAAAAATTTTCTCTTCTCTCGGCATATGATTCTACAAGCTCAAAAATCACTCCTCACTGTCAGTGGATCAGCCATTGGCTGATTTGAGCATGGAGCTTGATTATTACAGGGGCCGCCGTGGGAGGCCGAGACTTGTTCACATGTATTTGCACGATGCACTGAAAAGCCGCATATTCAAAGAAAAAAAGAAACAGAAAAAGTGCTCAAGGTCACGAGGCACACGTGACCTATTTTGTTTACCCGTGCCATTCCTTCTTGGTGCAGAAGACTGAGGCGCAAAAAACATAACGTGAAGCAGGAAGAGCAGGAGAGAAGACAGAACAGCGCCAACTACCAACTGTTTAATGACCGTCTAGGAAACGCACTGGAAAGCAGACAAAACCGCGCATGCGTGCACAACCAACAAACATCGCACAGCGTCATCAACAAGGCACTAAGTTATCCACCCTCAATCCGTAGTTAGTTCCGTGGTGGAATCCTTGCTGCAGAGGGTGAAAGGCAGAGTGTCGAATTCAAATGCGCGCCCGAAGGCAAGAGAGCGGGTTAAGCCTGAGGTGGTCCCGTATATACACCGTGTAAGCCATAACCTCAAGAAGGTGGCTTCCCGTTATGGTGTTCCGGTTGTTTTTTCAGCTCCCAACAAACTTGCTCAATTGTGCCCACGTATCACATGCGATGAGCAAAGGGGCTGCCAGAAGCAGCACACAAGACTTTTTGTGCGCTGTGCACAAGGCGTGGTATATGGGACTCCCCTAGGCTGTGGCAAGTTCTATATCAGTCAAACGGGGTGTTGCATTAATGACAGACTGAGGGAGCATGCCAATAGTTTAGGCAAAAGTGAGCATGCACATCTTCCAGCGCACTGTAAAGCCTGCGGATGTGTGCCGTTGTTTGAAAGGACAGTGATTCTTGGTAGGAGCAAAAAACAAACAGCTAGAGAGCTCTTGGAAGCCTATTACATCAAAAAGAAAGGGCCCGATTGTATCAGTGATACATCTATTGTGTTGTACGCAACAGAAATGCATTTTTAGGATAACTTAGTGCCTTGTTCATGACACTGTACGATGTTTGTTGGTTGTGCACGCATGCATGGTTTTGTGTGCTTTCCAGTGCGTTTCTTAGACGGTCATTAAACAGTTGGTAGTTGGCGCTGTTCTGTCTTCTCTCCTGCTCTTCCTACTTCACGTTATGTTTTTTTTGCGCCTCAGTCTTCTGCACCAAGTATGCACCAACTAGCCCAAAAACAAGTCCTTTTGGCATTCCTTCTTGCTTAGCTTCTAGCACTTTCATTGTGATGAGGAGAGCGAATGCAATCGTAGCATGCCACAAACCTTTGTTGCTCCGCTCATACAGGATGGATTTTAAAAAATTTTTTGCAACGGTGAATTTGTGAGGCAATAAACTTGTTTTAATGAATTCATTACAAGGCTACTTGAAAAACTGTTGCAGGGCCTTTCAAATAAATGGATTACCCTCAAATCTATTTATTATTTTTCAATCTTAAAAGCTTATTATGACGGCTTATATGCTCTAAGTATAATAAATTTTAAAATGCTATGTATTTTACAGGTTATCACTTGCATTCTTGCATTCTACGGAAAGTCGAGTCCTGCTACCACTCAATTTCGACTTCTTTTGAACGATAAAAAAAATTGCATTTGCATAGAGGCCCTATTTCAATTAAAAAATATATATATTGTGCAGGTTTGTTGGGCCGTGATTAAGCTTGGGCAAATATTCGAATGCTTTGAATATTCAAACGAATAGTTGAGTATTCGAATTTAAATTATCGAATATTTTCGAAGTATTCACAATGAACGAATAGGTGTACAGTCAAAACCTGCTATAACGAAATCGCCGGGGAAACATAAAAATTTCGTTCTCACGAGAATTTCGTTGCCGCGAGTATGAGACATAAAAACAGCGATACGGCCATCATCATCATCATCAGCCTGACTACGTCTACTGCAGGATAAAGGCCTCTCCCATGTTCCGCCAGTTAACCCGGTCATGTGCTTGCTGCTGCCAATTTATACCCGCAAACTTCTTAATCTGATCTGCCCACCTAGCCTTCTATCTCCCCCTAACCCGCTTGCTTTCTGTGGGAATCCAGTCAGTTACCCTTAATGATTAGCGGTTATCCTGTCAATGCGCTACATGCCCGGCCCATGTCGATTTCCTCTTCTTGATTTCAACTATGATATCCTTAACCCCCGTTTGTTCCCTAATCCACTCTGCTCTCTTCTTGTCTCTTAAGGTTACACCTACCATTTTTCTTTCCATTGCTCGCTGCCTCGTCCTCAACTTAAGCTGAACCCTCTTTGTAAGTCTCCAGGTTTCTGCTCCGTAGCTAAGTACCGGCAAGATGCAGTTGTCATATACCTTCCTCTTGAGGGATTGGGGCTGTCTATCTGTCATGGTTTGAGAGTGTTTACAAATGTGCTCCACCCCATTCTTATTCTTCTAGTTACTTCAATCTCGTGGTTCGGCTCCGCGGTTATTACCTGCCCTAAGTAGACATAGTATTTTGCAACTTGAAGTGCACTATTACCTATCTCGAAGCGCTGCTCTTTTCCGAGGTTGTTGTACATTACTTTCATTTTCTGCAGTCAATTTTAAGACCCACCTTTTTGCTCTACTTGTCTAACTCCGTAATCATGAGTTGCAATTCGTCCCCCGAGTTACTCAGCAATGCCGTGTCATCGGCGAAGCGCAGGTTAATAAGGTACTCTCCATTAACTCTTATTCCTAACTGTTTCCATTATAGGCTTCTGAAAACCCCCCCGCCGCGGTGGTCTAGTGGCTAAGGTACTCGGCTGCTGACCCGCAGGTCGCGGGTTCAAATCCCGGCTGCGGCGGCTGCATTTCCGAGGGAGGCGGAAATGTTGTAGGCCCGTGTGCTCAGATTTGTGTGCACGTTAAAGAACCCCAGGTGGTCGAAATTTCTGGAGCCCTCCACTACGGTGTCTCTCATAATCATATGGTGGTTTTGGGACGTTAAACTCCACAAATCAATCAAATCAGGCTTCTGAAAACCTCCTGTAAGCACGCGGTAAATAGCATTGGAGAGATTGTGTCCCCCTGTTTTACACCCTTTTTGATTGGTATTCTGTTGCTTTCTTTATGAAGCACTATGGTTGCAGTTGATCCCCTGTAGATTTCTTCCAGAATGTTTATATATGCTTCATCTATGCCCTGATTCCGCAGTGTCTGCATGACGGCTGATATTTCTATTGAATCAAACGCCTTCTCGTAATCTATGAAGGCTATGTATAGTGGTTGGTTATACTCTGAGCATTTCTCTATTACCTGATTGATAGTATGAATGTGGTCAATTGTTGAGTAGCCTGTTCGAAATCCTGCTTGTTCCTTTAGTTGATTGAATTCTAATGTTTTCTTTACTCTGTTAGCAATTACCTTTGTAAATAGCTTGTATACTACAGAGAGCAAGCTGATCGGCCTGTAATTCTTCAAGTCCTTGTCATCTCCTTTCTTATGTATTAAGATGATGTGAGCGCTCTTTCAAGACTCTGGTACTTTTCCCGTCAGGAGACATCTCGTAAACAGGGTGGCTAGTTTTTCTAACACAATCTGTCCTCCTCCTTTCAGCAGATCTGATGTTACCTGATCCTCACCAGCAGCTTTGCCTCTTTGCATGCTCTCCAAAGCTTTTCTGACTTCTTCTATCATTACTGGTGGGCTGTTATCTGGGTTACTGCTAGTTCTTATAGTAATAAAGTCGTGGTTATCCCGGCTACTGTACAGATCACTGTAAAATTCCTCCCCTATTTTATCTATCCTATCTATATTGGTAGTTATTTTGCCTCCTGGTCACGGCAAAAAAGTGATACGGCCAGCAGAACTAAAATTTATTGCCAGAAATCGGTCAACGTACTTTGCCGACCCTTGCAATGCAACAACTTCAAAGCTCTCCCTTCACACTGGAAAAAGTGGTCCATTGCTACGTCGTCGTCATGTGCGCTGAAGAAGAAGCGAAGGGTTCCAGCGCATCCAAAACAACATGCGGGTTGTTTTGGATGCACTAGCGCGTCGTTCCTGCCCGCAGTATCGCTGTCAGCGGAATTAGGGCTAAAGCCAACTCCGACGACGCGCCGCGCTCGTAGTAATCTTATCGTCCATTCGGTGCGGCCACTAGTAGTAATCTGACCGTGCCGCCGCTTACAGCTTAGTTGCTTGCGACGAAGCACGTCGCCACGAGTGCCCTAGCACGTCGTTCCTGCCCGCAGTCTCGCTGTCAGCGGAGTTAGGGCTAAAGACGACTCCGATGACAGCGCCGTGCTCGTAGTAACCTGATCGTGCATCCGCCTACTGCTCTTAGCTAAAGCGTAATTATATCTTAAGTGATCATCGAGCCGTGAACACTGTCACGAAGTAGCAATTTTCGAGAGTCATGTCCTCGCGATGCACTAGGAGCAGGTGACGATCTCCAGGAGCGAGCATCGGGCCTATGGGGAGGCAAGCTGAGGCAACATAGCCGGCCACAGCCAATCAAAGACCTCGAAACGACCTTCAAACATTTAGCTTTTTGTGCACTTGTTCTATTAAAGGGAGGAGCCAGCTGAGGCGGGAAAGTTAAACACGGAGAATGCTCTTTCTGATGAGCCCAAGAATCGCTGTTCTTCGCGATTTTCAGAAAAAGTTCAACTACCTAGGTGGGTGAAATGAATTTTCCGAAGCACTTCTGCGCGGTTTTCAGTGTAGATATTTTGGAGTCAGATAGAAAAAGGGTTCCAGAAACTGAAAACTTGATTTCAAAAAAAAAAGATTTTTTTTGTCATTTTTCGTGATCCCAAAGCAGCGTCCCCCCTGAAGTAAACGAAAATGGTGGTACCCACGTTAGCGCGGCAAAAACAGACGTCTATAAATTTGGAGTGCGCATAACACGCATTTGAGCATATTTTCGACAGTTAACCTTTGGCGGGAGGGTAAAATAAGGCCCGCACCGTGGTAGAAAATTCGTTAATGCGGGATTGCTGTCCAAAAACACTTCGTTGCCGCGAGATACGTAATACATAGGGCTTCTATGAACGTTCGCCGGGGATTCGGAACTATTTCGTTGCCGCGGGGATTTCGTTCTCGCGGTGTTTCGTTATTGCGGGTTTCGACTGTATACTAATCTGCATGTCACCACCTGTAAAAGTGGTTTCACTGCAATGTAGGAGTGCTAAGCAGTGAAAGCATCCCCAGGAAAAGTTTTGTTTTGCTGTGAAGCTGTTCTTAAAATTTAAAGGGGCCGTGCAACATTTACTGAACATGGTCAGTAAACGCGGCTGATCGGTAGTCGAGGTTACCGAAAACACGCGAGGAAAATATTGTAGCACAGCACGTGGCCGTTAATTCACAATAAATTTTCTAAGCTAGAAATTGCTTTCTTTCCCCGGCAAATGACATACAAGCTCAAAAATCGCTTGTCACAGCCAAGAAGGGATATACGGCTCTGGTCACAGGCATTGGCTGATTTGATCATGGTGAGCTTGTCGTTACCGGGGCCGCCGCTTGTCCACGAGTACGTAGGGCGATCGCACTAGAAGCCGTGTACTCGAAGAAGAAAAAAAAAAAAGGAAAAGAGGTGCTCAAGGTCACGAGGTGCGTGTGGAGCATTTTCTTTCGCCGTGCCATTCCTTCCTGCTTAGCCTCCAGCTATTTTGTCAAGACGAGAAGAGAGAATCCAATTGCAGCGTGCGCCAATTTTTGGAACTCTCCTCATACTAGGATTGATTCTAGAAACTTTGCTGCAGTAAATTTGTGAGGCAACAAACATGTTTGCTGGCTCCATGGCTACTTGAAGAAGTGTTACAGGGCCCCTTTAAAGGAACATGTTACCCTCAAATCAATTCTTCATTTTATTAAGCCTGTTGTGACGGCTTATATGATCCAAGTAAAAAATTTTAGAACGTTAACTATCTTACAGGTTATCACTCGCATCCTACCAAAACTACTACTCAAGGTTGTTTCGACTTCCTTTGAACGAAAAAAAAAAGGGAATTTGCATAGAGCCCTTTTTTCAATTCGAAAGGAAAATTGTGAAGGTTAGTTGTGTCATGATAAATATTCCCTTTTTTATATGTTATACAAACCATTAGAACTTGATTCGAAGTTGTTGGATGAAAATCCCTATTCGCTTCGAACCGAAAATTCACTATTCACACAAGCCTAGTCGTGACGAATGTGCCCGTTTTTCTTTGTATGTCATATATACTATTCGAATTCACTTTGAACCTAAAATTCCCTGTTCGCACAAGCCTAGTTATGGCTCATTACTTTTATCTTAATGTCGGCTTCCTTCAAACAATCCATACCAAACTAGTGAGCCCACGCGCTAGACCCCAGTCATAGCCCCATCGTCAGCTGTCGGTATTAGTGAATTTAAGGGACAACTGCTTGCTTAGAAGTTGCGGGCTACTTCGTGACCATATTGGAGTCCTTTGTTTTGGATGGGACGTCGAAATTGTGTGAATTCCAACTCGCCCAGCTTCTTTGCTTCCACCTGTACATGGCCGAGTCTTAAGACAGTAGTCGTGCGTCTCCCTCGCTGCAGGTCAAATGCGGCTGCTTCTACAGTGTGGCACCCACAACGCCGGGCGGCCTCCGGGGCCAGTACCTGTGGCTGTGCAGCACTGACGGCGTGAACAGCCACCTGGTGATCTGTCGATGCAGCAGATAGCCTTGCGCTCCGTGGGTGCCTTCGACTTGCCCGAATCCCGCATTGCCGCCATGGAGGCTGTGCCACCTGCACCAGACCCGGACGTCAGCCCGCCTCAGCCTCCGCCTCCCGGGGCTGCCGAGACTGTGTGGATCACCACCGAGACAAAGAGGTATGGCCACGGCTCACTTCAGGGGACAGTAATGTGATTTGACCTTGTGCTGTTTTGAAGCCTAGTTGATTTTGGACGGAATAAAAATTTTCGATTGTGTTGTTTATTTGCAGATACAGTCAAATCGTGCTATAACGAATTTCACTGCAACGAAATTTCCGCCACAATGAATGATTTTCAGTTCCCCTTCAGCCGCCCAGTAGGAAAACAAAATTAAAAATGGCCTGCCACAACGAATACCTTTTCCTGGATATTTCTTCTTTAACGAAGTTTTTGCGAGTACTATTCCATAATAAAAAGAAGCTTGCCTCGATTGCCGCGAAATTCCGATATCAACTCAGGACATTTCTCGACGTCTCGTGACATCCAGGGCGCACTGCCGTATCACAACAACCGTGTTTTCATCGGATATACGCCTTCTGCCACCACACGCACATCCTGCTATTTATCGGCATTGAGATCCTCGATGACAGCGCCCACCCACCATGATGCTGCCAGTGGATTTGATGTAAGGACGTTCGGGCCGCGCCAGAATCACGTTTCGACCAGGATACTCCGCTATATATTTTCGACGTAAAACTACCGTATTTACTCGATTCTACCGCGCCCTCGATTGTAACGCGCACCCGGTTTCCACGACGAAAAAAAAAAAAGTAAGACATCGATTGCAACGCGCACCCATTTTTCTCGTTGGCCCACAGGATCACACCACTCGGGAAAAAGACTCCTTTCGGGAGCGTTTTCCGTTTAAACATGAGGTACGGGGGGAAGCTTGTGCCTATCTGACGTGCAACGGAGCATTGCCGTCACTCTAGTTTTAATGTGGCCCGATGTCAGCATGCGAACTTGCTTCGCCCCCTTCTTCTCGACAGTTGTGGTGCCAGGCATGTCGAAGTAAAGAGGCGTCTGATCGACATTCCCGATTTGCCCAAGCAGGGAGCCGTTGTTGTGCCGCAAGTTTAGGACGAACCTCTGGAAACTGAAGCTTTTCTTCATACTCCTCCGGCAACTTTTGGCATATGCCCGTTCGCCTTCAGAGGGAAAAGCCTTTTCTCTTCATAAAGTTAGTTAGCCAGCACCTGCTCCGCATTAGCCCTTTTTCTAAGGCTAACTGCATAGCCTGCACTTGGAGCAGTTCTTTCATCAACGGCCGCTGTGCCGCTCACTGCTCAATCACATACTCGCCCAGCAGCTCTTCAATTTGCGGAAACCGACCCTGCTGTGGTCCGCTGAAGCCTTTGCGTGAATCTTTGCTGTCGACAATATTCTGCTTTTGTTTCCGCCAGTCCCACACGCACGTTTCGGGAACTCCGAACGACCGCGATGCAGCCCGATTTACGTCCGTTTCGGCACACGCGATGACTTTTCTTTTAAAAGCGGCATGGTGATGCAGTCGTCGAGTTTTTGGAGTTGGCCCTTCCATGCCATCGATGCTAATGCACACCAAGATGACGAACTCTTCAGCACACGTACGAAGTGCCGCACATAGGAAACACATAGGCAGAAATGGCCGACGCGCCATGCCGGCGCACGTAGGGGGCGGGCATTTTAGAATGCCGATGGCAATAGAATGACCGTATTCATTTTTTTTTCGTACTCGATTCTAACGCGCATGCGATTTATGAACTCGCTTAACCGGAAAAAAGGTGCGCGTTAGATTCGGGTAATTACGGTAAACCACCACTTGTTGTCGCTAGCCCTGCAATCATGAATGACAACCACACTGCGGGAAGGTGCACACGTGAGCAGCGCACATTTAATGCCAGCATAACTACATTCTGCTGCAACCGCTGCGAACATGAATGCGGTCGTGTCGAATGCGATCATGGGCGATCACGAAAGTATGGGCACAGTCAACGCGAAGAGACTCAACCCAATATTTTTTGCCATAACAATGCAAACAAAGGTAGCAACGACTCAGTTCGAAGTCAGGTGCACGGTTAGCGCAGCGCGCACAGATTGAAAACGTAACTTGTGTTTGACGCAACCGCTGGGCAGGAAACCGTGCATGGTTGCTGTCATATTGTTCATCGATAGCGAATACGATCCGAAGGTGTGCAGTTAACACAGCCGTAGATTAAAGGCAATAAACGACACGGAAGCGTTACGGCTTTCCTGTCCACTTATGGCCTGGTAGTGCAGAGCTTCGTAACTTTCATTTGTAGTTAGCAGTTGGCCTCTAGCTTGGATTCGGCACGCTGTTCGCAGCGATGGGCACTCGGCATGCCTCGTCTGATTATCGTACTTTCTTTCGTACAACCTACGCCTGCATATAACCGGCACTCTCCGGCCGCACACCGCCGGAGGAAGAAAAAACTACCCGCGTATTAACGCAAGGCCGCCTTCTTTGCATTGCCATGAAGCCGTGCCGTGAAGCGAACTTGCTGGCCAAAATTCTCGTATAATTTCGCATCCCAATTTCAGCTCTAAATTTTCTGTATATTTTGACCACGTTATATGTGAGAAAATACGCTCACTCAGTGTTCGGCCAGGTACGTCCGAGTTGGCGAGAGTTCAATGCATGCGCTTGCAGCGGCCAAAAGGACAAGTCATAATCATCAGATCTTAGCTAAATCTTGTGGTCTAAAGATGAAATTTCGCTCGAAATTCTGTGCTGTGAATTTTTTTCACGCCTCCTGTCAATGTCGTTGTAGCGGGATTTGACTGTAATGAGGGGGTAGCCAATAGCAGCCTTGCAGTTGAGGTTTGTCCATGTAGATCAGTTGCAAGTGGCGCATGTTACTGACTCTGTTCAGGCCTCATGGCGGATATGGTCCATTGTGATGGAGTGACACCCTGCCATGATTTGTTGGCAACAGAGCAGCAAAGATGATTTCTCACATAAATTTGAATTTCAGCATAGACTTCTCCTTAGCTGAGAAGTCTACACTCAAAGATTCTGTGTAGTTCACCATGTGGAGCTCTCAGGAACAAAGGACACGATGCGAGTTACTACAAATAAATGGCAAAAAAATGCAAGGTTTTTTTTTTCTGTCTCATCAGTGTGTACATCAGTGCCAGACATGTAGATGGCTGACATGGATGTACAGGGAAAGCAAAACTAGCATGCTAGCATATGTATGAGGATGCATTCCTTCATGGAGACATGCAAAACATAGTTTAGCTAGCGACCAAAAGACAGTGCGGCCCACGCAATATTGTGCTTATATCTCATGTACTGCAATGAAACCACCCTTATAGGGGTTCTATAAATATGCATCTATTCGTTCGTTTTGAATACTTCAAAGTTTTCATTAATTTGAATCCGAATCGAAATGATGGATGGTGGATGGACAGTAAAACTTTATTTCCTCAGAAAGCAACGGCGGATGATTTGTGTTAGATGGCCATCGACCAAAGGTTGACGGCGACCTGTGTGGCCCACTCCACGACCCTTGTGTGGACGACTGGGTCTGAGCTGGTCAACATGGCCTCCAGTGCTCAAGAGAGGGAACACGCATAATAACGACTGGTGGTGGCACAATGCTATATACCCAAAGTATGTGACCACATGTTGCCACAGCCTGGCAGCATTTGCAATGCGGCTTTATCTCCTCCAGGTATATTTTGTTCAACATGTAAGGGTTGAGCAAAGATCGCGCCTGCAGTTTTCTCCAGACGCATTCCTGCGCCTTAGTCAACCGCTTGTGTGGAGGCAGATAAAACCTCCATTCTAGTTTATAATGATTCGTTATGTCGTGAAAGGACATCAGCCCATCTTTCGCGGACCTCCTCAGAACGGGCGGCTCACCTGCCCAGCTGACGAAACCTCGAACATTTAGAGGAGCTGCCTCGTTCCAGGGTTCCCAGAGTGTGCTAATACCCAGACAATTTCAATTTCTCGAATTTCTCGTCTCGTGGCGCTGTGCAGAAATCTGTGGCGGTCGCTGATATTCTGCCCCTCACCAGATTTCGGATGGCTGTCTTTAAATCACTGAGAATCAAGTTCGGCTGAGAATTAGTTATAGCTAGCGCTATTGCTGCTTCCTCTGCAGTTTCTGAGGAGCGGGTTCTGACCGATCCAGAGGTGACCAAACGTCCCCACCTGTCCGCCACCACAATCACAAAAGCGTCTTTGTCCTTAAATTCCGCGACATCTGTATAGACTGCTGCTTTGTACTTGCCGTACTCGACGTGTAAAGCTCTGGCTCTTGCCTGCCTGCGCTGCGCATGGTGAATCGGATGCATATTTTTGGGCAAATGTTTTATGTACAGGGCCTCATGTAACTCTCGTCGCACCTGAATTTTATTGTCCCAAGTGGGAGCCTCGGCCCCAATGCCAATATTTTCTAATATAATCCTGCCCGATTCGGTTGTCGAAAGCCTAACATGCTGTATCACCAGATGTGTCTCCCGTAGTTCGGCCAGGGTGTTGTGCATTCCTAGTTTTAACACCCTCTCTGTAGGCTCATTCTCGGGCAACTCAAGCGCTGCCTTGTAAGATTGCCAGATCATAGCCTCGACCTCGCCTTTTTCTGCGACATTCAACTTCATCTAAGGTGCCGCGTTTGTAATCCTGCTGAGTGCAAACGCCTGTACCAGCTTACAGAGTTTTTTTTTTTTTCTTTAACCCCTCTCTTATGGTTAGTGGTTCTCCTGATTAGCCTGACAGTAGCATTGACCGTGGTCTTAAGTTTTTCAAGGGCCACGCGATTCTTCCTGTTAGTTTGCAGATATAGGCCGAGAATTCTAATCGTTTGAGCTTCAGCTACCGGCCTACCCCCTACCTTTACCTCTAACGGCGGTGGCGGAGTATAGTGTCTTGCATGTAGCTTTCTGGGTTTGTCGCGAACCACAAAGAGCTCGGACTTGGGCTGAAAGCGTGGGAGTCCCGCCTCCCCTGCCAACTCTTCGACAATATTAACTGCCTGTTGTAGTGTTTCTTCCAGATGCGCGTCACTACCCCTGGTTACCCATAGAGTAATATCATCTCTATAAAATGTGTGTTTGAGTCCCGATATCTCCTCCAGCCTCGGCGGTATTTTAATTAGGGCGATGTTAAACAGGAACGGCGACTAAACTGAACCCTGTGGCGTCCCTTTGCGTCCCAACGCGAAGGAGTCCGATTTGATATCTCCTACTGAAATGTCTGCGGTTCGGGCCCCTAAGAATCATCTGATCTAGCGGAATGTCCTGGCCCCCGGGCCAATTTTCGATAGGTTATTTAATATTGCCTCATGCGAAACATTGGCGAAAGCTTTATTCAGGTCAAGCCCCAATATAGCTTTGGTGCCCGTGCGATACCCGGGATCGACTACATCATGTTTCCAGCTGTATCATGACATCCTGCATGGACAAATTGGCCCTGAAATCAATCATAGTTGGGAGAAAGATCGCCTTGTCCTCTGCATTACCCTGAAGCCTGTTGAGAACCACGTGCTTTATCAATTTGCCCGCAGATGATGACAGCGTTATAGAGCGCAGGTTCTCCAAGCACAGTTTCTTGCCTGGCTTAGGAATAAATATAATCCTAGCATGCTTTCATTGTGCTGGGATATCCCAGGCCAACCAATACTCATTTATCAAGTTAGTGATCGCCCCAACCGATTTGGAATTTAGGTTTCTCAACATTTTATTAGTAAATATCCCAGGCCAACCAATACTCATTTATCAAGTTAGTGATCGCCCCAACCGATTTGGAATTTAGGTTTCTCAACATTTTATTAGTAACCCCATCCGGGCCTGCGGCAGACGTAGTACGCAGCTGCCCCATGGCAAACTCCACCTCCGCGATTGTAAACTCTTCATCTAGTTCCAAGTTTTCCACCCCCGGGTAGCGTGGTGCGCAACCGTCTACTCCATCAGTTATGTACTTATTCAGGAGTTCCTGTATAAACCCTCCGATTGTGCCTTCATATTGATGCATTAATAGTCATTTGTCCTCGTTGCGCCGATTTTGTTGCTGCCGGATCCAAAAAATGCCTCAACAACTGCCATCTATTTTGCATTCAAACTGTCCATTCATGCGATCACAAATCTAGCCCCATTGCTTGGCGTGCGACTCGATTGTATAATTTTCGATTTTACGTTCTAACTTGGCAGTCCTTCTGCGAAGGACGCCGTTATGTTTTTGCTTCTTCCATTTTCTCAAGAGACTCGCGTGCGCTTCCCACATGTGTAATAGTCTTGAGTACGCCGTAAACTCCTCCTGCTCAACTGGCACTTATACTGTGGTATTCTTTACATCCTCCTTGAGTGCCTTTACTCATGCGTCCAGGTCTTTTCCCGTTCACAGTGCCTGCTCTGTTTTTTTGTCTAAATCTGTCCCAATCCGTAATTCAATGCCCCTTCACTTTGTCTTTATGCTTCGCAGCGCTAAACGTTGGGGGAAAGGATATTGTGATCACTTCCTAGTGCTTGTCCCGTGTTAATCCACTTTGCATTGCTGATACCTCTAAAAAATGTGAGGTCTGGAGAGGTATCCATGCTTATGCTGTTGCCTATTCTCGTATGACCTTGCGGATTGTTAAACAGCGTCCATCGCAGATCCCGGGCAACTTGCCACAGCCGATTGCCCTTTGGGCTGACTCGAATATAACCCCACTCCGGGTGAGGCACATTTAAATCTCATACCACTATAAGCTGAGCGCGAGCTGCTAACTGTTGAGTTTGAATCGGGAGTTGTGGCAAGCCTAATCCTTTATCTTTTGGAAAACTATACACATTAAGTAAAAACAGATTCTTCTCATTCTTTTGTTTAGGCAAAATCTCCAGCAGGACGTAGTCTTTCCTGCTGCTATCTACGGCACGCTGAATGGCAGTGATGTGGCAATGGACTACCACGGCTGTTAAGACGCGTGATTCGCCCTTTGGGTCAATCCCTGGCGCAGTAAATGCCATAAATCGGGATAATTTTACGGAACCACTGGCCTTCTGTAAGGTTATTTTGTCCGGTTTACTATCCAAATTTCGTACGTTCAACTGCAGGTTACCTCGCTTGTGACGGAAGCCCCTGCAGTTCCATTGCCAAACCTCTATTTGCTGTTGAGGAGCCACGATGAGGCACCAGGTTGACTGATGGCACTTGGCCACCTGCAGGAGGTAGTCTTGCCTCCAATTGAGTATGAAGCTGCTGAAACATGCCCATGACCTGGGTTTGGGAAGCCCTAAATTCACTTGCAAGCATGCTGAGACGCTCCTCTATTATGTCTAATCTGGCTTCGATTTTTTCGACTCGAGCCTCCAAACTATCCTGTCTTTCCCCTTGTTTGCCTACTTTATCCGCAAGGGTAGTCACATCTGCCTTAAGACTAGTGACCTTAAAAACAGGCTGTGGCATGTCTACTGGTGACGTTTGGCTAATCGTTTTGCGTAGCTTCTCATCCACCGGCAGTGGTCTCTTCACTGTCCCCTGATTTTCCACTTTCATAGCCGTGCTCTCCTGTACGTGAGCAGACGCCTCTTGCGTCGCTTACGGGTAGCCTTGCAGTGCTAGTGCCTGTTTCTCTTGTCGTTGGTCGTTTTTAAGTGCGCGTGCCATCTCTGCAATTCTATTTTCCATTCTTTTAATCAAATCTCCCTGCCGCTCAAGCCAGCGCTGCTAACTCCCTCTCTCGAGCAGTTTCGTTTTGGGAGGCCATGCCATGCCTGACAAGCTCACCTTTTGTTCGTGTCTCGTGTGTGGCTGTGGGGACTGGATACTCAGTCCGCCATCTTAGGCCGCCCCCGCGCCCTGGAAATGGCAGGAAGGAACTCGACCGGTCCCTGCTTTTGCTTGTGCCTCTTTACCCCTCGATGACCGCTTTGTGGCCCTCGAGGACCGTTCATCGTTGCCAGCTTCGCTCTCTTTTTCGATGCTCTGCTGCCGGCCTGTTGGTGGCTTGCAAGCCAGGCGAAACTTGCAGTTCCGGCTCCCTGTGTGATGTGCACCATGGCGCACGATGATGTTCGGTGTGCACATGAGTGGCTCTCCTTCTAGCGGGGCAGGATGGTCCTTCCCGCAACGGTGACATAGGTTACTCTTCGGACAATAGCAAACATTCGCTCGATGTCCAACTTGTCTGCAACTGTAGCAGGTCTCAACTAAATTTCTATACGGGATCATAGTGTACAGACAATTCCAGTAACTAACCATCTAGGGTACGCGTTTTCCCCCGAACGTAATTTGAATCGCCTTCGACTTTCCCAGAGGTATGGCGTCCAGTATATCTATGCCTTCATTCTTCTCCAGGAATCCCGCCCGAACTTCTTTCTCTGAACATCCATCATAAGCATTGTAAATCACTCCCCACACAGAGAGTTCTTCTATGGTGCCACAAACGCCGAAACGGGCAGGTCACGATCACCCAGCTTGAGCGTCTTCACAGTCGCATATGCCCCACTGCGATTCATACCCGATGTGCTCACCGTCAGCATGTTGTTTGTGCCATTAACCCGCACAATGTCTTCTTCCACAGCAATCGTACTCGTGGTGCTGCTGCTTCATAGTGCACATCTGAGTTCTCTCGCTGTCATGACACTCAAGTCTCAGTTCTGAGGCCTATACACAACCGTGAAATCCGTGGCTGGCATCTTGAGAAACGGCCCGCGTTTTTTTCACACCGGTGCTTTCCCCCGCTTGACTTGCTGCGCCCGTCGCTGCCGGCCTGCGTCTCGCAAGGCTTACTCTTGGCGTTGTCACCATGCAGAGTCTTCTCAAATCGTTTCTGTGCCTTCAGCGCTGGAGCCCACTCTCTCGCTTTAAAATCTTCGGGTGTTATAGTCTCCCCTTCGACGTAGTATTCTATCTTCAGCCTCACAAGGCCCACGGTCACCAGGCGCAAGCCCGTGCCCGGCGTCGTGGCCCAGGCTTGGCCTAGGAGATAGGCCTAGCCCTGCCACCGCGGAGTTGGTAGGGAAATCTTGGAAACTCCTAAAATGGGGGCAAACTTGCCTATACGAGTGGTGTCGGTAGGTACAAGGCAACCTACTGAAGACGAGCTCACTAACAGCAAGTCCAGAACAAAGTGCGTCACCCGATAGTCGGTCACCGGGCCGGAGCCCATGCAAAGCACGTCCGCACAGCGTCTAACTCTACCCGTGTCTCCGAATCAAAGCGAATATGATTAATGCAATATTCGTTCGAATATTCAAGGTATTCAAATATTCGCACAAGGCTGCGTACCTCCCATAATTCCCATGATGGCACAAGCACCGCTGAAAGAGCCCGCATAGGCACTTTTGCCAAATTCCTCTGTAGGTATTCTGGCCTTTGTATCTACTTCTTAGCAAGTAAAATCATGGTTTAATGAAACAAATTTTCCCGGTCCTTTTAAGTTCTGTTTAAAGAGGGACTGCTGTGTAGCCTTTTGAGGCCATTCAACAGCATTGTTGCCTGAAATCGCTATGGGAGGAATTCGAGAGGTTAAGCTGCAAAAGATAGGGTTACCACAACCTCGTTTGTGCAGCCCTCTGAAATGTAATAGACCAGCACAGGTGAGCTTGTCTACTAATTGTCCAAATTTCTTGCAGTAATTTTGCCGACATGCTAGCAGTGGTAGACAGAGAGCACTTTTCTTTTTGCTGCAGCAAAGTTTCTTTGCTAGCAGGTTTAGCATGGATTTTCCACCACTTAAGCTATCAATGTAGTGAAACTAACATGCATGGCGACTAACATTGTGCCCTAAACACTGTTATATCGTCAACACTGCTTGTATTAGTTACCATGTGCTGAGCTAAATTTTTTATGCAGTGTTTTTCTTGCTATTGCTGTGTGTTGTTTGAAGTACTGCTGGCACATCCTTTGGCCCAGCACCACATCATTGAAACGCATGTTTGCATTTCTGTTCTGCAGGTTGATTCTGCTACTGGCCTCGTCTCCAGACAAGTGGACTGAAGTGGGAAGCACCACGGTGACAGCACCTGTGACTCAAATACTTTACCACTGTGAACGCGTGTACGTGGCCCTGAGCAGTGGCTCCCTCAACATCTACCAGAGGGACCCAGGTAGGCTGTGGCTTGTTTCGGGAGTGCAATGGTGCCTGTCTGACATGATATTCGGGCTGCCGTAGTGTCACTTAGTTTCTTTTTGTTTGTTTCTTTAGTGTTTTTTTTGTTTGAAACTGGGGACAATGAGAAAGGTAGGTAGGAGAGGCTTCTTTTGCTTACTGCACGTTGGTTGAGGTGATAACTTTCGACTTGAGTACAAATAACAAAGAAAAAGACAGCGATCTGGGAGAGCACACTAGTAGGCTTGTGCGAATAGTAAATTTTAGGTTCAAACTGAATTCAAGGCGAAGAGTGACTTAATCAAATATTTTCTAATCGAATTTGAGCAGCCTCTATGGCATATTTGGCCATATTTGTCATGACCCAATAACGCTCTCGATATATTTTTTTTAATTGAAACAAGGCCTGTGCAAATCTTCTTAGAGGAGAAGCTCCTGATGCTGTGGGTTGTGCACCCACGATGTATGTAGTAGTAGTAGTAGTAGTAGTAGTAGTAGTAGTAGTAGTAGTAGTAGTAGTAGTAGTAGTAGTAGTAGTAGTAGTGCATCATTGTGCACTTAAAACTCCATATAATGAACCCAGATACGAAATACCAGTTTAATGAAGTGTATGAAAAATACTCTTGCAATAGACATAGTGTTAGGAATAAATTTTTATAGCGAATTTTCGGATATAACGAACTTATTTTTGTGTAAGATGCAACTTTGCTATAATGAGGTTTGAGTGTAGTAGGTAGCCATCTCCACGGCCGGACTAAAAGAGTGGCATGCGTGCACTCATTTGAATTGAGGAGGAAACCCGCGCACATCATAAATAATCATGAATAAAAAGATACTTGTTTCTGATGAAATAACCTACAGAGACGAGTTATCGGTGACTTAATCTACAATAAAATTTGCCTTGAATTTGATGCTAACTAAAATAAAAACCAGTATCAGAAGAACGCACCTCGAGCCCTATCTCACCAGGAAGGGTTGCCACGTTAAACTAGCTGTGCGTAACCTCCTTGGTGTCAGCAAGGTTTAGCGAGGGTTGGGCTGCACTGCCATGAACTACTGTATAAACCGGAATATAAGTCGAGATATTTTCATTAAAATAATAAGTTAAAGTCGCCCCTCGTCTTATATAGCGGTGTCTAGCCGAAAGTGCGACACTGTCTGGCAACATGTAACTTGCATGTGCTTGTGAAGCCGGATGCAGCCATATCCGCATCCGAATCCAATCGCAGTTTTTTTTTTTTTGCTTCGTCTGTTTTCTTTGTGTTCGGGATTTGCTTCCGATCTGTTCAGAGTTTTCGCTCCGCTTGACATTGCGCTGTATTTTTAGTGGCCTTTTTTTTCGTTCACTAAATATGTCTCGCGGTGCGAGAAGGCAGTACTCAGCTGCGTTTAAACTAGATGATGTTGAGTTCGCAGAAGCGAACGGGAATATGGCTGCTCAGTGCCGCTTAGGTGTATCGGAAAAAAGCGTGCGCTGTTGGAGGGCACAGCAAGGGAAGCTGCAGAGGTGCAATCCACAAAAAATGTCGTTTCGTGTACGAAGTGCCGTTCATCCGCAGCTGGAGGATAAGCTAGCGGACTTTGTGTGGGAAGTTCGTGCGCGCTCGCTGCCAGTGACCGTGGATACCATTCGCAAGAAAGCCTTGGAACTCGCTCGAGAAGCTGGGCTCATGAGAGAAGAGTTTCGTGCACCGAACTCTTGGATGCGTCGATTTATGCGACGCAAAGGATTTTCTCTCCGGCGGCGCACATCCATCTGTCAAAAGTTGCCGGAGGAGTTCGAGGAAAAGCTCATAAACTTTCAGCGCTTCGTGAATCGGCTTCGGGAGAAGAACGACTACATGATGGGGCAGATTGGTAACGCCGATGAGACCCCCTTGTGGTTTGACATGCCTTCGTCGACCACAATCACGCAGCGCGGCGCCAAGGATGTGAAGCTGTTGTCTACTGGCAACGAGCACTCGCGCTTCACCATCATGCTGGCATGCACGGCAGATGGTAGAAAGCTTCCGCCCTTCATCATTTTCAAACGCAAGACAATGCCGAAGGAAGTGTTTCCGCCCGGTGTTGTCGTTCGTGTCAACAAAAAGGGATACATGGACGAGGCCATGATGCTCGAATGAATACGAGTGGTGTGGAATCGTCGGCCAGGTGCACTGCTGCGTCTTCGCAGCATGCTGGTGTTGGATGCGTTTCGTGGCCACTTGACCGACGCAGTGAAACGCGCACTCGGCGATGGGAAAACGGACCTCGCCGCGATACCAAGTGGTATGACGTCCACCCTCCAGCCGCTCGACGTTGTACTAAACAAGCCGTTCAAGGAACGAGTGCGGCTGCAATACCAACGGTGGATGTCCGGGGACAACCCCAGGACACCGACGGGCCGCCTACAGAGGCCTCCGCTTGTGACTGTTTGTGGCTGGGTGCTTTCCGCCTGGCACTTCTTGCCGGATTCCATGGTGGAAAATGCTTTCAAGAAATGTTGCATCAGCAACTCGCTGGATGGCACTGATGACGACGCACTGTGGGAGGCGGCCAGCGACAAACTCTCGTCTTCAGAAGACAGTTTTGTTTCGTCGGACGAATAAGAGCAGTTGCGATGGTGGTTGAGGGGAGCTCCGACGATCGCAGTGCGGTGTGCCCAATTCGCAAATAAATTTGGTTGGGCAGTTTTGGGTTGTTTTCCTTTTTTTCTTTTTCAGTAACCTGAACTTGGGGGGTCGACCTATATTCCCACTCGACCTATAGTCCGGTTTATACGGTAGCGGCGGTGAAAGGTCGGAACTAGACACGAAGCGCAGGCTGTAAGAGAGTGCACACGTGCTGCTCCTCCAGGTTGGCCGTGCCACGTCTTGTTTAGTCCTTGGAATGTCTGGAACACTCGATTTACGGATGAATGGACAGACACACGGATGGAGAGACAGACAGATGCACCGACGGACAGACACTTAGACGGATGCATGGATGAATGGACAGATAGACAGACGCACGGATAGATGGACGGATGCACAGACAGACAGACGCACGGATAGTCACACAGACAGATGCATGGACGGACAAAAGCGCGGACGAACTGATGGATGCTTCACCCCACTCATCATCATGCACTCACTCCGTGGATATGCTGTGATTTTTTTCTTGGTTCAAAGGAAGGGGAAACAACTTCGAATAGTAGCAGTACAGTTAAACCAGCTTATAACGAACCTCCATATAACAAATTCCTCGATATAACGAAGTTTTTATATTCTCCGTCGTTGCTTTCGTAGAAGCGCATGTATTCGCGACCTCTGTGTAACAAAGTAACAGCGGGAGACAACCTTGATATAACGAATTTTCCCCACAAACAATCTAAAAACTTTGCTCCGTATTTTGGCATTTTGGTACAAGCATGCATCTTCCACGCTTGCCCCACCATCGACGAAGTGCGAAGCGTCGGTGGTGCACACGGCGCACCAGGCGAGCGCGAGCGCTTGTTATTGCGTGCGGGTGAGTGTGAGGCGGGCCTGCGCCCTACGAGCTGGCGTTGCCCCCCCCCCCCTGCACTCCAAACCAAAAAAAAAAAAAAAGAAAACTACTTCTGCGCATTGGCAGTGCCACGCTATTAGTTAGCATCACATATGTGGGGCCGCGCTGCATAAGGCGCTTTACCGAATAGTTTTAGTGGTATCCGTGTCTGTGTCCATCTCATTCGCTCTTCCTTGTCAAGGCCGTGCGCACGTGCATAGTTTCACTGCACATGCTGACGTGGCCCCCGACGACGTTCAGCTTTGTTTCTTTTTTGTTTTTTTATTGCAATAGCATTACGTGGACAGTCTCTGCTGGTTTTCTGCTGCCGTACTTCAGTCTCTGCTGCCGTACTTCACTGTATATGTATACGTATTTCTATATATGAAAACTTAATAAAGGATAATAAAAGCCACTGGCGTTTGGCGCCCAGCTTGTCAAGATGTGCCAACGCGCGCTTATTTCTCGCAGGTAGCTTGCTCCGCGAAGGTGGGGGGATTTGATTGCTTGCGGTACGCTTGTCCTTAGGTGGGGAGGATCGCGCGCGCGCCTTCAACTTTGACCGGAACGATTGCGTTTAGTTGCCGGGCGCACCATGATCACTTCACTCGCTGGACAGATGCCGTTTGGGTAAAGAGTGTGCTTTTCAAGCACAGCGGAATAATAACTGGGGCACTTTTTAGTTTGCACTCATATCTGTACATGTGATTAAGTTTTGGGCCTCGTTTTCGTTCTAACAGCGTGTTAAGTGTCGAGGGGTAAGCATTGTTAATTCACTCTCGTCCTGTGTATATTGTTTTCGTGCATCATTTGTGCATGAGCAGCGCACTGCACGTTTCTATCTGCTTGTTGTTTTCAGCGTTGCATTCCAAGTTGTTGCTATCGCATTAAGCTGTTCGTCCTTGCGGCGAAACTGTGACTATTCTTAATTTTGGACTACCGTGTCGTCACCACCAAAGGGATGTCAGATTAGGCGTTGATAGAAACTCTCCAAAACCACAATGACGACGGACCTCCTGAGATCGACTCGTCACACGCTCCCGTCTTGCGCCGCGCCACAAGTTCGCAGGCTGGTAGATTTTGCGATTAGCTGATTAGTTCTGGCTACACGACACTGCATTGAGTGCAATGCAATGGAGTCCATAGCAAAAAAAAAAATTGTAATGTTAAAGTAAGGCTTGCAGGCAACTTTTTTAGATCCGATATCGCGGAACTCCTCCAAAATGCTGGTGTGAGCAAATACGGCCGCTCCAAGTAGAAGTGCTCTTTTCACATAGTCCCTTCGCGTTGAAACCACAGTGATACTCTCCCAGATGGCAAGCGTGCCAGTAATCGTGACCGCCCTTAAAATCCAAGTTCATTATTGCTACTCGAGTGATCCCCCCATCCCCGCGTAGTTTCATGCTCATTCATGATGGGTGGTGTACTTTCTGTCTGAGCATTTGACAGTTCCAACACGGCTATGGCAAAAGCCGCTGAGTGTCCAGATAATTGCTATTACAATAATAACGCAGTGTTTTACTGTAAAATAAGTGTTTTGGTCAGTTCCCCTTGAGTCCCCCTTTTGTTTAATTTGCCCGTTTATTTTCCAAATTTTCGTATCGAACCTGCATATAACGAAATCCTCCTTATAACAAATTTTTTCAGTGAATTAATAATTTCAATATATCTAGGATTAACTGTATTTGAATATTTGTAGGATGCAAATGATAACATATAAAATATGTTCAGTTTTAAAATATACTGTACTTAGAGCATATAAAGCAGTATAAGAAGCATTTAAGCTTTAAAAAATGATGGATCGATGTGAGCGTATAACTCTCAAACCTCATTACAACAAAGTTTCATCTTACACGAAAACAATTTCGTTATATCCGAAAATTAGTCATAAAGGTCGATTCCTAAGGCTATATTGATTGTAAGACTTATTGTTCATTCACTTCAGTTATAATCGATATTTTGTTTTATCTGGGTTCGTTATACAGAGGTTTGAGGTATTTTCACTTGACCTTGAAGTGCGGCTTCACGGTAGTGGGGATTTTCCCTGGATGGGTGTTTTTACGGCCAATGTCCACTGCAGTGAAACTAGCTTTAATGGAGGGTTGCATGTCGTCTAATGCATGTTTATTTGTTCATCTGGATACTTTGAAATATTTGGTAATTTGAATTTGAGTACTGTAATATTTGTTTAAATGTTTGATGCTAATAGCACCACCCTACACACCGGCTCTCTTGATGAGAAACCTATTAATTCTGGACTTAGCCAAACTGTCACTTGCATTTGAAGAAGCAGGAAAGAGAAAAAAAAAAAGGAAGAAGCAACTGCTGATTTTGAGTTTCTAGTTGGATAATAATGCATTATGACTTCAGACATTGTGCAGGCTAGAATTATGACACCTGTAATGAGCTCGACTCTGGCAAGATGAGAAAACAATGCTGGCGTACATAGTACTGCGGTATGGCATGTATCTGTGCTGAATCGTAGACTTCGCACGCACTAGAAAAAAGCAACCCATTTGTTCCCAGTGAACACCTCTCCTATCATTTTCTCTTCTTGTGTCTCTCTCTCTCTTGCCTACTTCAACCTCTTGCTTTTTTTTCTTTACTATGATTGTTGATGTTCTGCATGCTCTGCAGATGTGAGAACTTGCTTTCTCTCTCTCTCTTTCTTTGTGCCCAAGCAACTGGCGGTTGGGATCTGGAATCTCCCGGTGTTCTTGTCCTTGGGACGGAGCCCATCACGTCTCTGCTTCCCCTAGGAACGCTGCTGTATTGTGCCTGTGCTGACAAGATCTACGTGCTTGACGCATTTACGTCAGACATACAGGTAGGCCCGTGGAGCGTTTTCCACCTGAACTTCTGCTTTGAATGGCAATTTGATTGCACAATAGTTGTTGCATGCGTCATTCTGTTGCCATATACTGCAACAGCTGTTGTTTTTATTACGGACAGGCCACCTTTGTATCAGTTGCTCAGATTAAGGTTTCACATGTAGTGCACTGTTTGCTAGACTTAAATTGATGAGGGAAGTAGTTACTAATTACAGTTAAACTCCTTTATAAGAGGCATGATCTGGGCAGCAGTTTTTGTCTCTTATATGAGATATTTCTTATAAGCAGGGTACCTCATATGCATTTTCTTATCAATCCGTATTTAACTGTAGGCACGACATTGGTGTCTCTTATATCAGTGTCTCTTTAAAGGGCTCAACTGTATAAGGCACATGTCTTCTTAATAATGGCTGGGGCTTGAATTCTTAAGCATGATTATAGTTTTACAGTCCTACGGTATGATTGAGAGGCACTGCTCCAGAAATTTCGACCATGTGGGGTTCTTCGATTCGCACCTAAATCTACTAAGCACGTCAGCTAGCATTTTTCTTTCGTCACAAAATGCCACCGCCATGACTGGGATTTGATCCCAGGACATTTAGGTCAGCACTCAGACATCATAACCACTGGATTACCGTAGTGGGTGCGCACTTCATCTTTGAGAGCATTGGGCGTTATATACTTGATACCTTTAGTGTACCAAACTTGAGAGTGCAGGATGGATGACAGACGAAGAGAGTACACCATGACACAGTTGAGGTCTTTCCTGTCCTCTAAATTCATTACAAACAATGCAGTGCGCCAACTAGTCCACCTATCTATCCTTGGGTGTAGGTATCTTTGAAACTGTTGACTGCTTGCCATGCAGAGGACGCATACTTTGAACCAAGAGGAAGGTGGCCAAGCCTACCTCATGGCTCACTCGGGCACGGGACTTTGGATTGCACTGAAGAACTCATCTCGCATCAGCCTGTACCATACTGAGACGTTCCAACACCTCCAGGACGTTGACGTCGCTGAGGGCGTGAACCGTTTCCTTTCAGGTGGGCGGTTGTGCAGTAAAGCCACTTTTCTGATATGGTGATGTGCAGTGAAGGTTCCTTTTTGTTGCGATCCTATATCGTACAGGTCAAAAATTTTCTTGAATGTGTTGTGCAAAATGAAAGCGTCATTGGTTGTTATGTCTGACTCCTTCTAATCAAAGGAAATAAGTTTAGTTGAATTGAGCTTACCTTTTATAAATGAAATCTTACTAGAAAATGGGAAAATAATTACAGCATGCAAAGCTGTGCACATGGTGAAAATTCTACCTGAGAAATAAATGGAACTTTGGCTTGTGTGAATATTTGAACTTTTGAGTATTTTTAATAGTGTTCGCTATATGATTACATTTGCTCTGAAATTTAACTACAGTCAAATTTCATTACAGCAAACCTCAGTATAAAGATTCCTTTAGATTAATGACTTTCTGAAGTCCTCCTCCAGACACATATTGGTTTAGTGAAAGATATTTCACTACTGCGAGTTCTGCAATACCAAATGTTTCAGAAGAACATAATACATTCGATCCCCCTAGTTTTTGCGCATACACAGGTGTATGCACACAGACTACGCTGCGTGGCAAAAAGGGAGGGGTGGTGGTCATTAACCGCCTCACGAGTGCCTTGAAGACAACGCTGCAACTTAGCCACAGTTCCCCCTCAGGAAGGAACCAAGTTGGTCTCGTATCCTGTTTATGCATTTCCACATACTTTTTGGTTGGAGTTAAGGGGTGACATGGCACTTAAAACGAACTTTTTTTGTATTTCTAGATCAATTCTGATGAAACTTGGCAAGTGTACGTATACATGTGTGCTGATTTCAAATGTGCAATCATTTCTCTTACGTTAAATGTAGTTTTCAATATACTAAATATTTTATGTGCCTCTTGGGGAGCAAGCGTTTGTCTAAACTAAGAAAGTTACAAAGTAAATAAGCATATCTAAATAATAAGAAATCAAAGCTGACTGCAATGCTACAAAAATGATTGTTCTAAACAAACTAGAAGAAAAGTTATGAAATGTTGAACACTTGCCAGTGAAATTTTTGCTTGAAATCGACTCGCAAACAAATGTTTAATGTACCCTAACTTTTGCTCAAATTAATTTAGAATGCCCATTTTCGCTGCATCGCACACAGTCCTGATTCCAGATTATTGTGATATGTCAACTTATTTTGTGGCTCTCTTAGTTAAAAAAAAAATCTTGCTCCACGAAAGGTACATGAAATATTTTATATTTTAAAAACTATGCCTTATACAAGGAAAATAATTGCATATTTAAAATCAGCACACATGTATACATAAGCTCACCGAGTTTTATCGAAATCAATCAATCAATAAATTTAAAAAAAATGTTTTTTTTTAAGAGCAGTGTCTCCCTTTAAAATTGTTTCCCTCTTTATTATTACAACTTGCTTCGCACCCGTAATTTTGCTATTTGCACAGCTCCAAATAAAACACAATGTTCACTGACGGTAATGATGACTCTTTTGTACTGAAAGTTGTCATCGTCATCATTACAGCTTCCCTATTCGATGGCTTTTTCACTTCTTGGAGTTGGCTTTGTTTTTAGCATCGCATTTCAATCCGTTAACACTGTACACCTATGCCTGCAACGTGTGCAGCCAAGCAAGGCAGCATCCGGCCAGCAGTCACAGTGACCTCTCTGGTCGCCGGGCCGGGCCTGCTATGGGTCGGCACGAGTGCCGGAGTGGTTCTGACGCTGCCGCTGCCTCGTCTCGAGGGGGTGCCCATTTTGGGTGGGCGCACCTACCTGGCCCACCATGGACACCGAGGGCCCGTCACCTTCCTGCTGTGCCTCCAGCCGCGAGTTCACCCGTCCCGCCGTGGATCCAGCAGGGCCCAGCAACACAGGGTTAGCCAGTGTGGCATTGTCTTCTCTGTTGGGCACCACGTTAATCTGTATGCTTTGTCGGGTGTACCTAACAAAGTGAATGGGGGACTGGTAGAGCACCAACTCGACTGGTAGAGCCCCAGACGCATTCTTTGAAGGTTGCAGGTTCGATTCCTGCCGATCACAGGTTGTCTTTTCGTCCGCTTCAATGTCTTCGCACTTGTATCATAATTACTACAAACAACATCCTCACTACTTTTCTTGGGCGTTGCCATGGTGGTCTAGTGGCTAAGGTACTCGGCTGCTGACCCGCAGGTCGCGGGATCGAATCCCGGCTGCGGCGGCTGCATTTCCGATAGAGGCGGAAATGTTGTAGGCCCGTGTGCTCAGATTTGGGTGCACGTTAAAGAACCCTAGGTGGTCTAAATTTCCGGAGCCCTCCACTACGGCGTCTCTCATAATCATATGGTGGTTTCGGGACGTTAAACTCCACATATCAATTAATCAATACTTTTCTTGGCTTGATTGTTGGTTATCTTTAGCATTGCCTTCTCCAGCAGCATGAGATGTAGGACCCTTATGAGAATGCTACGTTGGGATGGACTGCCCTTGTGTAGACCCTCAACTGTTGTGTCAACTTTGTAGGGCATTCTTCCAAGAGATCGCACGACACAGTTCCCTGTTAACGAGAGCTAACTCTCTATAATTGTGCAACGGTTATTGCATTGCACTGCTGAGGTTGAGGTTTCAAGTGTGATAAGCCAATCAGGTTAGGTTTGCTCCTTAGAGTGGTATTCTGTGAACTGTTACTTTTTTTTCTTTTTATTACTTGTTTTTTGCCCCTCAAGTGCATGTCGGTCTAGTGTTGCAGTATTGCTCCAGACAGTACGGAGAGCTCTTGTTTTTCGTCGTTGACTTTCTAAAGCAAATACTTGGAAAAGTAACACATGCTTAAAAAAGCTTTGGAGTCTCTTTCACTGCTTAGTGATTCTTATTATTAATTACAAATATTTTTTTTTGGAATGTAGAGTTCTGGGGCCAAGCTCGTGCAAAAAGGAGCGTTTGAGGACATACTCATGTTGTGTCTGCACACTTGCAGACTTCGGTTGCCCCAGAAGAGGCGGGCGCGGAGCAGCTCGCGGAAGAAGGTGAAGAGGAGGAGGAAGAACTGGCCAAGGCAGCAAAGGACGAAGCGGGTGATGCCGTCGCCGAGGAGGCGGAGCTGGACGCGGCCAGCACTAGTGGTGTTCAGAAACAGAAGTCTGACTCGGTCTTACCCTCGACTCCCGCCAGCCACAAGCTGGGAACAAGGGGTAGGTAGAGGTTTTTACTCTCTTGGTGTGCGAACTGAGGGGGGCCTGTGGGAGGCGGCGTTTAGTCAACAGTGCATGTTTTTGTACATTAGGTTCTTTGCCATTGAGGACGGCATTTTCTTTCTTTATGGATGTGAACGTGAAGATGCCCATGTATTTGTCTTTGTTTTGAATTTAGGGACACATTTGGAAAAATAAAATCTTGGATAGCTTACTTGCAATCTTCACAGAGATGTGAATTAAGGGGGCAGACTGGTCTTAGACACTTTTTGTTTATTTCTTCAGTGATCTTGATCAAACTACACAGGGTTATGCAGTATTTTCTGCTGATTTCAAATACTTATATAGTAGTCCTGTAACACATCTTGTTCCTGAGATAACTTAAGTTCACCCCCTATTGTATAAGGCCGCCATTGAAAAAGAAAGTGCTTAATTAAAAGTGATATTTAAGATATTCCAACATATACTAATGACTATAGAGTGAAAGTATGCTAGAATTTTTTTTGTTTTTAGGCCTTTCTTGGTTACTTTACAGCAAAATTAACTATCCATTTTCAAAAGCAGTTGGAATTATATTAAAATTTTCATGAGTAATTAATTAAAAAGGCTTGTTCTCTGAATTCTGCTCCTATACTAACATTCTACACACATACAGGTTTCCATTGCAAAAAGAATTATTGTTGTACCTGCCCTAGCTGCAGAGATATTGAGGCCTCATTGAACAGTCATAAATTCACTTTTTTGAGAAAAGTGGAAAAGCTGATAACACACAGCTTCTTCAAAAAGCAACAATCATGGTGCGCATGTTTTGCAATTCTTATAAAGGTGCTCATAAATTCGTAGCAAAGCTTCTAACGCAGGTGCCGGCCAATTATAAAGAAGCCTCAAAGTCAGTTCCCCATTTTTTTGCAGGTTCTGCATGTTAACAGCACCAAGAATCTGGACAGTTAGAATGACATTACAAAAAAATTACTACTTCCTGGTGTGTGAAAATTTGCAGAGAGATGAAAAAATAGTTGCAGAAATCAAATATGTTAATTTTAAAAAATGAATTTTTTTGTCACTTTTTGGTCTCAAAGACCAGTCTGCCCCCTTAAGGGGGGATGCTACACCTTCCAAAAACTCTTTTATTTTTGCGAGTACCTCAGTCAAATTTGGAGAGCCTATGTAGATTTTACTGCTGATTTCAAAAATCTAATTCTTTTTTTGCTGTGACAATTAGTTTTAAAGATATAATGAACGGCGACTTTTTCAATTAAGGCCTAATTAGCTAATTAACTGTAACTTGGATATTGATGTGCAATCTATAGAACCAATTCGGTATGTTCACAGTGTGCAATAAAGTATAAATCATTGTTCTGCGCTATTTCGAAGCAAAGTTGTGGGATGTTGAATATGACATGAAAAATTTCCCCATCTACACTTGAAACAAACGATCCATTTAGAGAATTTTCTCCAAAAATTATTACAATAAAACTTACTTTACGACACATTCCCTGCATTTATCTTCGAAACAAAAAAGAAATCGTAATGATAACCCAGATAGAACAAGAGATATTGCTCCGGCAAAATGGGAAGCACATGAAAATTGTCGTTTTGAGAAATCGAGAAAAAACGTGGGCACACATTTTTATTGCAGAAGATGCAACAAGACAACCTCAAAACGCACCAGAAGCATAGTCTGAATGCATTCTGTGCTCATGCCTCCTCTTCACTAGCTTCCGGAGTTCCAATGAGGCTGTTCTTTTCTTGTTGGAGACAATGCTGCGACGGTGGTCTTTTTCTCTCGCTCTCCTGGCACCAGTACTTGTCGCATTCATGTCCATTTCACCTAAGATTGCCGTTGCAGAATTCAAATTGCCCGTGTTGAAGCGCAGCACTGCTTTTGCAACAGCTGCTTCAACAGCGAACAGGGACGCATGGTGCTCCTTGGGGGCCAAACTCCAGATTACCGAATGTAGGCTCTCGTTGGAGTTCTGCGTTTTGCCGCGTTCGCACCTCTGAAGCAGGGCTCTTTCCGAAAGCCGGGTATAAACCGGTAGTAATGCCTCTGCCACGTCTTTCGGTAGATTGTAGGCATGCCTGGGGTCGGGCTCACCCTTTGCTTTTGCAACATTGTGCCGACACCATGAAGTTTCACCAGCTGGGCACAGACTGTGGTCCGAGCATTCATCAGTGGAGGTGACGTGGCGGTATGTGGCCATCACAGCCTTTTGCATCTCGCCCACGTCACCTTCATGCGATTTCAGAGCCCAGCCATAATATGTGCTCAGCCTGGTGATCAGCTCACCTGTGAGCCTGCCTTTCCCACCAAGGCCTCTTTTCCCATCGCACTTTTGTTTCTGCACCAGGTTTCTCAATGCGGTGCCCATCCGTTTCTGTACATGATTAATACAGTCTTCCTTCTGCACGTCAATGTAACCATACACCTTGGCGTCTTGTATGGCGCAAAATGTCCTAGAGTCTCCATCAGACAGCATAGTTGTGTAGCGCAGGCCATGGCGTTCAAGCGACCTCTGAAATAGAATTAGAGCCGCCTCCACTTCCATTTGCCCCGCTTTGCTGTTCGTATTTTTTTGGCATTTGTGGTTAGCCTTCCATTCTTGATAGCCCTCACTACTAGGCTTTGGGCCCACCTCGCAGCTTAGGCAAAAGTTGGAAAGAACGACGTAGTCCAACACGTAGCCACTAAATAATTCGATAACTGTGCCCACGCCGATGTGGGAAGAATGGCCTCGCGTCTTCCACGTGCAGTCGTAGCTAACGGCAATATTGCCCCGGTGGCCGAAGCACAAGTCATCATAAATTGTTCTAACCTTTTCCGCACATTCGCTCATAGCGGACTCAGCCGCTCGCGTTGCAGCGGGTGCCAGCGTGTTCTTCAAATGCCGCTGAAACGTCTTGTGGTGCATACCGCGGTGTGAGATGCCCATTGTTGTGAAAATATCATTCATTTTCGTTTGGCCGTTGCCGGTAGCCACCATCGCCCTCGAAGCGAGAAGATTTACTTCAAACTGATTGCACGTTTTCGTGCCGTTCGCGCGAGGCGAAGTCCATTCATTCGCGATCTCGCCGCACCTTTCACACTGCACTAGCACTTTCACGGCAAGTCTGTAGTCCCGATCCCCTCTGACGATCGTAGCCGGTCCGTGGCAGGCTTTGCAACACAAGGCACCCATTATCGCGTTTAGGATATCTAGATGCATAAGCAGATAAGGAGCAGCGTGGTCCGAGTCCTGTGCGGTTGCCTCGCTACAACTCGCGGTGAAAAAGTCAATTTTCCGTGCAGTTGCTGGCGCCGATGAAAGCCGGTCGAGCGTCGCTCTCTCCCGGGCATGATTTTCTTCAACTTCGGCGTTTGTCACCACCTTGGCGTCGATTCGTAGTCGTCCGGAGTTCGCTTCACCGTCATCGTCGTCGGAGGCAACCCGCTCGGTCGCACCATCGCTGAACGGCCGCGGAGCGTCGACACATCGTTCGTCGGAGTCAACCAATGGCTCTGATGACTTCGTAGACTTTTTCCCACGACCTTTGCGTTTCCTGCGACCAAATGCGTGCACGGTCCGATACTTTTTTGCGTTTCCAGGCATGGCGATACGATCAGAAGCTTCAGAGTGCTCTGCCGATTTCGAGGCGTCACAGCGGTAACCCTTTCAAAATGGCGTCGGGTCGCGTATGCAGGGGCAAGCCGCGAGCTTCCAGCCAACCGGAAAGCGCCATTTCAGTCACGTGCGCCGTTTAGCCAATGGCAGTGAGTGCGGCTCTTCGTCTTTGAGGCCCCGTTTTTCGAGCCGGGGAAACGCTCAATGTTGCTTACTGAATAAAAAAAAAAAACAGCTGAAAACGCGTTCTTTCAAACAAGACCAAAATGGCGCCGATCGAGCGCGTGGTTCCCGCGTATCGTAGAGCCGAAACCTGCGCTATTCGCCCTCAATTTAAAGGGCAGGACGCCCGTTTTCGGTTTTTTAAAGTTGAATAACGATAAAAGTTGATGGTATTCGGCTATGAAATTTTGTAAATAGGTGCACAATGATGTCGGGAACGCGAAAAGAAGGTCCGCGAAAACTCGATTTTTTGGCTGATTTTCGGTCCCGAAGTGCCGCGTCCCCCCTTAATTGACAGTGCCTTTTTCCAATCTTACATGAACGTCGGAGTAACAATTCATGGTCAGCAGGCACAAAATCTCTGAGACCTATATATTTGTTGCACTTCTTGAATAAGTATACAGCAGTATCCAGATGTGTTTTCCCATCGAAAAATTAAAAAAAAAAGAATGTGCATACAGGGAAAACATAACGCCTGTTAAGCCTGGCATGAGTGCGATGGGACTGGCATTTAAGAGGCTACAGGAATGGTATTGAAAGAACCAATGCCTGTTCGGTGACTCATACTGGGAAATTTCTTGTGAAGCTGACCACAGAGCATGTGCATTTGTTAATCTTTGCTGTGGTGACCTGAAAAAGAAAGAAGAAATTTCACATGCACTTGTGCTTCCCTTGCTATTATGTGGTGCTGGTACTGCCACAGTATAATGCCGCCCTCAGATAAAACTACTGTGACCACAAGATTTAAGTACTGACAAACTTTTTCCCACAATTACATTGCGTAGGTTGCAAGTGTGGCTTTCACTTACTGCAAATAGATTTTCATCCACTTTCATTTCTTTTGATCTCGCAGTATTCTTGAACTTAACATATTTTGTACGACAAGGTCGAGAACACAATGTTTTGCAAATGTTGCACATACAGTAGACTTGCGATAATTCAAACTCTGATAATTCAAACTTTCTGTTAATTCATACTACAGTCGAATCTCATTAGTTCGAATGCACTTAATTCGAACTTCCGGTTAATTCGCACTCACGATGAGGTCCCGTCAAAGCCATGTGTATTCCAATGGGCAAGAACGCCCAGTAATTAGAACTCACAAGCACTTGTGACGGTTAATTCGAACATGCCGCGCTCCGAAAATGCTCTCAGCACCCCGCCCAATCCCGCAGC